TTAAAATTTTCATAATAAAAAGTCACGCAATCAGTTGTAAGCTTACTGTAATCTTAAACAGATCTTGAGGGTTTGTTGACTGTCAAGAAGAATCGATTCAGTAGACCACGGGTCAGAGTAAACAGGTCGTGGTATGTCGATTTTCCATTTCCCAACAATTTCCGGAGATAGACCATTTGATCGAACTTTTATCCAGTCTGTCAGCCACCCTTACCAATGACTGTGACGTTCTCTAAACGTCCTGTTGCCGGAGACGATTCTCTTTTTTTTAGCCGGATGTTATATCAGATATTCTTACTTTCCGACAAAAAATCGTTTTAAAAAACCACTTTCAAAGATAAGTATTTGAATTTTTAAAGACAGGCAGAATTGAAAAAATCATACTTCACAGGTACTGTACGTTTGCCTTAAAAATATTTCTATTTATTAGTTTCCCACTGGGACTATTAAAGAGCACTGATATTTTCCTTTTAAAATTAATTGATAAACTGGATTTGAGTGCTGTGAGTTCAATTTAAAAATATCAACAACTTTTCTGTAATGAGAGTTCTTTCAAATTTAGTTCTTACAAGTTTTTGTATATCTAAGTTAGAAAAAATAAAGCTTGCTTTAATGATTATGATCTCTCAGAATAGTATGACTCTCATTCAGAATAACTTTGAAAGAGAAAAATAATCTACTTTCAATACTCGTGAAATTTTTATTCAAAAATAATTATAAAAAAGAAGTAACTGTCACATGCCAAAAAAATTATGAAATTTTCTCCATTTGTAAAAATTTTCGCACATTTTTAGTCGACCTGGTGAAAACTTTTATTCATACAGATCGTTACTATTTCAATGTAATCCAATAAAAAATTCCATTTCTAAATTTTATACAAATTTAAATGTTAACAGTTCTTTAAATTCTTCTTGTAATATTCTAGTAGTAAAAACAGTACTTGATTACAATTTAAATTTTTTTCAACAATCAAAGTGTTTCCTTTAGTATATCTAGAGTTCCGGATACTTTAACGATTACTGCTCTTTTTCCTTAAAAAAAAACATAAATCTTCATTTTCTACACTGTATATCTGAATTGTGTTAAAATAACACACCATGAGTGTGTAAAAGTTTAGTCATTGCTAACACACTTCAAAGTGTGTGTAAATCTATAGTTTATTTATGGAGTCCAACATTGAATATTGTAAAATGACCTTCATCAATATTAGATAGTAATTAGTGTAGAGGTGATTCTGAATCAAGCAGCAAAATCAGGTAATTGAATAAATCAAGCATATTCCTATTGATTTTCAGTAGTATGAAATTAATTGGGACGACGGAAAAAGTTCGGAGAATGGCTCTTCTAAAGTTTAATGAATATTTCATAGTATTATGTCATCTTTAATATCTCCATCGGACATTATTAAGTGAAATGTAAGAGTAAATAAAATTGAATCACTTTGTTCTTTACAGAGAGCTTCTTGTATAAATTTTCTTCTCAAGAATCTCTCAAACGCTTGAAAAGTAATAGAATCATCGATCATAGTCTATTTTATTTATGTATATAATAAAAAATTCAACTATATATGCACCTGAAACTATCATATGTGAATAGTTATATATAATGAATCATAAAAAAAAATTGACATTTATTAAGTGTAAAAATATAAAATAAAAATCGTGTAAAAAAAGAAGGTAATCGGAGTTGTAAATCTACAAAGAAAGTACTCATTTCAATGTTTTAGAAATTAACGAAAATATTTCAAGAAGCACAATTGTTGGAATAAAAGGGTTAAAAAAATTAAATAATTTTTACTTTAATTTTTCATAAATAAATTAAAAATTTTTATTTCAGTATTTGTAATTACTCTATTTTCTATTTTACATAATTTTTCTTTTTTAATCAAATCAATTAACTCCTAGACGAACTTTCGTTAAGATAGAAAGACAAGTAGTTGGAGGGACACTTTTTTTAGGTCTATAAATGCTGGAGTTCATTATGAAGTAAAATAAAAATAAAAATAAATTAAAAGGTAAAGTAAATTTAGTTTTTCGACTATTTAAAGGATGCTCTAATTTCAAAAGCATCTGCGGTTTGAAAATCACAGAAGATAATTAGTGCGATTTGAAGGAGGTTGAGTAAGCAAACTCTGAACAGATCTCTCTAACCTCTTTGAATCGTTTGGGTTAAAAGTAGTACTAGTTTCTACGCCTCAACTGTTTGTGAGTGTTGAGTGTTAGGAAGTTCCAAGTACCTTCAGTGAAGCTTCTGTGCTGCTGCATGAAACGTAAATTTAACCCATTAACGTGCAGACAATAAATACTTATTGTTATGTCCTGTACATCTGACAAAGTTCTCATTGATCACTCATAAATTCTCTCTTGTTTTATATTTCTCTACATTTTTCAACAATGTCAATTATAATTTATTTTTTTCATCTTCATCAAATTCTGACAGAAATATCGATATGCACTTAAACGTCGTTTATATGCATGCAGCAATTAATAGCTTGTCCTGTGATCTTTTTTTTTAATCCAGTTTTTTTTTATTTCTATCAATGCCCTTACAGACATTAAAGAATTTTTATTGCATCCGTAGAATTATTTATAGAAGAATGCGAAATATATCATCAATATAGCCAGCAAAGAATTTGCACTACGAAAAATAATCAGTCAATGAAATTTTTCTGTGAATTTTTTTTTTTTTAATTTGAAACGTAATTGAAAAAAAATGAAGAAATAAAATCATTTTAAAAATAAAAAAATTTATATAATTGGAGCGAATATACTTGTTTTAAGTCAACTACAAGCTATACAAGTTTATGAACTAAATATTTATTGATTAAAAAATATTCTTCTTGGAAAATTGATAAATTGAATAGCTGGTGATAAGAGAATTTTATTTCTTGACTGAACACAAAAGATTCAAAGTATTGAATTTCGAGTTGAAAATTTTTCGTCTATATTCATATCATCTGTCATCTTCTTTGGGTATACTGTTTTTTGTCAATTGCATTTTTTACTATGGCTTTAATTAAAACTTAATCAATAAATGACGTGCACTGCAGCTGTGATTGGAATATTAATTCAACGTATCCGGCAAACTTTTTTATGAAATTTGCCAGCAAGCAATATGAATATATGTTACCTAAACACTATTGTAATCTATACTTTATAAAATCGATATTAAAATGGACTAGATTTATCAAATTAAATCCAACAGTGAGCAAAATAAACTAAAAGCAAACGATTGAGATAAATATTTTTCTTTTGAAAATGAAATATTAAAATTCTGTTTACTTTTATCAAAAATCTCTATTTGTTACGTAGGTTCTGTAATATTTAAATAATTTTCACGTTTCAATAGTTAAACCTATACCTGTATTTCAGTAGTAAGTTTTGTGATTACCATTTCGCATTCAAGAGGAAAAAGAAGATAAATCAACATGAATCAATTTTTGATTTTACCTATTTATCTTTCAAGTTTACTCAATCAAGTTACGTACCTACTGATAAATATGTACTTTCATTGGTTAGTTTTAAAAAATTTTCAAAAACCTATAAAAGTGTAAAACCACGATATTAATGAAATATTATGTAGAAATTGATCTCCAATTTAAATTCGTGGGTAGAAATTATGCAATGATATAATTAATTTTGCTTATAAAATTCATGAACATTTCTGAAATATAATATGGTGTAATTTACATCAAACAGAATATCTATTTATTGTAGATGAAATTGAAATTCGATTGATTATAATATTGACAAATAAATAAATATACACGAATGTGAATAGCAAATAAACTTGGATACTAGGTATTGATTTTCAAAATTCTAACATGAGATTCTGTGATCTGAATTATCAAAAAGCTTACATTAGAAGAAATCTTGTTTTCACTTCAAATCACTGTTCACATGTTCAGTATTTCTTCGTATTTTGCGGACTGGATACATTTTTTACGACATGTAGTAAGTCATAAAAGTCATAATTTTTAAAATCGTGAAGTAGTAAAAGTCGTAGTGTCATAAATTTTCATCAACATAAAAGTAGTGACCAAGTTTATTTGGAGAAGTTAAAGCTTAGATGTGTCTGGCTTGTAGATTGTCTGTTTATATTCCAAAAAATTTTAGATTGGAAATTTTTCTTAAGATTTGAGTAGAGAATTATAGTTTTTGAACTCATGTGTTTTTCGAACAAATCATCTCATATAGCTTTAAATAAAACTTTCGACGATCACCTGATTACTTTTTATACTTTTTATCACAATAAACTAATTTGAGGAAATTGAAGAAAATTTTCTGAGCTTTCGTTAGTGTTTATCATCATGCTTGTAAAACTAATTAATTAACAACAGCAGCTTAAGTAAAAATTTTTTTATTAATTTCTATATAGTATTAGCATTTCAAAAGCAGAATAAAGCTTGTAAAATTTCTTTTCTCAACATAATACTCTTTGATTTTCAAAGCAAGAAAATTTCTCAGCTTGAAGGGCAAAACTAACTAGTTTAGACTAGCTAACATAATAAATTTGTTACAAAAGGCCAACATAATGGAGATGGATTGAATTAGTATATGCATGGTTTAAACTAAAAATAACATACAATGTTGTTTATGTCTAAAGAATAACTCCATCAAACAACTGAAACAAAATAAAAGTATCTAACAAATGAATTAATCCTCTAGTCAAATTAGCATAGGTAACTAATGTAATATCAACTATCTAATAAACTAAAAATGCATAAAACTACTTTTAGCTATTAAATAGATTATAAGCTAAAAGTAGCAAGAGTCTGAAAATGTTGGTTAGAGGTTTATGTTAATATTCGATTTACGATATTAGTTTGTAGAGTATGTTAGTTGGGCTAATCCTACTGTTAACTAACGATTAATTGTGTTCACCGACTGTGAAACTAGTTTCATTTTATTGGAACAATTTAAAAGAGTTATTAGTAATATCTGATCAAGATGTCTATTACAACATACCCATTAAATTTTATTTTATTTTTTTTTACTCACCTGTAGGTAATAAAAGCAAAAACGAGGGCAACCAGGGAAAGGCTTCCACCAAGAACAACAATGAGGCTCAAGACACCATCTTGATCTAATGCAGCAGCGATTCCGGAGGACATTCCATTCACCACACCGGTATGTTGAGGAAAGCTGTGAATTGCACCAGAGTAAAACGTATCCATACCGCACACTCACAGTAAGTAGTTACTGCTTCTGCATCTGCAAGACACCGGTGAGAAAGCGTTTTCAAGTTATATTCTCTATTATCTTATTCTAACCAGCCAACCTGTTTTCACTGCTTTTCAGCTCTACTCTCATGTGGGCTTTCTTTAACATTTGCATTTGTAAATACGAATGTGAATCATTTATCAACAAATCTAATTTTAACTAAATAAATTCTCTGTTTAGATCTTCATTTACTTCTCTTTTTATGTATTTGGTTTTATCATTATTTAAATCAATTTTTAATTATCTAGTCGAAAAACCATTTCAATTCATCATTTTAATAATTCAATGATAGAGGAAAACATTCAATTAATTAATTTTTTGATAGTTTGAAACTTAAGAGATATTCGTATTAATAATTATTTCACTGTTATACGGATTATAATAAATTTATTAACTCTTGTTTGATTAATTCTTCCGGTTTTCGATTAAAAGTTTTCATGAAGTTTGTGATTACATACGCAGTGTTCCAATATTCATGAATTCATAACTTTTTTTTATTTTTTTTTTCTCCATTTTGTAAAGTTACTGAGTTATTAAGAGTATATTTATTACAACCTTAAAAAAAACAATTTTAATTAAAAATCTGATAAATTCATTCTCTGATAAAAATGAAGTACAATTATCTTGTGAAAAATTGTTTTCCAGGCACGTATTTGTAAAGAATCTTATGCTGTGCGATGAATTTTTTAAGGAAAATGAATTCTTTGTGTTGGAAATCCTACAGTGAATTTTTCAGAAAAGATATATAAAGTAAAAAAGTTGGAATGAAGAAATTCTTTCATTAATAATAAAAAATTCTTAAAAATAAATCAGAAAATTTCAAGGGATTCATACTTCATACTTTCTTTTCTTATTGATTTTTTTTAAGAAGATAAAATTTTTATCGTGACTACTCAAACGTTGAGTACTAAATGTGTTTTTTTTTTTGCTATTGCGGAGTCATGTATCCTATCAACTCAGGTAAAATGAAGATTAAAATGGTTAAAGCGTTTATGAATCTTTCATCTAACCGGAATAATGTCACTTTTAACATTTGAAAATCTAGGTTTTAATTAATCGACTTCAATTGATGCAATTGACATTTACCAAGAAGCTCATAAATATTGAACTGACTTTAACAACTTCGTTATCAAGTCCTTCAGTAAGTTCTCTACATGTTTTTATTTACTCTACAGGGCTGATGAAAAATTAATAGCTTGAGGGTTTGTGCGTCAAGCTCGAGAGGTCATTTTATAAACGAGGCTTATCTGTATGAATTTTTAAACGGACAGGTGAGTTATACAAACTATGAGTTTACTTTTAAATGTCTACAGTTTAATAAACTTTATCTCAATTTGTTAAAATACTTCTTCCTTAAAATTATGTGATTAATTGTATAAGCCGTTATACTGGATGTTAATTCATTTTAAAAATATTAAAATTAGTAAAATTAGTGACATTTTTTTGTTTCAAATTTTAAATATAACTATTATTTAAAATTTAAAGAAATTCCAGTCAATAGAGGAAATAATATTATTTATCTCTCAAGTAATTTAATCTACGTTCTAGTCAAATGATTATATCAGGAGTAATTCTACAAGACGGAGGAGAAATTCACGTAGCGAGAAGTCGTTTTGACAAAATTATATGGAACCTAGGCGAAGCGTAAAATTTTCATCTTGTTTTCCCTTGTACGTCAAATTGCGCCCTTTGGTGTTGGAAGACGTGGATAGAAACGTAAAAGAAATACCTTTCATAAATTGCGTGCATTAAGTTGAAGAAAATTATTTTAAATGATGATTATTTTATAATTAAACTAGAAAATTATGCGGAATAATTAAATGTCATTCACAATTTTACCTGAATACTTTCACTAATTATTTGTTTATTATATGCAATCGACTGTAGAGATATAATTGCTTTTATTCCTGCATTGGAACGATAAAACGACCGGCTAATTTAATACATTTATTTCTATAATGATAAATACATTGAAGAAATGTCAAAATGAGGTGGCTTTTATTGAAAAACTTTAAGTAAAATAAATTGCTAGAGTCTTGTTCTCAAAGTTAAGAATTGTTCTAGTCTATTTACGCTTCTGATAATGTGTCACATGAGCAATCCGATAATGAAATAAGGCATTCACAATAGTTTAGATGTGATTGTACAACTAACTTTTATTCCACATTTACAATCCACTCTTCTTCGTACAATTCATGCTGTTATTTATAGAATAAAAACAGATCCATTTGCTTACCATAAGATAAAAAGTTTCCCTAAAGTGTTTTCGATACGATATTCAATGGTGCGCCAATCTTTCCCGCGTCCACATGTTTATTTTTATTTTCTTATTGAGTTTTATTTGCATTCACTATTTTTAGATAGATAAATAGATTGCGATATTTATAGATTAAGATATATATTTTCTCAATGCTGTTTTATATTTCAACCGTTGAAATTTTTTCGTAAATTTATTCTATAAACGATATAAAAAGTGTTTTTCTTTTATTTTTACAAAAGAGTAAATTTTGAATTTTACGTCATGTTTTGAAATAATCAATTTTTGATGTGTTTTTTACAGATTTTGTTAGTCGTTACGAGTTATCACGGTGATAACAGCTCGGGTGGCGGAGCGCAACTGGAGTCAGACCATGCTTCGTACATTCGTGCAGCGCATGTTCGTCAGCAAATGTGAATAGAGAAGAGCATGAAGGGTGGAAGTCAAAGTGGTATCAAGGTAAATTTTAAGATATAATTATGTACAATATTATTTTATTTCATTATCGAAAATTTAATTTTCCTAAATATGAATATTGATAACCACCTTTTTGCATCATTTAAAATAATTTTCACTCCATGTAATTAATTGAATAGGTACATAATTGTATATTCTACATTTCAGGTGTATCAATATTTCAATTTAAAAAAAAACAACCAGAAATCTAATTATGACAATGCTGTTTTCATTTTTAGCGAATATTTTGGCAACTTTTATCAATTTTTCTCTTTCAAGTTTTATTATATTTTCATATCCAAAAAGTTTTTCAGCTTATTCACTTTGCTGCTGAAAAGAGCAATAAAATCGTTTTGAAAATTACTTTGTGAAATTTCGATGTTTTGACAGACTGAAAGTTGGAAAATGTGATTTTCAAGAGATGTAAGGATGTCTATTTGTATCGGTTGTCTATCTTTTTATTGGCTCACTCGTAGATAAAATGAGTCTGTCAAGAGATTTGAGAGCAGACGTATTAAATTGTCATTTTTGACGGTAAAAGAAAATGTAGATCTAATCGTTTTTGAAATATTAACTTAAACCCGTTTTGTAATGAAAAAAACTTCTATTTACAAGTTATAATTGAATAGGTAATTTTCTCTTTACTGCAATAATTTTTTTTCTGCCGTATAAATGCCGACTAGAATGATTGATAGTGACAATTCTTTTACTCAAAGTACAACTTGTTCCTTACACTGAAATAATGGTATTCATTATTAAAGACATTTCTGTTGAAAGCTTTATCAGATTACTTATACTTCTCCCCAATAATCAAGTACTATCTGCGTGGAAACTTTCGTATCATGTAGCAATAATCGCAGAATTAATTTCACATCTAGTGTTTTAGCCAAAGTTACAAGAGTTTATCCCAAAAAGACAAAACTTAGTACATTTGATATAGTAAATCTTTTGTTATTTTAACAAAACTTGAGTTTCTTCTGTGTTTTTCAGCACATCATAAATCTTCAATGCACACTTGCAAGAAATCTTAATAAACAAAATATATATTTCTCCTGGGGAACTCAGTTTAACATAACATATTTGGTAGATTTTCTTTTAACCCTGATGAAAAATGTATCTCCTTTCGAATTAGCCCCGAAGTTTATTCAAACAGGTGAACAAAAAATACTTAAGAGTTATGCTTTGAATCGTAAGTAAGAATAATATTCCCTTCTTATCCTTCACTTGAGTTTGAGTTGTTTTTCCATAAGTATATAACTTCTATATCATTCTTTTTCTCTGGACTACTCAATCTTTGTTCTCGATGGATCACATAATAGTGAACTTAATGATCACTAGAGATTAGTGGAATTGAAAACGTGTAATCCATTACTCCAAAAGGGTGTGACACGTATACTACGAAACGTGAATGAGGTAATCCTGCGTAGTGGATTACTAAGGACAAAATCAATCAATCTATCTAATTACTTACATACTTTAAATAATTTTAATTAAAAAATGTTATTTATTTATTTATTTATTGCTTTTTGTAATAATATATCAATTTGCAGATTTTTCAAACAAATTTCAGCGGTAAGATCATTAACTTGGTTGAAAAAATGTTTTTTTTTATTCATATTTCTTCTCGTTGTATAAAATGTCTATGAAAACCTTTCATATTTTTCTTTCAAAGCCAGAAGTTTTCATTTTTCATAATTCAATGAAAAATAAATTAGCTTCATTATACGAACGAATGCAAATGAAATATGTAAAAGAATCACAACATTTATTGTGATAATTATTAAATGAAAAAAAATTTGATAGATTTGTCAACATGATAAATCGTTTTTATTTTTAAATTATTGAGCTTTACTTTTTATATTGATTTACAGTTATGTTTTCCCAATATTGTAATCCACCAGCCATATAATAACTCATAAAATTTATTAGCATGAAAAAAAACAATATAAAATTGAAAAATAATGGCTAATACAATTGCCTCATGTTTGACGTTTTTTATTTTTTAGAGTGATAGAAATTTAAATATATTTCATTATTATTTTAATGAAAATATTTATTTTCGAAATGTTTTCTCAGCATACACCTATACATAAAAGCGAAAATTTTTTCTTTATATTTATAATGACTCTTAATATAGAAAAAAAATTAGCGACCCTTCTTCCTTGAGGTTTTCAAACGACAAAATGCTTTTGTGAGTTTTTGCATCAGCCAACATTTGGTTGGATGAATGGTGATGTTGGTCGAGTATCATTGAGCTTTCCACTTCTATTTTCTTTTCATACTCCTGGAATCGGGGTGACGAGAAATATTTCTCCCTTACTATTATTCAGGTTAGTTAAGTGTTCATGTTCTAAAGCTCGTAGACTGAGTGTATACTCTTCTTGGATCGATCGAACTACTGCGGTTTCATAAATCACCGCAGGACATTATGATTAACATTACAAGTTGACATTTAGTGTTTCTTGTAAAGAATATAAATTTAAACGCATCTTCAAAATTATGAATAATTAGGTAATGAAGTGTTTGAAGGTTTTGTTCTATTGATAAGGAATATTTTTCAGATGATGTGCGTGGTTTGTTTCCAGTATCTATTATTTTAGATACTTATATTGCAGTTTTGTAGCTAGGTCTGCTATCTCACGGAGCCATACTTTTTCATAAAATGAAATATGACGATACTTTATTGCATGAGTCGTGGTAGAGCTATGAAAAATGTTTTGTTATGACATTAACGGGGTCAGCAAGCTTCGTGATATTTCAACGTTATATCGAAACGAGTAACCACGAAAATTGATCTTAGAACACAAAGATACTGAACCTATTATAATTCTAAATAGACATTGTAAATAGCTCTATTATTTGTTACAATTCTTATTTTTCCATTATTATTTTCTGTAAAAAGTGTGTGTTTATTCCCGATGAATACTTTGCATTAAATTAAGTTTAAGCTTAACGAAAATTGCAGTGACTTCATTTTAAGTAATAAATAATAATAAATCCTATCTTGGTTTTTAATTTTATTTAATTTTTCATCGATTATCAGAATTTTGTAATGTTGAAAACAAAAATCAAATTAATGAAATTGAATATAAAATAGTTAAGATTTTATAGAGTTTAAACGTTTCCAAACTTTATTGGTAAATGTTTTTTTAAAAATCTACCGAATAATTATTAATTATTATTTTGGATTATTAAACTTAAACATGTTAACAAAATACTGACTCTTTTTAATTATCTTCGATGAGTTAAAAATAAGTAAGATATAATTAAAGTTTAAATTTAATTTACAATCTCAAACATTAGGCTATAGCGAATATTGATAGTAAAAATTTTTTATCAAGTATTAACTATAAATTTATTATGAATATGAAAAAAATAGACACAATCACTTCGAATAATCACTTTTATTTTAATCCTTATCGATATTAAATAACGTAATTACGGAGGGTATATATTTTACATGGAAAATGATCGTCTCCACATCATGCCAAAAATTTGGGCTTGACCTTTTCTGGAATCTTAGCTCTTTCTTCTAAAAAAGTATACCTTCCTTCTAACAGTATAATATCCTCAAATAATTATCAAGAACTTGACATGAAAAATGATATATATTTTCATTTCTTCACGGTTAAATTGTTGGCTTTAAAACGATATGGTTGTTGTTTGTATTTTGCAAGATTGCAATTAATTTATAGTTGACGGATATGAAGACAAAACGCGTTCTTTATAATTCATAAATTTATCTTTCTTCATTTCAATTTAATTAAACATTAATTAATTAATCTTAATATTCGTTAACTTTCTTCATACATTAGTTTATCTTTCTTTCACTCTTGCACTCTCTTTCTCGCTTTTTCTGATACGCTATACGTAAACTATACATATAGTAACGATGATAATTAGCACACTGTCAATTTCAAGACAAATGTGCGTCAAAATCCAAAGATAAAAGAACTATCTATCCACAGTAAATTGGATTAGACGTTCAAACGTGTCAAATTGGGCCTCAAAATTGGCTATAACTTTTTTTTATTTCTCAAAGATTTATGATTCTGTTTATGCGAGTCAATAGTAATATTTTCAGCACACACACATGCTCTCATTTAAAATAACGATGGACATTTAATGGGTCGAGCGGAAACAAGAGAGATTAGTTGCAATTATTTGTATAACATGGATAAGATACTTTTTGGAGGAAACTTAATAAATAATTCAAAAGTGCTACTATAATGGAAGCTTTCATATTCTTTGCATACTATTTGTCTCTCTATTCTTTCCGTCAACCTAATTTTTTAATTTATTTCAATCCTCAACGAGATTTTATAAGTAATTTTAACTTAAGTTTTTCATCGATATTTATTACTCATTTTAATCGTTTACTTATATTCTTTTATTTATTTATAATTAATTAATTTGTTACTTATTTAGGGCATTTATTCTTATACTCTTACACTCTTAACTCGCTTACATATATTTTAAATAGGCCTTTTCACCCTATCTAAGAATTTGAAAGTCTAACTAAAAAAGCAAAAAGTCTTCTTAATCATTTATTTATTTTTTCACATTTTTTCTTTCATTCACTATAATTTTTTTCTAACCGTATACCTCATAATATTTATACGATGTTGTCATACATACGGTGCATATATCGTTTAAACTGATACATCAAGCCGTAACTCTAAAATATTTTATTATAAATTTTCTATAATTGAAAAATCAGTTCAATATGTTTTTTTGTTTCGAAATTGTTTAGGATCATCTACCAGTGCAAGTTATTTAATACTTATTACAAAAAATGGAATATAAATCCGAAGACTGCACTTTCAAACTACTTTTGCACCTGCATCCGCATTAATTTCCTGTGCTTTTCATTTATAATTATTAATTATCATTTTATAACTTCTTATACGATCATTTACGAAGATATTGAATTTTGAATCAGACGAACAATAATTTCTAATACTTGACTAGCGTCTGGGGTACAGGCACTGTTCATTCACAGAATAATACATTTGTTTTTTTTTTAATGTTTTTTGGTTTGTTAACGATCATATTTATGTTTAATGTCAATATAATTAAGTGATAAACAAGATATATAATATTTATATCATTCATATTTTTATCCGGCATGCACCTTTTTATTTATATTGGATAGTTTATTATTTGTTTTGTATTTCATCATTTAACAGTTTTTAAATAATTATCAGAGAGCATAGGACTATTTGTTCACTTTCTATTTAACCGTCGTGCCTGCCAACGGTTTTCATTTCATTCTATTTTCTACTCTTTACACTTTATAGGTAGCCTTCGTAAATTTCAATCAAAGCTAATGCTTTACAGCTTTTTTAAGATGTTAGACGAGGCAGTATAATTACTTGAATCATTCAACTGATTGACAAGCATTTATCTGAAATTATCATCCGACCCTTATTCTCTTTGTTCATTATTTATTAACAGAAATAATTGTATTACATCTGGAGTTTCTAACTTTTTGATAAACAATAATCATCGATTTAGTATTGATTCAATGTGAATATTGTTCGTAATTATTAAGACAAAAAGTCTGTCAAAATTTTCAGTAAAATAAAATTATAAAAAATAACATTGAGTAAATACAAAAATGGAAGCTTCTATAATTAAAAAATAATTACATAGTAACTAATTTTGTCCAGACTTTTGACTCAATTTAAATTTTAGTAGTTAACATTCATGATGACAATTCATAAGATAGACTAGATTAGGCAAAAAAGGTACATTATTGCAATTCAATAAATTAGATTAAACATTTGTCTTACTTAGCAAATTTCTCAAGTGTCGCTCTCTGTAAACATTCATACTTTCAGATTCAATCACTCGATTGCTTATATTATTCAATTTAACAGACTTATCATAAAATGCAGTTTATCCTATAACGGAATAGTATTAAATACAATGATCTTCATAATCGTATTAATTAACATATGAAAAAATAAATAAGTAGATAATTATACTGGAACTTCTCATGTCGAATGAGACTTTACGGAAGTCAGAAAATAATATTGTTTAAAAACGTTTTGGTACATTATTCAAAGATTAATTGAAGTTAAATTTCGTCAAAAAATCATTCTAATTTTCTAGAGAAAATGCTTCAATATTTTCATCAAAAATAATTATAATAATGAAATTCTTATACTAAGTAACTATTTCATTTACAATTCATATTGCAATTATTTAATTTTGAAATAATGAATAATGAGAAAGTTGAAAATATTTTTGTCAAGCTTATTGTTGTTGAAAATATTTAAACATGTAGCCCTGTATGGAAGGCATATTATCACTAGAAATCACTACCTAGTGAATCATTTAAATCAATCAACTGCTATGTTTGCAAATTCACGCATGCCGGTTTGATAAATTTTGAATTTTTAATCATCCCAAGTAGGGAAGTTGTCTTGAGGTACAAAGAACCCTTGAGAGTGTGCTTGTGATTGTGGTGCAGAAGTGGTATGACTTGGTGAACCACCAAAGTTGGTATTACCGAAAACTGGCTGCCCAAACGCATCGAGCTGTTGTCCTTCGTAGATGCTGCGACTTTGCTCGCTTTTGAACCGATGTGATGGTGAAGCTCCGTGATGCTCGGTAATTTTCAGCTCTATATTACCAACATTATCACTCGAGTGTCCTATATCATCAGGATCTTTCTGTTCGAGGGAGCTGTTTTTTATTCCGTAGTAAAAGTACATGAAAAACCCTAAGTAAATCAATAAAAAATCATTTTATTGCTTTATACCTATTCAGGCATAAAAAAGATGCCTTTAATAGAACAAAGAAGACTCACCTAATGTCATCCAGACCGTAAATCTTACAAGAGTTAAAATACTCAGCTTGAATATGAGGTAAATGTTAACGGTCACTGCTATTGCCGGTACAAAGGGAAGTCCTGGAGTCATGAACATTACGGTATTCCTAGAATTCAAAATATGTAATTAGAAATAATTTTCAACAATGTTAAGCAGTTAAATTTAACAATATACATAGTAAAACTTCTTTTTCAAAGTATCTTGATAATCTTTAACGAAAAAGTAGCCTTTTTTATTCGTGTAGAAACTAAAGGTTCATGAAACAAAATTAGATTTTCGAGAAATAAATTACCTGTTTTGGGGTTTTCTGCTGATTGCTAATAATACTCCAATAATGGCAAATAAAAACAAAAATAGCAGAATCGTCGTAAAAGTACCCATATTACCCATTCCACATACGACAATGAGGTCAAATATAAGAATGAGTAAATAGAGTATTCCAACCATTTTCATCACATAACGACCAGATGCCTCAGTAGCAGGACCTCTATCTACCCACGGAAATATTGCTGGACATAAATATTGTGCTGCCTGCATAATGAATAAAATATTTTAACATTATTATTCAATTCAATTACATTTTATTTTTCAATTTTTTGTTACAGTACCTGCAATCGTCGCTGAAGATAGTTGAGAGGAGGTCCAATAATTGGAGTAGTTCCAGGATATTGGTGAGTACTACCACAACTAGAAGCTGCAGCAGCAGCATGAACGCTGCCGTAAAATTTATTTTCTGTCCTGTCACTCACAAGGTATTGATCATCTTTCCCTAAACCAACATCATCTTCTTCCCCACCGTAAGTGTCATCAGAGTCTGGTGATGAACTATTTGCTCTTCTCACACGACGTACTGTCACTGTTATTCTTTGACCATTGCTGTTGGATATTAACTCAGTTTGTGCAGCCTGAACTGTGTTTAGAGCGGTAGTCAACTGGTCAGGTCGTAATTCTTTACTATAAGCGGCTTGACCATTACTCTGTGTCTCTTTAGTTGGTGATCGGCAGGGTGTCCGAAGGCTTTGAGGTAGTAATTCAATCAGATTTGTTGAGTGAGGTTGATAACGTAGAATTAGCACGCACGTTGAAACGAGCGTATAGGCCAGCAGGGTGCCAATTGACATCATTTCTACTAAAACTTCCAGTTGAATCAGTAATGCTACAAAGGCGGCTAATACACCAGAAGTTATGGTGGCTATAACTGGTGTACCAGTGATGGGCCAGACTTGGCTCAAAGTTCTAAAATAAAAAAAAACCAAGATTTGTTCAACAAGTTTTTGTGCTTATGACACTCATTTTTTATACTATTGTTTTTTTTTGCACATCTTTAGATTGTATAAAAAAGTAAAACTTGATGCCTAATAATTTCTGATAGTGTATGTTCATTCTAAAATATATCTTTGTTGGAATCTATCATCGATAATAAAGTTTACGATTGAATAATTTGGTGAATAAATTTGTTAAATGAAATTATGAATTATTTTAAGAATTCTTTTATAATACATTTCAAATGAAATTACTTATCAATATAATAAATGATAATATTTCCCAATAAATAAATATCATAAACATCATAAAAGATGTGATAATACCAGAAATGAATTTGGAATGAAAATCAGTAGAAACGAAGATTAAAGTTCAATTGGTAAAAAGATTTTCACTTCATAAACATATTAAAAAAATCATTTAACGTCTTTTAGAAATACATTTTTAATTCCAATGATAGTTTAAATTAAAATTGAATAAGAAAACCGATAGTTACCTGAATATGAGGCCATCCTGAGCCATAGCATAAACTATTCGAGGCATAGGGAACATGCTGCCAAACATGGAGACAGTAAGACCCGCAAGTGCACCTACTGCAACTATATATTTACACTTGTAAGCTCCAACTTGACCGAACATGTCAACTAAAGCTGAATCTTGGTCAACCTCGTCATATGGTACTGAAAGTTTTAATTGATTTAATTTAGATAATGAGCTTAATGAAGAAATGAGGAATTCTGGGTGATGACACTTACCAATTAACGTCAGAACCATACTGCTCGTTACATAGGCAATTAAGATGATAATGAGAGATGAAACTATGGCAAGAGGAATACTTTTCTTTGGATTTGTTGCTTCTTCACCCGTTGTTGCGATAATGTCAAAACCAATGAAGGCATAAAAACATGTGGCAGCACCGGTAAATACCTGAGTCATTTAAATTGAGTTAGCTTACGTGTTACAGAAAATTTAGTCACGTAGGTCGGCACAAACACAGCTTAGTTGTGAGATTCTCATTAGTCCCACCCACATATATACGCCTACATTTCGAGTTCAGTGAAAAGCTGAAGGGTCGATATTAACGTTATATATTCTGTGGAAAAAATATTGTGGTTTATATAGCTCAAAGGTCAAGTTGCAATTCAAGTATCTAAAAGTCAAAAAGAGTCCTCAAGACTCTAAAAACTCTGGTGTTAGTTTAAACTAAGAGGGCATCCAGCATTTTTCATACTTTTACTTGTCATTTCAATACATGCATCAAAAGCTTTTTTTCGATTATGAAATTTATCTATAAAATTTCTGAATAAAATTTCAAATTGTATGGGTATTGATATCAATTTTTTTTTCAACAAAACATTAGGTTAGACAGCTCACGTACATTTACCAAAAAAAAAAAAGAATGAAAAATATGCATTTTATTTTCTTGTTATTCAACCTAAAAAGGATGAAATATCGGTTTTGGTATTTTTTTTATTTCCGTTCTACGCTGTCAGTCATTTGTAACTTGTCTGAGAACCTAAATTAATCTAGATAGATTTTTACATCATCGACATATGTATTATCGGTCTATCAACAATTTATCGAGCGGGTTTTCAAAACCACATATGTATAAAATAAACTCTTATGGAAACGAATCTTTCATTGGAACATGATAGATATGTTTAGAGAAATTTTTTTTTATAAAAAAAATCATGCCTTCTTTGTCTAGCTAACATTTATCTTGTAGCTTTTTCTGCAGTTAGAGGGTTTTATCTACATACATTTCTCTTATAATCATTGTCTTCCGTAATCTTCTTTAGTCTTTTTTTGAAGTCTCTTTGTTTTAACGAAAGCCGTAAGTTTTTTTGTTAGCAACTCAACACTTTGATTACGTAAATTTGTTGACTGTGCAACAAGTTTGTTATTGTTAGAATTCGCTTGGTTGAAATTTGAGTGTTACATTAGTTTATGAAAATATATGAGTTTGGCTTACATGTAATCTTCCCACTATCTTTGTGAAACTACAGTATTCTATCATTAATAAACACTTTAGAATAATATTACGTGAATATTGTTTCCTCTACTTTGCTTTACCGCAGCTCTACTTTGGGTGTGTAATACGTTCCTAGAATATTATCTGTATTATCTACCTGTTCAAGATGTTTGTTTCGATGAATAGTTTACATATTTTGATTTCGTCGATTAATCACTTAAATTCAATATAAACAGCAAATTTTTTTCATCTAAATTATCCAAGAATTTCTTTTTTAAAATTAATGAACATGCATAATTCGTTAAAAAATGCAAGAAAATTAAGTTGTTTTCAAAGTAAACTGGCAGCAAATTTTAGGAAAATTGTTCTTCAAATCTTCAAAATGAGACATTTTAAAATATACGAAAGTTTTTAATTAGTTGAATTTTTTGAAACTTGGAATAATTTGTATTTTCTTTCATTATTCCATAAAAAATTGAAAAATATTCAACACAAATTAATTCTTCAAAATTTTCAAATTTCTCTCTCATACTATGAATATCTCTTTGTCTTAAATTTTTTTCTTTTTCATTGAAAATGTTCTTTGGTTATCGGGAAAATCTAATCTAAGATTCTAAGTTGAAACAAGAATTCAATACACTATTATTTGACTCATCTTGAAGAAGAATTATATTTGGAAAATATAGTTTTTCCATTAGATGACAAAATATATATGCAATATGTCTGAATGTTATTATGTCTTACGCAGATGGAGATGTACAAAAAAAATTTCATTATAAGAGAAATTTATAGTTTTTAATAAATTTTTTAAAACTAAAAGTTACCATTGAAGGCAAATGGGGAATAAAAATTCAAATAATACCAGGTGTACGATAAATGTACATTCTCAACCTAAATTTTTTAAAACAGTTATTTCAAATAACAGAGCAACTAAAAATAATTTAATTTGAACGAAAATAATTTAAATAATAATATTCCTTTTTTCACTGAACTACAATACTTCATAAAATTTTTATAGTGTTTTATTGTCAATATTACTTTCAGAAAATTTAATTAACTAATTGCTGCAATTCATTTAAAAGGTATATAATAAATAAACTTTTTTCTCTGTATTTGAAATTGTTATTTTATTAATATTATAAGTGATCAATTAATAAATTAGATTATTAATCAACATAACGTTTAACAAATTCTTCCTAGGCCTGGTATACCTAAGTTAAATACTCCTAAATGTATCATATTTCGGGATAACCCAAAACTTTTCTTATAAAGGAAAATTTCAGTTTCTGCATGAAATTTTTTCCCCTGAGAGATACCGTAAATTTTTCAGACGTGACATTTAGACAGAAGTGAATAAGAAAATAAGTAAGTGAAGGAAAATGAAACTTACCCCACTCCAACCAAAAGGCAGAAAACCTTTGTGTTCAGTCCAATTGGTAGAGTCAACATAAAACATCCCAGCAGTCATAATGAAAACCCATACAGCTAGATTGACTGTGTTTAATACATTGTTGAACACCAGAGATTTCCTAACACCTGCTGCTAAAAGTACCATCATCAGCAAGGTGATAATAAAAGCCAGGAAATCTGGTGGTCGACCTGAAAGAAAAATAACAAGACAGTTGATAAGGTAGCTTCATGTTCCATTGAAAATTATCAAAGTATTAATGGAAGCTGTATTAAAATTGCTATTTGGAGAAGACATGGATCAAATATCTAGCTTTTATTTTTGCTTTTCCTTCGTACACAATACACTCGTTAGATCCTTATTAAGTTTATATTATACCATCAAAGAAAATCTTTTCAGTAGTTATGAAAAAAAAATTAAATTATCTCTTTAATTTCCAGATTAGCGTTGACAGATATTCCTTTATTCAATTTTTTTTAATTGAATTTTTATCATTTTCATGAAATATTTTTATATTTACTCAAACATTTATTTATTTCAACATTTCATGATTAAATAAAGTTTAATTGAAAACAATATATATTTATTCAAAGTAGGTTTTACTAGAATAAATTATTATCAAATGTTTCTCAAATATCATTCGAAATTTACTATTAAAAAAATATCGGTTTAACCTTCCTGTATTACAATGATAAATATTTTTTGTTTTATCACAAAAATTTTATTTTTAATAATAGAATAATTCTTTAGTATTTTTTAAAAGGTTTTTTCAAAATTATATCAAGAAGTACATCACAAGCATTTTAACAAAAATTTCTCTTAACAAATAACCCTAAAATATATTAGGAAAAATATAAAAAATTTATTGATTGCCCAGTAAATAATCAACCAATTTAATTTTAATATACTATCATCTCTTCTAATCAATACTCTACCACATTTTGATTATCGAATTCGTACAGCCCATAAAAATTTTGAAAGATTCTCAACGCCTATTAGATCATATGTTTATGACATATTCTAATTTGAGTATGAATCATGTTATCTACCGCTGATGCGAGCATAATAATGATAATAGAAAGGGTGGGCTATAATTGTGATTGATTTTATAAGAGAATTGCTGCTTAACATAAGCTTGCATTAATTGATTATAAGAAATGAGTGGCACAGCATGTGATGATGACAACGGGGCGGGGAATATACAAGAAAAGCACTGGGAAAAAGATATGAGACAAAGAAAGAAAAACAGAAAGAGAGAGAGAAAAGAGTACGTGTTGGCGAATAGTTAGTGTAGCGCTTCCCTCGTAACCAGATCGGATCGATGAGGTCCACAGGTGCCAGACATAGAATCGTGTGCGCAAGCGCTTCTCTCTTTTACTCCTCACCCTCGACATGCTTATTCGGCCATTTCCGGTTGTACGGACCTATCCAAGCATACACAAGGGCCTAAAAATTCCACGGGTCCTCCACCCTAGGACTCTTGAACAATCTGCTTCACTTTTTATCTCCCAATTTCTTTACTGTATTTTACTACAAGCTATTTACGTGATCCGGAAGAAACAAAAGAAAATGGCTTTCGTGAAGATGTACATATTTATCTTTTTTTTACGTCAATTGCTAAATCAAATCAAACTCGATAAACCCTTTATCTTGCTCCTGTTATGAATCATTGATTTTAAATGTCTTGCTTTGACCAAACATCCGTTGTCTGCATACGATTTATAAGCAGTGCTTTTGTTCACGCAATCGATACTGCATTCTTAGAATTCTTCAGTACTGCATTGGCACTATAAATATATACGGAATGATAATAGAAAGAGAGCAGTATCTTGAGAATTATAAGCAGTTTTTAAATATCGATAATAAGCCCATCATTAGTGATAAAGACTTGAATTTTTAATAAAAATTTTAATTTTTTTATAATATAGAAAATTTTTTTCAATCACTAACATTTTTTGTATTGGGTAAAATTATATTTTTATTGAGTAACTTAAACAATTAGACTGTTTTAGACGATTATATTCAATTAAAAACTCCGATAAAAGATCCTTAAACTTAAAAAAGAAATTTTTTCTTTTTTTAATTGTGTTTCAGACGTGAATGAAGAAAAATGGATAAAAGCACAGAATAGACTCTTTTTGTGAAATTGATGTTGTTCAAAGAATAGCCTAGGTTTTGTTTTAGGTCATTATATGCATTATAACGAAATAGAAAAAAAGTTAAATGAGTTCAAATGTTTCTATATATACTAAACTAGTATTATACTATATCCTAGATGTCTCAGTGGATTTGCCGATTCATTCTATTTTTTCACAGAGGGAAAATACAATCTGATTGTCAACATAATTTCCCAACAGTAGTCATCCGTGTGCTTGGGCAGTTAAATTTAAGAGAATCAATTTTTGGACATTTCAAATTCATAAGCTGTGACGAGATGATATTACGTAGGATTTATTTCATGTTTAATTAAAGTTTATGGGCATTTTAATGACTCATTTCGAGGAATGAAAATAATGTAAAAGTATGGAATGAATTTTAATCAGCTCAATCATCATGGCGCGAAATTACTGATAGGCTAAGCACGATAAAAAGACGATATCAGAGCCTCTTTTAGGTATAATGTAGAATTATGATAACGTCGTTGAAGGTCTTACTTTGTGTTTGTAAGCTTATAGTGAAGAATGTCGGGACCCTGTACTACGATCGATACATGAGAAGCCGAATCATGACTGTGGAAAAGCGTTTTCTCTCGCCACCCTCTTGCTTCGAGTCATTATAATACAACGCTTAAAGTATAAATGAGGGTTTATATCAGATGAGTCGAAAATTTTTAAACCCAATAAGAGGTCGCTTGTCCCCCCTTTATTTCAGATGATTTATTGAAGATGTTAAAAGCTGCCAGGTGTTCAGAATCAAGTATCTCGTGTGAAGAAAATATAAAAGTGATCCCAGTGTTATTTTGTTATTTATGGTATTGAGTATTAAACTTCTTGCTTGGTTCGTAGTTTAATATGGGAAATAAAGTGCGTTAATAAAAGCAGTTAAATGAAGGCTAAAGTATACTCCATGGTCGACAGTAGTTCAAGGTGCAACTTCTGCGTGCACTAGCCGAGCATATCGTGCACAAGATGTTGCATGGACTCTATATATTACTTTTTGAGAAAAAAATAAAACTTAACTTACCAAAAATAGTCCCGACACTGTTGGCTATCGCACTGGAAACCGCTCCATTTGCTAGGGCATCTAAGCAAGCGCTAAGAGCGCAAGCACACGCACTTGTTCCTATAAGATATTCTAGCACCATATTCCATCCAATTACGAATGCTATTAATTCGCCAACCGTCACGTAACTGTACATGTACGCACTGCCACTCGTGTGAGGCACTCGGACACCAAATTCGGCATAACACGCACCTAGAAGGTACACAACATGTATATCAGCATTAATTATTATGTTAATATTAATTGATAAATTGATTTTTTAGATTAATACATGCTAATGTTATTGGCTATAAGCTACTGATTATTAATTTCTCTCAGACTTAGTAATTAGTTTGATCGTTATTAATTTTATATTTCCTACTTATAATACCTCATTATGACTAAATTGAAATTGTCAGTTCCTGTTGTTTAGATTCTATTTACAATCAATGTTACGTAAGAAAATTCTTGTGGATTTTTTAATGGAAAGAACTTTGATCTTGTAGTTGATTGAAAGAAAATTTTTGTTGTTTTAGAGAGAATAAAATCAAATTACTTTATTTCCTTCTTTGTTTGTAATAAAAAACTTTTCTTTTTCTTCTATTCTTTTCTAAATTATTTTAATCAAATAAATAACTTCATTAAAGTTATCCATAAACGGCATTCTAATTGAGTTTTTTATTAGAGAATTTTTATCTTGATATTTAAACGATATAAGAATTCAATGCCATTATTTGGCTATTATTATTTTGATACTTATACATAGTTAAAGAGGATAATATAGTACTACAGACTACTAAAGAATTTAGTGAATATCATTGTAAATCTAAAGTGTGTTAAAATAATCCATCTTGAGTGTGTTCAATGTTGTATTTCTATTCACAAGTTATAGAGCCTTGTAGTCATTTTTAACCCACTTTAAGGTGTGTTAAAAGCTATACAGTACAATATCCCATCTGTTACCCCAATGGGCAAGGACCTTTCAGATCTGTTACTTTTCGGCTTGTACCCCCGCTTTGTAATTAATATTTCCTACTATATGCGCATAAAGATGCGCAAAAAATGAAAATTCGAATATACATGCGCAACATATGATTGAACATTATGTACAGTTTTAAAAAGCTCGCCACATAATTAATTTATGATTGGCTCAGGGAAAGATTAAGAGAAGAAAAGGACAATTCACAGATGGCAGATTATCCTACGAGTAACAGAAGCGAGAGAATCACAGAAGAAAGAGTAACAGATGGTATATTGTACTGTAGTTTGTTTATGGGGTTTAACATTGAACACTTGTAGAAATGTTTACTGTAACACACTTTGAATTTACAGTGTAAAAAGACTAACGAGGAATTTAATGTCTATTAAAAAAATAAGAAAAAATGGGGTAAACAGGGCGATAGAGTCCAATCAATATAGGAGGCTTTGCTCCATTTGTGAGCACATTTTTTGTGTAATGGGCAATATTTAATGTTTCAACGTCAAAATATCATCAATAATTTATAGAAAATATGTGCCCAACAATGAAACTTGCGCCTATTTTTTTTCTACGATTTTTTTGTATTTTAGTGATCCTGTGTATCTAAGTGAGATAGCGTTAAAGGCAGCGCCGCGTGCCAGAAAAAGACATAACTAGTCAAAATGGAAATAAGCATTTGTTATGGAAGAAGTCTTTTTTCTTTTTTTCGTGATTAATTTTCTATTTTTTTGTAAAATAGAAAAAATTTATGTAAGAACAATACAGAATATTATTTATTCACACATGATATTTGTAAAACATAATTCTATGTAATAAATATATAATAATGTAAGCAATTATAATTAAAAATTTATGTTACATATAAAAAGGGCAAATAAATGTTTTAAAATAATCCAACAACTTCAGGATTAATCTCATGATTATTATTTTGGTCAAAATTGAACAGAAAGTAATGAACAATGAAAAGAAGAAACACAGTTTGAAATGAACAATTCTTTATATCAAACGTAAATAATTGAATATTAAAAATATTTATTGATTTAAAATTTTATTATAAAATATTCTTCAGCTAAGAAAATGCTTTTAATGTTTAGCTAATAGCTTTTGTTGAACGAAATCGATTTTATTAGGAGTTCGATAATTCAATGATTTCTCATTGTCGCTGAAAATTGCTTTCGTACTAAAATGAAAGAGATGTCGTAAGCAAAGAATGCTTATTTTATGAAATATTAATTCAAAACCATGAATATTTTTCATATATTTACCAGAAAATATGGAAGCAATGGCTGCAATTATAAATGAGATGACGACACCTGGTCCAGCAACACTTCTCGCTACCATGCCAGCTACTAAGTACATTCCTGTCCCAACGCATGATCCAATTCCAAGGGACGTCAAGTCTAACGTTGTCAGGCACTTCTAAAATATTCAAAGAATTTTGATGTTAAATCTTGACGATATGCTCATATTTTCAAGCATCACAGCATCTCTTCATTCATGTCTTTTTGTTATTTATACAAAATATTGTTAACGTTCATTTTTAACATTTTCACTTATTTCTATCCTCAATAATATAAAATAACTTGTAACATATCGTTGGCTTAGAGTATAATCCTGCTAATCAACGTCATAGGTCACTTAGAAATTTTATTTTGAAAGACAGTACACTGAAGATAGTCTTCACTTAATGAGTTTAGCCAGAAAAATGAACCACAAATATAAACTATAGACTTATCTTAATTAACTATCCTATTGAAAAATCTAATTTCTAAAATAGATCTAGCACGGTTACACTTTAAACCAACAATATATGGCAAAATGTATGACAATTAAATGTCATATGTTACTTTATATGTTTACATAAATGTTAAATTTACTTTGTCGTCATGTTTACCTGTTAATTAAGTACAAACAATAGATAAAAAAACATCAGTCAACAATATAATTATAGAGCACGTTCAATTTCATATTTAAATAAATTATGTAAGTCTTAATTATCAGTATTAATACTCAAGTTTACTCGGTTTTTAATAAAATATTGACGCAATTTTCATTTTAACTTTTAACTCCATTATTTTCATTAATAATTGAAGCAAAGTTCTCTGTTTAGTATTGTTCCAATTAGCATTCAACGTAACTACATATTCCTACCAGAAGACGAAAATGCAAAAAATAATTAATTTTTTTATAAATAAGATGAAGATTTTGAAAAATCAGTAGTATTGAAGAAGATATTTTAAAGTATATCAAGTTCTTCCATAGTAGATCGTATATTAGTAAAGTTTGACAAACTGGTAACCGACCTGACAGAACAATTTAAAAGTTTCTTGTCGATGTACACGTTCGAAAAAGAAAATAGATCGTGTAAAGTAAAGTGGCAAAAAATTGTATGATTAAATAATCGGAAAAAATAAATTGATTACATTTAATAAATTGATATTTAGAGCAAGTTTTACAGGTTTTGCCAATAATTTATTTTAAATTAGAAATAAAAAAATATAATTCTTTTTTAAGTAACTTATCACTCATAAATTAACATAGAAAGTCTTTTAATGTAATATACTATAGAATTACTAATAAAAAAAAGAAAAAATTAAGCTAAAAAAATTAATTCTAAAGTATATAATATATTCTTAAGGACAAAATTTATTATCGAAACTTTGACGTTGAAAATATAATTCTTAAATAAATTTACTAGAGCCTATTTTCTTAATAAATTTTTTCCTCAAAGCCAGAATATTGATCATTTATTTGACCGTTATTTATTTAAATCAACTCATAATTGTTTATTCATTCAAAATTGAAAAGACTTACATAAATCATCAATTTCTTTTGATCAAATGTTTCGTTCGAAGACATATTAGCTTATTAATAATTGTCTTAATAATACTTGATGGACATGGAGCTGGCTAATTAGAAATCTAAATTCAGATGTGGGTTTTTTAAAAAAAAGCCTTGTCAATAAATTAATCATATCCGAAATCAGCATTTGGCGTGGCGGTTGATTATTATATTATCTACTAATATGGATGTACTATGCTGGTAAATGAACTGATATCCTGGAATTCGAATCAGATAGATACATCATGAGACAAGTCACGAAGTTAATCTGAACATGACAGTCAAATCAATCGAGAATAATAATGTTCAATAGGTTTATTCAATTTAATTAATTACATCTATTTTGTAACTAGACATGTAAGTTAATCATTTGTCTTTATGTATAACCAACCTGTAGTTTCTGCTTGGAGTCATTTGGATGGACGGGTTCTGGTCCTCTCTGCTGATCTCCTTGTAAGTTTTCGATTTTTTTCGTTCGTATGAATTTCCCAAACAATTTCAAGCCCTTTTCTCGATCCATCATTTCGAACTTCATCTTTCTGCAATGTCAATAATATTATTTTTCGATAGTTTCTCAGAATGGTCCAAGCATTGGATACAAAATAAAAAATAAAAAGTAAAGTGAGAATGAATCAATAAGTGGAATAATAAAAAGGTGCGAAAACATAAAAGCAATGCAGTTTATTCTCCATTCTCGCAGTGCAGGTTAGTACACAGAATGAGTCAACGGAAGCGGCGATATTTAGTTAATTAAATTTAATTAACGACGTTTATTATTTTTTTATTCGATTATTTATTCTAAAAAAATTGAATGATTATTTTTAGACTAGTGTTCAATTGTAGAGTTTAAATGACAGTGTATAATAAATAATATTTTTAATAGTTTTTAAGTAAATTGTTTTGTTCTTATCATTGATTTTTTTTACAATTTAATTATGCTAAAATTCTTTTTTTATCAGTTTCTATCTGTACGTAGAAAAAAGACTTTTGTCTTAATGAATTTTTGTTTCAGCTTCTCATTTAAAGTTTATATAAAATTAAATATCATTAAAATAATGTTTCATCCATTTCTCCTGTAAAAATATCTATAGATTCTTGTAACTTTGGTGTAGTTATTGAAATCAATGTAACCTTCTCTAATACGTGAGTGGAAAAAAATTCAAAAGAAATAGGTTGAATGTAAAAATTCAATCTTGATTTTTAATCTTGGATAAAAAGATTTTTTTCTATATTTTATCAATTCTTTCAATATCAGTAAATAAAAATGTGTTTTTCGTGAAAATAAAATTTAATAAAAAATAAAAATCATCATGATGGTTCAATTTTTTAGTGGAATATCAAGTATAATAAATATACAGGATATTCATTCAGAAGTTTGTTTACGATTTAAAGTCCAGGAATAGATATGAAAATAAGCTTGAAGGTGTTATAAATATGTGGAAATTTATTCAAGTGTATTGGTGTCGACGTGCGAATAAAATTATAGGTAAAGTTCTGATTCGTATTCACGCATAAACTCGAACCCCAAATGCATACCACTTTACCATAAGTACTTGGTTACATTCAACTTAATTCTCTTGCATATTGGTAGAGAAGCATATATTTTCAGTTTTGAAGCTACTTTCTCATTATATTTTTTATTCACAAAACCTCCTAGAACTGTTCTATTTGCAACCCCTACTGTTTTCTTTATTATTATTTCCATTCTTTATTCCATCATGTCACTTTATTACTATTTCTTTCTTTAAAGTTATAACTATCATTGTTATTACTAACTTGGCTTCTTTCCCATTAATAACTTCTTAACGTTATCATAATAATTTATTTTAAAAAACAATGTAATAGAAAAATATTGTGCAAGGGGCTGAAGTAAAAAAATTTATTCCACGTAAATTGTATACCTTGGAATCAATAGAATAACAATTTCACTTCGTATTTTTACGTCCGGCCAACTTGGTAAATTATAACCGACAAGCTTGACATGGAAGAAAGATTGCATGTCGTGTTTCTGAAGGAGCATAGAAAGACAAGAAATTCCGATTGACACGTTTATCTTCCAGTATGTAAGAAAAAGTCGAAGAAAAGAAGTAGATATTTCTCATTTCTTGAAAATATTTAAATGATTTGCGCTATAAATATTTTGCAATATATAAAATCATTGACTTTTAGTTGCATAGTACATCTAATTTGGATCTTCATTCATTCTTTCTACCTATTTTCTTGTTAAAATTCGAAACTCTCGTTGCAAGGTATTCTTTGAATGAACAAACTCGACAACTCTAAAATAAGAAAAGTCCTGTTATCAAACCCTGTTCTTGTATCGCTCTTCAGCCCTGGATCAGCAAATTCGATTAAAGAATCTCACGTTGTGTGATATCTTGAATCGTTTATCAAGAAAAAAGAACCTCCTGTCTATGGATAATCTTCATGTGTCTTAATAATTCGAAGTTGATATAATTAAAGTAACAGTATGTAGTTTTATTTCATCAAGAATTTATTTAGTGATGTTTACATTAGATGGTAAAATGCATAGGAAAGCTGTTAGTAAAGGAAATAATTTATATCGGATCGTATTTGACTTGATATAGGAGCACAGAAATCCATTAGAAGTTTAATAATAGCAAACAATATGTTTTACCAGTAGGTCTTCGATTGAGGCAAATAGTTGGTTAATCGACATATGTTGAATCGTTCTGAATATAAAGTAACATTCATGTACGTAATTACTGTTTATAATTTTAAATAAGTTGTCAATTTAAGATTTATCGGAAAACAGGATTTCTCCCTCGACGGTTTTTATTCTCTTTTTATCAGTGTAGTAAATCTTAATAGAAACGCCGATAATTTCATAAAGTACGTTAAGAGGGAAAATTATTATTGAAAACCTAAAAATAAAACTCCAGAGAGAGAAATTTTTTAAAATACATGTATTTATCATCCGTTATTTATAACATATCCGTGAGGTAGAGAAATTAATTGATCAGGAAATAAAAAAATGCAGTAGTATGAATAATAAAATAAAAATGTTAAATGTTTATAATAATAATAATAATAATAATAATAATAATAATAGTAATAATAATAATAATAATAATAATAATAATAATAATAATAATAATAAGTGTTAATAATGCAAGACAATTGAATTCTACTGTAACTACTGTTTAACTCTATTTCACAATTGTGGAGTCTTTACAGTAGAATTAAATTATCTGGTCAGCCTTTCTAATTTTTGATTATATTTTTCATGTTTATAACTTTTTTTAATTTAAATAATCAACAGGGAATGTGAAATGGCCACCTGAAGTGACCATATGATGACAATCAAAATTTTCGAGTGTTATTTTTTACTGATATTTTAACAGGTAATAAATGAAATAATTAAAAAATCAATATGAGCTACAGCTGTTGTTTATATAGAGAGGATATTATTATAGAAATATAAATAATTTGGTCTCGGTAATAAGAATAATTAGAAGACTGCGCTGGTTGTTGGAGAAGTAGGATAAACGATGTTAAACGCTTATGCCTTTGTCCCTAGATGTTCAAAAGCGATTTTCAGTATCTTGATAATTGTACGCCAACTCTCTGGCTTTATACTCTAACCATGAACTCTCTCTATCGACATTTAGAGTTTCTATCGTCGCAACAGGCGGTAGATTTTTTATTCAATAAAATTCGATTTTGGTTACTTTATTTCTTATAGAATATTCTCTTAATCCGAAGATTGAAAAGGAACAAAGGCTTTAAAAAAAAGTTTTCAAATACATTTCTCTACATTATGAATTGAGTAGAATAAGAACAAAGGTGTGTTCAACAAAAATCGATATTATCACTTGAAATAATTTACTGAAAGAAAATAAAATACGTAATCACATGATTAAGCAGAAACGAAAAAAACACAAAAATCTAGGTTAGTGAAACTCAGGGATAGTTTTCTGAATATTAAAAAAAGTTTTGCAATAACGATTAATTTTGGGAATTATTTTACACCGCAAAAACTTTTTTGTACGTGTTTGCCAAAATGGAACCATGCCGAGTCGAGGGTTATGTTAATCTAGCGCTTGGAAATTCACACGTGAAATTTACGTTCATGAAACAAACAAAATTGTCTGAATTGTCCAGAAATTATACTTAGATAAGTAAGGGGGATATTGGGTTAGTAACTAAATCTCAACATATTTATTCAGGTTGTAAGTACCTTTTTCAAAAGAAAAATTTATGTTGTCATTATTTATATTAACTAAAAAATAATAGCTAGCACCAAAATTATTTAAAAAAATTTTTAATAACATGAAAAATGAAATTAAAATATCTCGAAATATAAAATAAAATTTGAATCATCTCGACGAGTACTTTTAAAATAAAAAAGATATTCTGAAAATACTGTAATTAATTGGAATTTTGTTTACATAATAATACTACTAAAGTTCTATTAATAGATTCACTAATAATTCAATTTTGACATAATTTTATTCAAAAGTTATTGTATTAAGGGTGCATAATTTAACGCCATATTTTTTCAGTCTTAATAATAAAGATTGATATCACATTAAATTATGAGATTATGATAATGAAATCATTATCACATGAAAGATCATTAATGATTATTATTTTTATTTTACATCTTTACAATAAAAGACTCAATAACAAAAGAAAATCAACTTCTTAGAAAAAATATAATATTTAAAATCCAACCTTTTCCAAGGAAAAAATAAACATCTTTGTTTCAAATTGATTCTTCCATAAAATTTTTTATTTATTTACTTTTATCTTTTTCAATAATAGACATTTTTGCAAAAAAATTCAATTCCTATTTCAATTCTAAAACAACATAATCTCTAGATTTATCTTCCATTTCATCCTTCCAATGCTACAAATTTGTCACAAGTAAGGAATAAAATCAATAGAAATAGCAATTTTCTTGCCTGAAAAGTGCAAAGACTTATTTACTAACTCAATACATTTTAAAAGTACGATTACAAAATATTAGCATTGAATTTCAGTATTATTTATCCAACTGTCTCTGTCGATATGGATGGAAAATCGAGGCCAGACATGATCTTGCAACTCCAAGTGCAACGTGAGAGAATCCGGCTGCAGGATAACTGAATATGTGTACGTAGTAAACTTAGTGTATTTGATCAATCGCTTTGGAGAAGATTACTTTGAGTATTCGATCAGTGCAATTTGTATACTGTTCATGTTAAAGAGCAGAGGATGGAAACCCGTGTATGTCACTGTTGTTAAATATTCCATTAAGAATCTCAAAATAACTGACTACTCTACATTAAAAAAATGCATTGTATACATTTTTATGCATGACCTTTTCTTTGTCTAACAAAGCTATTAGGAGAGCATGAGAATAATTTGAATGAAACGTGAAAAAAATAGTTAGGATATGAATGAAACAAAAGCAAGCACAGTACTACACTAATTAGTCAACGTACGTTTGTGAAAAAACTCCAAACGTTTTCTACATCTCGCTAAGCGGCGAGTTAACTTTTCGTGGCTGACAATCGTACGAAACACAAGAGGGTCGATAGTTTGCGTCGCAGAGCCTTCCATAGCATCCAAAGTAAGATAAACTATAAACAATTATATCAGTGAGCACACAAGTTTGATGTTACGTGCTAGCATACAAAAATGTGTTTGCCAATAATAAAAAAAAAATATTCCAGTGGTGCAATAAGTGCAAGGAAGATATTTATATTTATAAATATAAATAATAGATACTCATATATAATAAAAAACATTTCGGTGAGATTTGATTGAGATCCCCGACTCACCCTCTCGTTAATGTGTCTACTACTTGGCCTAGCAGGCTCGTATAATCTTAATCCTCCGCCCTTCACTTGGATCACTTTCAAGAGAAGAGTATTTTACTTCTCTTCCCTCTTAATCACGATTACTCCGACCCTTTTTCTCTGATAATTTATCTAACAAAAACTCTCTTTTCGGCAGGACTATTCTCTACGTGATTCCTGCCCGTAAAAAAGCTATTCACGGTCTTTACACTCCGTCATCGTAGTCAACTCGTGTCACTCTTCTCCGGAGAGTTTTTTTTTAAATTCTTATTTTCAGCGCGTTTAGATGATTAATTCACGATGTCGTTGATAATTTTTTTCTTCAGTCTCAGTTGCGTTTTCTATACTCTTTCTGATAAACGACTGCCATAAAACATTTCTCAGTTGTTTGTGTTGTTTTATAATACAGGTAGGGACTACGACACAATTACATTAAACTGCACTGTAAGAAAGCCTTTGGAGGAAGAAATATTGTCTGTATCTTTCTCTGTTGTATCTCACGCAAGTCTTTTGTGTTCGTTTTTGAAAACGGGCTCTAGATCTAAACTACTGGAATTCGGCACTGTTGCGGCTCGTGGTGAGCCTCGAGTCACATTTTAGATTTTAGCAACAACGGTGCCGGTTGCGCCGTCGGACCACGGCAGTAAGTTTTATCCGCGCTGTCCTCCCCTATCGTGGCAGTGTCTGCCCTTACGCGCAGTATCCACTTAAGCTTTCGCTCCCACTCTCGTGTCCAAGTGTACTCACGCGCGCGTCTGTTACCACTAACCGTGCGCATCCTTGACATCACCCTAAACCTGCCTCATCCCTGCCTGTCCCTTCATATGTGCGCGCGATTCCAGTTATTCTACCCCACTTCTAGCATCTCTTTTGCCTTTTGTACCCTTCCCATATTCACGAGACTATACCTACACCCCTAGCAGTTGCTTCTATTGACGTCGTGTCCCCTCCCTTATTCTCCAACTCGCGCTGTTTCTCACTTAGTCTACCTTTTCTAACCCTCTAAAAGCTTCTCTTCTGTCTCTTTTATCCTTTCTCCCTCGCTCGCTTTTTTACGTCTACTCTTTGTGACGTAACTCAACTTTACGTCAAATTCGTTGAATTGATGCGCGTACGCTGTGCTTTACTTTTTAGCTCGCTCGGCAATCTTAATCGTCACATCTGCTCTCTAAAACGCGCTAGTATTCTACTTAAAGTTTGATGTTTTCACCCACGCGCAATTTCGAACACCCACATGCTCTAACCCTCCAAATGTCGCTGCCTGAATTTTGATCATTTTTTCATTATATTTGATTTATTATTACTGATTCACATTTTAAAATAATTTATGTTGTCCCACACATTTATTTTTAATCATTTTTACGATATATCTGATGATAACGTTTTATTCCTTCCTATCTACTGTGGGTGTTTTAAATACTTTTCAGTTCGATGAAAATATCTTTATTATCGACTCAAAAAAATAATAATAATTGTAATTCAAATAAATAAGAAAACTTGATTAAAAATTAAAATTCGTATTTATTTTTTCATTACCCAGAAGAACTTTAGCATATTTTGACAGTAATTGTAAACTATTTCTGCTAAAAGTAAAAAAGATGTTATCATATCAGGAAAGAATTGGGCGTCATTTGAATGTGAACTTTTTATAGACATAAAAAGTAAATGAATTATAAAATTGATTAATTGATATAAATTACCAACGATGAAGATTCTTGCAACAAATTAACGTCAAGTAATCTTTTGTTGGTAATTTTAATTTAAGTCATCTTCATTGTTGATAAGAAGTGATCAATTTATCGTCAGACATATACATAAAAAATGTTTGTAATTCGAAAAAGTACATAATTTTACAATATTATTATTAATTATTCGTATATCATAACAATTACATCTATCACTTTCTTTCGAAATAGAATACAGCTCAGTTGAAAATTGTTACGTTATTTACTTATCACGTTACAAATATGTACAAGAGCCGCGTGTATATAATAAGAAACATTATTTATGTATTCGCGCCTTTAAATTTTTTTAAACATAAATTAACAAGTAGAGAATTTTTTTTTAGATATAACCGATATTATCTGATATTTAAACATTAAATACCACTAATATCTTTACTTGAACTTTCATTTATATTAATGAAAATAAAACAAAAACTAAAATCTATCTATATACAGTTTCCACCTTATGATTTTGGTGCCAGTTGCAAGATGCTGTTATTCCCCTTGAAATTCATGATAATTAATCATTACAACCCCTAATCAATATACTAGAGCTTCTGCGATGACGACTCCTCTTCTTTTTTATACGTATAGTAAAAAAATGAACATGGCAAGGTGCTTGATGATACGAAACATATTTTTTGATAACTAGAATTTCTAGCTAATTTTTGCACCATATCTCGTGAGCGTGAATTGTAAAAATAGCGATGCTTATCATGAATCAGTCGACCGACACATAGTTCTGGTTCTTTATCATCTTCCTAGTTTAATGCTATGAGCATTAGAATAGAAAGATAAGTCAACATTATGATTTTCCAGTGATTGAACCAGAGTACATCTACTCGACGCATGTTTTCTGATGAGATATTTATCATGATAAATATTTTTTCAATTTAATATGACTTTTTGGTTGTATCATCGTGAGAAACCGTTGAATAATTATTATTTAGGTCACTCCGATATTGTATAAGGCTTCCGAAGGTTCATTTCTTTAACAGCAATGCTCTCGCCTTTTACATAATAGTCTGCAGCATCTCGCCTTTTAACTTCTGAACTCCTTTCATTTGTGTAAGTGTAATCTTTGCCATTGGAAATGTCATTAGGAGTGCAGGCTCCAGTAGCTGCAGAGACAGCTGCCAATGCTGCGGCCTTTGCTCGGTTTCTTGATTTCTTACCATCAGAGTAGTTTTGTTTGTAAAATTCACTGAATAAGAACAAAAACATGATAGCATGGAGACCAATCCACCAGACAAAAGCCTTGGGATAATTGCACTCAATAAAGAGTAGTTGAAAGGCATGGATCATTATTAGCACAAACTGAACCATCTGAAGGGCAGTCAGATATTTTTTCCACCAGAGGTAAGGCTGCATTTGAGGTCCAAGGGCAGCCAGTAAGTAATATGAATACATAACTATGTGAACGAAGGTATTGAGCAAACCGAAGAACGTTGAGTGACCACCTGAAATATTTTAATGAAACCATTATTTAAATTGTTCATCAAGGTGTGATTTTTTTATTCAACTTTTTGCATTAGCATTGAAAATTTTTTTGTTAGTTGAAATATGAATTGTTAAATGAGGTTGATGTTAATGGATATTTTTATAGTTAATATTTTTATAGATAATTTTTTTTAATGGATTATTTTGTATTTCTAGTATAAATTATACATACCTGGGGTGAATTTGACTCCAAACCACACAGACATTGGCATACATCCATGATGAATCACGTGAAGTGTAGAGACATGGTTATTCTTCTTCCTTAGTACGAAGAAGATCTAAAAAAATGCATGATAATTAATCATAATGAATTAATTATTTGTAAGGAGATTCTTCTATTGCAAATTCCAGTCCCGGATGACAAATTATAAAAAAAATATTTCATATAATCAAAAATATATTTATAAAAAGCAATATTTATTAAATTTATTAGAAATTAACATATCTCTTTTTTAATATTTTTTGAGCTTAAAATTAAAAAATTTTCTTCTTATTTGTGGATAAAATAATAATTCATTAAATGTTTTATCATCTCGAAACCTAAATCAAAGTTCAAATACCAAAATACTTATTACTTTTATTCTAGTATTTGAAATATTTTTAATCGCATGATATCAGTTCCCGTAACAGTATAATTTAGTTTCTTATCTTCTAAGTTTATCTAGAGAAAAATCTCTTCGAGTAGATTCATCAAGTTCTAATATCTCACCGTGTCAAAAAACTCTGTGAATTTGGAGAAATAGTACCACCAGCTAGCATGAACCATCTATTGAATTGAATATAAAAATAATAATTAGTATAAAAACAGTAAATTAAATCGGATATTAGTACTGTGCTAGATTGAATTCAAGTTAAAAGATAATAACACGTAAGCAAACTAAAAAAATCTTGGAAGGATGAAGGAATAATGAGGGATATTGAAAAGTATTGAAAGAAACGATTCTTTAGATTATGTAAGTAAAATATGAAAAAATGTAAAGCTTGAGAAAATAATGGAAGTGGAGGTAAATGATTGCTGGCACTCAGGTACTTGCCCAGTTACCTTGTGTTAATAGCCTGAAGCACATTTACACTTGTGAATCCAATATAAATTTTATTTCGAATACAGCAAGAAGTTAAAGCAAGTTATAGAATCTACACTAGGACTTGTTACAGGTCGAGTTGTTCTCGTTATCTCGACTGATAGTTTTAATCCAGGACACCCACCCTCAGTACTTGAGGTCGGTCGCTGTAGTCTACAGGTTGGCACCTTAGCGAATAATCCCCTGTCAGCCATCCGGACATTGCTATCTGTAACCACAACCAACAAGACGCCATTCTGTGATCAGATAATATTTAAGTACCATCACCTGGATGACATTTAGCATTTTTACTATTGTTATTCATTACTTTCAATATACGTTTCATTTATCGCATTTACATATTCTACATATTATATTTTATATCCGCAAGATGTCTTCGCTGAAATCAACAAGATACGATTTGTATTTTTATTTAGCTATTGAATTTCTCATTTGTATTTCATGTCTTTCTTGTAGGTGAGAATTTCTCAAATGTTATAAAACTATAACATTAATAAAAAATAGTAAGAATATATAGCAGAAATTTTTTTTGTGGACGTCAGTGTAATTTTGCTCAAGATAAACAGAAAAATGGGAAATTCATTAGCTAATTCAATAAATGAATGGTATTGATTTCTTTCATTTTGTCCTGTTGAAGTAGAAAATCAGTCAAAAGTATGCTGAGAAAGCTTCCATGATGAGTTTGCTAGAATGTTTTTTTGATTTTTATTTTTTCGTCAAAAAAATAAGAACTAAACAATTTCTCAATATATTAATTCAATAAATAGATTGTTGAATAACTCACTTTTCAATAACTAACAATAATTATTGTGCAATTAAAGTTACTCCAAACGAATCCAGGTTAAAAATAAATTGTAACCCAAGGTTTTATCAATATTAATATAATTTCTTATCAGCAATAAATTCAGAACTGGAATTTATAATTAAAAAAAAAAAAGACTTTTTACAAATAAAAAAACTTGGATTAAAATTTTGAAACGAGTTTTTTATTGATTCTAGAAAAAAAGAAATATTCAAGGCGAGAAGGTTAATCTGATCCTGAAGAATCAGACTTTCCTTATAATAATATTATTATTCATTATTATTATTATGAAATTATTTAAATAGGATACTTTTAAAAACCGCGATCCCTCAGCAAAAATCCCAACTACGTCATAAGTGTAGCTGTAAAGTTGGTTAGTTATTTTGTATCTCTGTAACCAGTAAATTATTACAAGTAGAAAATTTGACAAGATTATAGTGATGAATAAAGTAAACAAAGAAAAAGCTAAAGAAAGCCTCAATCTACGTAGAGTCCATCTTATCCAATATCTCCAGAATCCAAGTCTATAGGGATTTACAAAATTATGGGTTATATCTCAACAAGTTGATGATTTGATCATCTGGGTTATCATGTAAGGAATCGCCTTGTACTGCTGAAAATGATCATCATTTCTACTTACCCTTATTGCCATCGGGTTGTCGGAATAGTCCACTGGTTGGCAACGTAAACTATAGTGGCCCCACCAGCCTCCCAATAAGCTCTGTATTATATTTGGAACATCATAAATTAATTGTCCTCGAACCGCACAATAATGCCAACATTATAAATTACACATGAATTTAATTAAAACTAGTTTAATCCTACATAAATGTTTATTTGTTACAATAAATAATTAAGTAATATTTGCTATTAATTTTCTTTCGTGACTGGGCATTATCGGCATAAATATTTTACCTTCGAGTACAACTGCACGTAAAATATAAAAAATATCAGATAATTACAAAATTATCGGGTATTTTTTAATTGATGTTAAATTATTCAAACAAAATAAAACAACAAAACAAAATTGCTAATAATCGTACTTCAATCACTAATATAAATGTATGTTAGTTACGTAAAAAAAGTATTACCTCGCGAAACATCCACGTGGAAAATAAAACTTGAAATAAGTTGTACACAATCAAAACTTTCTTCAATTGAAATGGTTTACGATTCTCCATCCATTTTGGTCCCAGTACTTTTACAATGTACACATAGGTCAGACATATAAACAGAGTAGGAAAGGGTGAGTGCATTAAAAACCAATTGGTTGTCCTCTGGTCTGAAAACATTTCAATTTTTAATACACATGTATGTGAAATTTTCAGTGGTTGCATAATCTATTTTAATATTAGACTTCAATCATTTACACGATTTAACCAAACCGGTAATTGAATTTGACATCAAGTTATTATGAAATTTAGCTCATAAATATTATATCCGGAAAAACGTAAGTGAAAGACGCAAGGGACCAATGCAAGAGGTAGTATGCAGTTCTATGGCTGCAATCAACTTACTACCCAAAATAATTTTTTTCAATCATCAATTGGCTAATGAAACAATTCATTCATTCAAAGCTTTATAAAGACATTATTTAATTTCAGCTTAGATATATGTGACAGGAAGTTACGTAAAGTGTAGTATAATAATTTTATATAAATCTTCATTAATTATGCATAATTAAAAAAGTTCATTTTTACCAAATTTTTGAAGTTTACAAAAACTCTTTCTTATCCATTAAGCAATGAAAAATATAAAATTTAATTATAATCATAAGTTAAATCATTTTTTATATTAAAAAAAACAATGCCTAAAAATAGTTGTTTTCAGTGAAATAAAGTGACCCTAAGCCTTTTTTGCAAGGATTAATAATGCCCTATATGTCAGTCAATAGCAAAATTGAGTACCCGGGAGCATTATTAAAAGAATTGATTAGAATTGATGAACGTCTTATAGATATGCCTGTCTCACTCACATGCGGTGAACGAACGACTCATGCGTGTCTTCACGATCGAACGGCATAAACCACGGCATTGTGCTCAGTACAATGTCCTGTTAAAAGGTCTCAAGGACGGACTAGTTAGCATTTGAAGACCTTGTCAATAGCATACACAAGTCATGATATTATTTCCGTCTTTACATTTTATATTAATTTTTTTACCAACTATTTTTACTATTTCAAACACGAATTGACAAATTTGCAACAAGTTAATAAGTTTAAAAATAGATAAATACTCTCCATATTCAGACAAGTCTGAGACAAGAAAGACTATAAAAAAAGATGAATTTTCAGGGTCACCGAAAGAACCTTTCAAACTGCTGCCGGTTTAAATGGCCTCGGCACGGGGTTTCCCTTTTACCATTAATCTGATCTGTATGCTGATTCGGTTGAGATTTAGCAAAAAAAAGCAATAAAAAACCTACGACGTCTATTCTATGGTATTTCCAGAGGAGTTTAATGATTCTATTGCGGGTTTCTGAGTCAGATAATTTATTATTTGTTGCAAATTTCTAAGGTTAACATATCCATTATTTGTGCTTCATTCAAAAATAAAATGGTATTTTTTTGTTTTAAGCACGAAAAACCTGTTCAATTTATAACTATAATATTTCACGGCATTAGAAAATATTTCTTCGACAAAAAAATTTCTTTTCAGTTCTTGGGATTGATAAATTTAGTTGATATATTTCTTAAAATATTTTAACATTCAATTCATAGCTTGAGATGACTCACACACGGAATTATATCTCGCAAATCTCTTAGGGAAAATGTTCATTCGCTCACCTGCATTTTTATCCAATATTTCGTGGAACTTGTCCACGTACTGCATTACGATCGACATGTTGCCGAGGAGAAGTTTATTTATTCTTTTAATTTGATTTAATTATTTATGAAAATGTGTAATTCTTCGACTCCAACTTGACTTATTCTGTAAGAATAAAGAGAAATAAATGCTTATTAATAGATAAATGAAGGAATTAATTAAAAGTAACAATAAAATGAAGGTTGAGACATTAATAAGAAAAATCGTGTCATCATAGCCACGCAACAATTGACCGCGGTAACAATTACGTACGCTTTAAAGTCTTACTTCACACGTGATTTAAAAAGTATTACTTAATGTAAAGTAACGATTGTGTCGTATTGACTGATGAGCTGATACTGAGTTTGTTTTTATGAGTAGGAAAATATTAAGAAGAATTTTTTAAGTTGCTTCAATTATACTAACAAAGTACTGACATTGCAAATATTTAAACATTATTCCAACGTTGGTGCTAGAGATCAATGAAGTGTCAATATTAATGATTTCAAGTTTGAATGTAAATACTTTCAAATTAAGTCAGAGGTGTTATTTTTTTTATGCAAAGGCTCCACTTGGACATTAGACTCACTTAAAAATACTGCATATCGTGATCATCATCACACCTACATATTTGATCTGTTCTCTAAAATCTCTTACAAAATTTTAATGTACTATGAATATTTTTCACAATGCAAATCAACGGTATATAAATTTTATTGAAGTTTGATAGTACCTATTATCGATCAATAAAATTTATTAATGATATAAAAACAATTTTCTAGTGTAAACAAAAGTTATACAATCCATTGAAATGAATGATTAATAATCAAATTTCTTCTAACGATTTATCTATTCATAATTGACTATATCAGTACAAAAAAATTTGTCTTTGCCAAAAGTATATTACTCACAGTAATAATTAAATCCTTGTTTAACATGAATCATAGCTATATATATTCGTTTAGATTCTACATGCTCCAAAAAATAAATAATTTTAAGCAGCTCGTAAATAAACCCAGTATTTCATATTATCACATCTCCTTTCTAAAAAAAACATCATTCTCAAAAAAGCCTCTCTACAAGTCCTTGAATAAATCCACAAAAGTTTCCTCATTTTTTCGAGCATTTCCTGAATATATAAACTTTTGAGTCCCTCAGTGCACTTTAATTAAAAAATAATTGCAAGTATATTATAGCGTACAGTAGATTCTTCATAAAATTCTCTCTTATCCTCTCTTAAAAAAGGCATGACCGATTATCGTCATAATGTCGTTATATTGTCATCGTTTTATCCGGGTGTTGATTGCTGTTAGAAGTAATGGCGGGAGAGACTTTTAATTTAAAAATAAAATGTAATTTTCTTTCTTATTTATGTATATAATATGATGCTGAGTGCGCACAATGTACCTGTACTCTTCTAGTAAAACAAAGCCAAGATATGAAATAGTTATGACATTAAACATGTGCATGGAAACTTGCAGAAACATTAGTACACTTCAATAGACTTTGTTACAAATATTGAGACAATACAACTATTCGATTAGCCTCGTACTTAGTTGCAAAATACTGGATGTCCGACGAATCAACCAAAACGCGTCAAGCAAGCAAAATACTTGGGAATTGCGAAAACTGTATACATTAACGTGAAGGAAAAAAGGGGCCAGCCTGGCTTTGTTACGCAAGTTTACTTCATCCAAGAGTACGACGTATAACTTGCACTCAACAAAGTTCAATCAGCGTTATTATGGAATTAGAAACAATTGACGACATGATGAAAAAACCAGGGCCAAAGGATGAAAAGTATAAGGTATAATTCGATACATTAACTCAATTGCAAAAATTTCCGGTTCTTTGAAAAATTTTATGTTCATACGTGTAATCATAATTTCTATCACCAGGAAAAAATCGACATATTTAACATATTCCTTCAATGAATTTTATAATTGCTGGTTAGATATTTATTTAATTGTGATTCAATTTGATAATGATAGCTTTGAAGATAATGGACTTTGGAAAAATCCATTCCAGCGGTAGCTTTTATTGTATTTACGAATGAAAATTGCGTGAGGCTAAAACTTGAAACCGGTTTCTCATAGTATCATTATGATATTGACGTGATTAAATGAATACATAATTTTTTTGAGCATGATATCTTAATGTAATGGATGCAGCTTTTTAAACAGTTGCAAATTCGTGCTCTAGTCACGTTCGATGTAATAATTGCTAAAGAATTCTCTTACGCGTGGGAGAACCTTGAAGAAACAATATTTCTTACATTGATTTTCAATGATAAGTATTTCAGAACAATCTTTACGATGTTAATAACAAAACGTAATTTTCTTATTTTATTTTTTTAAAATTATAAACTCATGTTAATGATAGGTTTATCGGTATGGTATCTAATCCATTTTATTGAATGCTAAAAATGTAGCAAAAATTTTATGTTTATGTCTGTTTTAAATTGAGTTTAATTAATATACAATAAATTTAGTTTGATGCGTGACGAGAAACTTCAATCAAATTACAAGATTTAATTACCTAATTGTATTATAGATTCAAGTTAATGTTGGATACAAGTTATAATTTCTATACCAAGAGATGATGGAAAATCTTTTGAACTTTTAGAAACCTCAAATGTAATAAAATTTTTCCAGTTGGTGGTTTAATTAATTCTTAAACTAAAATGATTGTTAGTATAAAAAACATCAATCTTGGTATTTATTTATTGCAAGAACAATAAAACGGAATTTTATTTCATCATAAAAATGCCTATAATCTAATCTTTCATTTATTAACATCATTCGCAATGGAAACATTGGAGCTGTTGATGATTTTTGTCATAAAAGTCAATCAATTAGTTTTGAGTGTTAAAGTGATGAAATCAAAGACCAAAAATGAAATGAAACATTTTAGGAATTCAAAAAAACTAACAATCGAAATAACAAGGTGAGAAACGTTACAGTCAATTGAATTCATACGTATTACGAATTACTACTCTGATAGGAAAGCGTAAAAGTGTAAAAGTGACAATTATGGCGACGCAATGCTCGCGGAGAAAGAACTGAAAGAAATTGCGTAAGGAAAAGTTTGATGTAGTAATATTAAAACAATCGACGAAATGCCGTGTGTTGAAAGATTACGAATTACAGCCACAAGTTTATTTGCCAGAGAAACTTTAACCTTGAAAAGTGAATAAACAAAAATTTGGAATAAAATTCAACCTTCACCACTGGCAAGAAACAACCGAATCTATGGTTAAGAAGTTAAATAAAAATATTATAAATGTTAATTGCACTCATTTGCATAACGGATTTTAATACGCAAAAGCAGGTCTTTTAAAGTCTAAATAAGAGCCACATGTTTCATATGGTCACAGCATCTCGATGCAATCTATATAGCCTGGTTTATATGACGTTTTGGCTTATTTGGTACTACTAGGAAGAGATGGTAGTAGAAATGATGGATCTGTAGCAGCTTTCACGTGGGTTCAACAAGTAAAGTAAAGTGAGTGTGAGTTAAGTAGGTCAAAAAGTTGTTTTTCACCAACTCTCAAATGATATTATCATCAGTGTAGTCAAGAATTCAATGGTTGGAGCTAATAACACATAAAATTCAGTAAGCCAGATTGGTGTTGAACACTTAAAGATATTAAATTTGCTCTCAGTTGAACATTGAGCCAGTCAAGCAACCAGGGAAAGTGCATAGCATTACTACGTAGCGGCTGCAATACATTGGGTCTCTGTACAAGTCACTGGGTGCTAGATCGCTAGCAAGTACCGAGAGGAGGTGGAATCTTCTTATATAAGTTGGAGTACGTTAATCTTTCCTTGATGCCTTGTTGCAGCCAAGAGATACTGCATTTAATCAACAAATTAAATTGTTTAAATAAAAAACTTGATTTCTTAAAAAAGATCCCAATATATTGCTGATATTTTATTAGCTTGATCACTCCAACTAAGTACTCTCATTCAAAATTTGAAGATTTACCTTGTAGATTTCCTGGGAAAATTTTATGTAACTGAGTTTAATGAGTGAAAAGATAACTGGTAAAATGGAAGAGTAATCGTAATGATTGGGCTGTTGATAATTCAAGAGAAAAAAATTCTATTTTTTTGCAATCACTCTATATCTACATAAGAGGTAACATTTTAAATCACAAATTCTCATGTCGTTCAACTTATTTTTAAATCGTATCACGCAACGTACTTCATAGGATCAAAATGGAATTTAAATTTGAATAAATACACGATATTCATTCTTTTGGTCTTTAATCGTCAAATTATGTTGTCATGTATAAATCTGGCTATTTCACCTTGTCTGATTGCTCACCCACGATGCAAAGCATATTGTACACCAATCCAGTGACTCCTGTCTTATTTAGGATGGCTGAACACTCTTTTTGCCCAAATCTGTATTATTTATCACCGAATATCAGATAGAATACTCAATTGTAATGGTCTCAACGGCCTTCTTAAGCAATAATTACTGTTCTGACTTCCTCTCTTGTCAAGGATGATTGCTAGAGTGATGAGAAGAAAAAATATCAGGAAAGAGTAAGATGGCAAGAATTAAAAGGTGAATACGCATCCGCATTGATTCGAGTAGTAATGTTCAATGCCCAAGCCACGTGCTTTGAAAGTGAATGAGAGCCAGAAGTCATCTTTTTTGCTGAAGCACCATTGACAATCGAAAAGGAAGGGAACGCGCCAATTTGTTGAGTTTAATATGACCTGAAGTGCCGGTTGACATACTTTGTCGCTCGTGCTCACAACTTGTAGATAGATAATCATTGTTGCGTAACCAGACAATTGTTGCCGCACCAAGCTTTAAGTAGAAGGGGCCTCACGTCTGAATATTACGTCTACACTGACGTTCAGAAATCATTTAGAATAGGAAATAAATGAAAATCACTGATTAAGTTAACTTAACTTGATTGTCTTGCGGTTATTTACTTGTCACTTTAATCATCAATATCTTACGGTAATCAACAAAGATTAATTAATGAAGAATCAAGTTATAATATAAATAATAAAATATTTTATCTTGTCTTACCTAGACGACACTTCCTTCTAGAACTACTCAAAACTCACACCACACTTCTTCAAATACACTTGTCTATATTTTTCCTTTACTTATCTATGATTGATAATCAATTTCTTAATTTATTTATTTATTTATTTATTTATCTAATAAATATTTTTATCGTCGTCACTTGTCTATTAGTACGTTGATTGTATTGAAATAGGAATGTCGAGTTCTACCGCACGGTGATATTGTGAAATGAATGATGGTATACAATTCTTTTAGTCAGACGTCGAAAAATAATAGCAATAATAATAATTGTTATTCACGAGTGTCACGATGAATCTTCGAACACAACGACAATCAAACGTGTCACCGATGTGGCTATATCCCCTCGGCAACTGCAGACTGTTAGACACTAAGCTGAACCATTGCTTTTAACCTCAGCGCCATATTGGTACCTCTCTCCTCCTCTACCTCCTCTTTACTGACAGACACCCGGTGTACAGTAGTAATACCTCTATACACACTCGCTATGATTCCGATACCTTAACTTTTCCTCTTTGCTGTAATGTACAATGTACTATACTTGACGGTTTTTCATTGATCAGTTATATTGTTAATGTCACATTGATCCTTGAACCCTTAGCTAATCCATCAAACATCCTACTTGTGTAAATAATGTATTTATTCATCATATCTTTAAGGTTACCGGAAACAATCCAACCTCATATTTTAAAATATGAATATAAATATATGTTTACTTATTACAAACATCATATGAATTTCTGAACATTGAGATATTAAGGTAAAAACCTTAAATAATATTTTGTATCATTAACAATTTACATGACAGCCATAGATTATTGCCACTTCTATCGATAATTTTTAACAGCGTTGTATATGCTTTCAAAATTTATCGATAATTTCCTATATGATAATTACAGCATTTATGTTATCAAGAAATTAGCTTTATTATTTATCTACTACAACAGCGACGTTCAATACCAATAGGGATTATTTTAATTGCTTAGGAAAAAAAAATATTATCGCAACGAAATTATTTCTACACAATTATTTTGTTAAAAAAAAATTTATTTTAATTATAGTAAGTTAGTAACTATTTATCAAACTATCAATATATTTCCATTTAGACCTTGGACCTTTTATGATGAGTTTACTGTAATTTAAAATTCATATATACCTACATATGAGTGAAGTAATTGAACCTTAATGACATGTATTGATTAGTATTACAATCAAGAAATTCATATTTGAATTAAATTTTATCGAAAAATGATGAATTAATGATTATTATATGAATTAATTTTTATAAATGATAGTTGAATTAGTTTATGACAATACTAACTTGAAGTTAGAAAATTTTTAAAATCCTTCAAGCGTCAATTAGTTTATTGACTATTGGCAGATCTTTAACAAGCTTTAAACACATATCAATAGGAAATGTTAGTTTCATAAAAGTAAGAATAACTCATAATTATTTATTTCAAATTGAATTGTTTTATTTAATCATTAATTCTAGTATCTATTCATTGGTGAATTTTTTATCCATTATTATATATCATACATAATTAATTTATTAATGAAATTTTTTTTTATTCTATAATAATTCAGAATATTTTTTATATTTATTTGAAATTTTTAAAATCTTCACAATTCTATTTTTCTTACATATGAATGAAATATTTTATTTCATGAGAAAAAAATTAAATATCGATACAAACTTAATCCATTACAAATTTCTATTGTTTTTTGAGTTACACCCACCAGTTAAAATGTATAAATAATTTTAAATGAGTCGGAGGGTACTGCGTGAGCTAGCATTAAAGTCTCTTACTTAGGATGCATAGCCCTTGTTTAAAACAAAAAACTTAATGTTTATGCAATAGTTATTAAACCACTTTAAGCACTCTTATTTCCAAGTGTAACTTGAACGATCACAAAAACACTCATCTCTGGAAGAATAATAAAAAAATTACAGACTACTTTTTGTTCGTCAGTAATTAGCAAATAGAAATTTCTACAATTATTCTTACATCTTGCTATCTCAAATGCTAGAAAAAATGTATGCTGCACATTACATCAAGAGAAAGAGTACATTGTTGAGAGAAGCTTGTGATCAGAGGAATGACTTCACTCGAGTAAAATATAAATGACAGGTCTATGAAGTTGATTCATGTAACAAAAACAAATCACAATAATTTTTTTTCTTTAAATTTATAAGTTTTTTTTTAATCAAATCTTATCAAGTTTTTTCACATCATTATCTCAAGTAATTTACTTGCTAATTTCTTTATCGAATTACAATTAATAACAATTAATATATCTGACAGGATGTCATGAAAGGTTACTCTACAAAAACTTTTCATGTATCAAGATATCTCAAGCTAAAAACAAAAGCATCAATTAATTTTTTCTAAAAATAATTGACTTATTGAATAATTAATTGATATATTAAATTAATACATCCTTCTCTTTTTAATGAACTATTATTTCTTTGTTTCTAATTGACCATTACAGCATGTAATTACTTATTTGATGATTTTATAAGCACTTGATGAGATCTAGCCGATAAAAATAATTTAAAAAGAAATAATGCTAAATTACAGTCATCCATTGCTATAATAATCAAGAAAAAATAAAAAATATTTACGCAGTTATGTCAAATAGTATTAGCGAATAAATGATGCTCTTTTAGAGCTACCACGATCGGCCTTGGCCTACTGGTTCACCTACTTCTGGACTTACGCGATGAGCACACGCGAAACATATCACGCCTTCCCCTCGTACGGTATTACCTAACTGGATGATAATTCAGAGCGGAATAATAATGATGATATAGATTATAATGAATAGTGTCACATTTTTGTACTAAACGAAAGTTCCTTTATTTGGATAAATGAATATGGAAGAATGGAAATTCGTTTCGGTATTCACAAACAATTTTTATTCTTTTTCTATCACTGTTGACGTAGTTGAATATGTTCAATGTCTAGACTATAATTTTATTTTATTTTTTTTTTGGTTAATTATCTAAAATCAATTATTATCAGAATAGAGTGGTTAAGACTTTGAACTTGATGATAGACCTTAGTTTAATAGAGTGTTGGTAATTTTTTTCACCCTTCGCCAATACTTCGGTCTACCTGATGTCATTAGTAAAATTACTGACCTTTCTTCCCTATGTTTTGCTGTAAATAATAAAAAAGCCACTTATCGAAAGTTATTTATTACAAATTAAATTCCCTGAATAACAAGTTTTTGAATTGGACTTTTCAACGATCTGTATAATTTACGATTCAATGAAAGTGACTTTAAAATTCATATTTTGACCTCATGGAGCAAAAATCAAATTCCTGTAAATACGTCAAAGTATTCAAGTTAAAAATAAAAGTCACTAACCTCAGAATAAAACTTTTCCTTGTACCTGAAGTGAATTTACAAGCAAAATATATTTATTAGCACCTCTAGCTTTCAAAAAATATATAACTCTACACAATCAAAGATGTATTCATAGTATCACGACTTGAAAATGATTGGAAATTATCACAAAATATCTTATGGCTGTTATTTCAATTGCTCGGTTAATATTTTGATCGACAAGTAGGGTTTATTATTTAATTTAAAAAAGTTAATTAGTTTACAAAGTAAACCTATTGGTATGGATAACTATGCACCAAATGTTTGTTGGATTTGTTAGTGCTTATTATAAATTCTCTTTTTTTTACAATAGGAACTGTGATTATCCAATTAACGATAAACATATTTTTATCTTATTATTATGATGAAAAATATTACTTGCAACTGATAACACGATAGAAAAATTATATTGTTTACTAGTTTTCGTTATGCCATATCTAAAACATGGCCAAGCTTTAAGTATTTTTATATCCATTAAATTACATAGTTTTGTTTTTGGAAAGAAACTATTTCCATTGATCGTACGATCTTGCAATAATAATTGTTTACTATGGAAATTTTATTCTTTGTTCCTCATCATGGCAGTTAATGTCACAACAAATTTGCAATTATTCAATAGAAACAAATCAACACTGATTCTACAAAATTTAAAAGGTAATTATTTTTCTTCAAATTACAAAAATTCACTCTCAATAATAAAAATAAAGTTCAGAAAAATTATTTAATTATGCACTTATAATAAAAAAGTATCGAGGATTAATAGTTAATGTATATAAGAATACTTAATACTGAGAAGACGAAACTTAAAATTGATTGAAAGCAAAGTAAACTATCCTATCCACGTGATGAGCTTCTCAATGTTAATGTACTTATGAAATACACATTTTCCACTCAAATATAATCGATCTCAAGTATTTTCTACTTGAAAAACTAATCTCTAGTGAAATGTATTATTTTCTTACCGATTTCAAGTTAGGTCACACACAATTTTAGTTGATTTTCATTCACCATAATGTCACTTTTCCGGCCGTTATTATCGTATATTAGATTGGATATTCGCACAGCAACACTAGTTAGCCCAAGTTAAAAATACATCAGTTCCTCTGATCCCACATCCGCTCTTTCTCTCTCAAACATTATGCCTATCTTGCTTTCTACTAGCATCTACTACTGTGCCTCATTTACGTAGTCGTAGTGAACACATGTCCTCATAAACTTATGTGGGAAAATTAAAAGATACCACTATGGATACTTAACACTACATTTGAAAATATTCTTTACCAGTTTACTATTGGATTATCACTAAAGCCGTTACATTTTTAAGTCATTTATATGAAATATAAATATTATGCAAAACTAATCGCCAATGTTGATATAAATCACTGTATAGTTCAGAGTATTTTTATCTTGTGACTGTTAATGACATTTAATCCCAAGGGAAAAGGCATAAAATGTGTCAGTGATTGAATATATAATGAAACTTTTTGATACATGTTCTTTGATTATTTAATTATTTTCGACAAATAATTATTGAAAGAGGTTTGATATTCAAAACAATCAAAAGATAAAAATGTTTCATTGATTTTTTTAAAATGAAAAAAAATTTTTTTCATGGTATAATAATTTATTTTAATGAGCAGGATGTTCTTGACCATGTTGAGCTAATACCCAAACATAAAATGAAGATCAAAAAACATAGGCTGATGCAAGGATATTTATAATAATTAACATTTATATGAATAGGTTTTTTTTATTTTTCCAGTCAAGTCTTTTATCGATTTCATAAAATAATTCTGAATATATTTAACAAATATTTCAATATGGCATTGAGATCCTGAATCACTGGAATATTGCAACTTTTATTGATATGTCCATTTACAAAGATTTTGCATGAAACTGATATTAATATTGTAAACAAGTCAAAAGACTTTAAATCCCAATGACGTTTGAATGAAATCTCAAATTGAATATTTAAATAAACTTACCTTCTAGTGAAGTTGAAAACTCGTGAATTCCTAGTATTTTGAAGAAGGAACAATAAACCATTCAGTAACTAATTAAAAATTATAATAAAGTACTGACATAAATGAAAGCTGATTTTACCTTTTATCTAAATTGCTCATTTAACTCTCGGACTGGTTTTCAGCTCACTATCAAACAAAAACTGAATGATAGTGTTTTGTCATCATCACATGGCTTTTATCGTTAAATTAATTACTAAGTAAACTTGAATACATGTCCCACTATGGTCTCAATTGACAATCTTCTGAAATTTTATGTTTTCTAGCGTGATAATGAGTGATATATATTAATTATCAAAGTTTTCAATAGTTTAAAAGTTTTTGAATTTTCAATCAAATTATTACATTAAAAATCATAAAATTAAAAAGGAAATAAAAATTATTGAAGGTTTTCATTTTTATATAGAGAAATGAATATAATCTATAAATCATCTTTCAGATTTTTATTTATTCTTTTTTTATATAAAATTCTCGGTGATTTTGGAACGAAAAACACGAAAGTGATGGATGATGCATATGATAATTAGGATGTAAAAAGAGCTCGTGGCATTTTTTTAAAATGTTTACTTACGCGAAAGAGGTCATTTGCCAAAGACCTCCAACCTAGCGAAAAAATACGACGAATAATGTCTATTGATTGTTAATGTTAAAGATCTCATGATTAAATTTGATATTATACCTATGTATTTGCAAATGTTTAAATCAATAAATTTTAAAAATTTTTTCATGACCAAAGAACAACCAGATAACCATTCATTTTTGTCATTACTATAATTGAGCAAAAAATTTTATGATGAAAGCTACTTTTTGATGACGTCAAGAATCAACATTTCTATCTGCTGATATGACATTGAGGTCATAAAACTCCAGTCATTAGAGAACTATTGTATTTTTTATAATTTTTTTTTTTAATTTTACTTGTGTTTTTCTTTATTCATTAGGTGTAATTTTTCCCAATTATGTACAAAAATATAATGAGAATCAGTAATTGTTAAAGTTTTTAACATTAGGTACATGACGATGCTGTATCCTTGCAAGTTTTTTTTTACGTCGTCACAACAATTTAATTTATTCTTTTTTCTAATTTTGCTCATTATGTTTATTTACAAGCCACGTGTCTTACTATCAACTCAATAATCATTAGTTTACGCAATAAATCAATCGTCTGTTTTGATTGATGTGTAATACATGGATCAAAAAGTTCACAATTTACTTCTTTACTTACAATTTAACACAATCAAGAACGTAAACTTGCAAAGATTTCATTCGCATCGTAAATAATCAAAAAAATTGTTATACTTTCGTTTGGGATATAATCCTCTTGATTTTTTTTAAAAAGGATGCTCTCACAATTCCAAGGCAAGACGATCAAGTAGAAAAACATAAAAATCGCTAGTCTCGCCAGATTTAATGATTAAAAAATTGATTAGAAAATTCTTCTAAATAATTATTATAATTATTCCATTTCATTCTTCGGTACATCGGTCGTCCTGCGAATACCGACTTATTTGTTTTTTTTTTTTTTTGTTTTTTTCAATAGGAATAATGACATTTTTCCATCTTATCCTTTTTCTTTTTCTCAGAAAAAATGAAGTTTTATAAAGTTTCAATAATCACAAAATAACTGCAATAAATTCAAATGCAGATTATCGTACAAGTTCTATCTTACATTAACTTGTAATATTGAATACAGAGCAATGATTTTACTTTAAAATATTAAAAAAAATGCGACCATCACAAAATATATTAAACATTAAAAAAGTCAACTGATAAAAAATTTAGACGTACAAATTACTATAAAAAATCAGCCATTAGACTGTGATATATCGAAAAATTTAATAGCGATTTCAATGAATTTCTTATAAATCGAATAAAGCGCATGGTTACACGATGTGATTGATGAACAATAGATAAAATTGTGCATTAACAAATCATCAAATTCACATTTACGACGCAATTGGTAAAAATAAAAAAGAAATTAGTAGTAAAAGGTATTATTATCTATTTAATTAGATTAATTAACTAAAGCCACGAGTTAATAGCCCTGCCCATATTGCAGTCTCGTAACATTTAAAAAACTAAGTCGAAATAGTTTTCTTAATTATCACGAAATAATTGTACAATTTTTTTTTTTCATTTAGTATAAAATCAGTGATTCAATAAGGAAAACACGGAGCGAAGCTTGGGCCGGTGTTTAGTATTTTTTACGTTAGATTCTTAGACCAGGAATCTATTCGCAAATCGAGGCACGGACAATATATAAATATATGTATATGTATATAGTAAACATAGATTTTAAAGTTATTATTTCAAAGAAACTCATGATTGAACGTCTGATTTTTTACATCCGACAATTTATCAATATTAATATATACCTAGTACGTTTTTTATTTGTCCCTGGTTATTTTTAACCGCACAGTGAGTATGAAAATTATTTATATGATTAATTTAAATTGTTTCACAAAAGTTTAAATAGTCGGCTTTTTTCAACATTATTCTTTGTCCAACAGCCTGAGTTAATTATCGAAGCTTTGAACACAATCGGAATAATATGAAGATTATCTAATAAAACATTAAGCTGGGCAAAGGTGCTTTTTTACTAACACCTTCCCACTCTTTCCTAAAATTGTGTATTTGTCATCGTTCTATATTTGTGCGTTGATCGCATAAAATTGTTTAATTGTTACTTTTCAGTTTGCCAAACTTGACATTTTTTCTACATTCTGTTTTTAACACTACAAAACAAATCGTTCACTTTTTAGAACTTATAATACCTGTCTTGTATACGATTTTATGCGATTACCACAGCTTTTTTGAAGTCTCATCGTGTGGCTTCGAAAATTCGTAAGCGACAACAACTTCAGAGACAATTCAGACTATGCCTCTTCGTTCATTATCTAGTGATTCATAACCAGTATATTTATCTAAATGGTATAAATACTATTCTCATTTTTTTGAAAATTTTTTCTTGCACTTACGCATTTCGTGAACAGACTGTACAACATATGGACATTTACGCATTATCATTCATCCTCATAACGCATTTATTCTCGCACACTTTGTCTTAGGAGACATAAAACGAAACATTTTTACTTTTTTATCGAGCCTACCAAGGGCACCAGACCCGTAATTAATTTGCATGGGCATTCACTTTGGCGACTTTATCGCGAGCACACAGTATAGAATCGAGATGAAATAGACTCTCATTTTTTTACAATAAACAGAATATGTTTTGTTTCAATATCTTCTAGATGATTAGTCACTCTTTTAAGCGAGCTTTTTCTCTGCATTATTATTAGCGACGTAACCGTTATTGGTGCCGTTGCTGTAGCAGCTATTATATTCCTTATTGTAGATCGTCGCGTACGTAGAAATTCCATTTTGTCGTAGTTTAGACTCATTATCATCCAAAACTGGCATACATGCCCCAGTATTTTCACGAGATTTTGCTTTCACATCCTTTGACGAATATTTCGTTTTGTAGAAATCCGAAAAGAGTCCAAGGAATAATACACCATGAAGTCCAATCCAGATCATGAAGCTACGTGGGTAGTTGCATTCGATGAACAGTAGTTGGAATTGATGGGTCATGATTAGAATGAATTGGAACTGTTGGAATAATTTATTAGTATTAATTGATTGCATAATTAATTTATATTTATTTGAATAAAATTAAATAATGACTTATTAAAATTTTTTAGATAGTATGAAAAATTAAATTTTTTGCAATAAATGAGTAATAAGTGAAAGATAAAAATCTTAGAAGATAAAAAAAATAACTTTTAAAGTAATTTTAAATCTTCAATCCTTTTACAAAAGAAAAAAAATTAATGAATAAGTGGATAAATATTAAAAGTTTTTGTTACCGTGTAATAAAGCAAGATAATATAACTGCCATTTAATAGAAAAAAATATTCAGTCTTTATTGCGTTGATTTATTACTATTTTAATATTTTTAGAAACACGTGCATTTTTATTTTTGCAACTTTTGAAAAAATAGAAAAGTTATGAAAAAATGTAATAAACAAAATGTGTTTTAATTGACAGTCTTATGAGCCAGCATATTTTTTAAGTAAAATACGTCACACAACGAGATGCAAAAATTTTACTGCAACTAAGCTTTGACACTTTTATGCAATACCAAGATTGCACTTTAGCTTTTTAAATAGAATTTTCTTTTTTAGTGGTACATTTTTACATAAAATTTCAAACAATAAAGAAATTTATTTTTTTTCCTCACCATCTGGAAAGTTGTTAAATATTTTTTCCACCATATATACTTTTGATACTCGGGGCCCATGGCTGCTATCATATAATAGAAATACATGACGATATGGACAAAAGTATTTAAAAGTGCAAAGAAAGTGCTGTGACCACCCGGCGCAAATTTCAAGCCCATCCACACTGAAAAAGGCATCACCCCGTGATGGATAACGTGTAGCGTTGACACTTGTTGGTATTTTTTTCTTAGAATGAAAAATAACTGTAAAAGAATAAATTCGTTAATAATATTAAACTATACTGTATGTACTTGGCTTCATAAGAAGATTAAACTCATTAATATTTTTTTTTAAAAGAGCAACATGTAGTTAAGTTGATAAATGAAGAAATAGTGAATGGCAAAGATTTTTATATTAATTTATTCACATAGAGACAAAAAAATTTTTTAATATTCTTACTCCTTGTCAATTACCATTCACTAGATCTCTACTAGATAACATAGATAAAATAATAAAGTGAAGCTCACCGTATCAAAAAATTCTGTAAACTTGCTAAAATAATACCACCAACATGTTTGAGCCATTCTTAAGGCTAGAGGACTTTGTGAATAGTCAACTGGTTGACATCTAAAGCTGTAACCCTTCGCCCATCCGCTCATTAAATACTGCAAACAGAAATTCATTATTAGTTAAGATTCATCTATTTCATAAAATTAAAAAAAAATCAATTGTCCTAATTAAATCAACTAATAATTTTAAAAAATATATATATTGTGTTGAATAATCAACTATTTAAAATTTCATGTGAAGTTTCTAAAGTTAATGTACAGTTGAAGAAAATAATTTTTTGTTAATTGCAATGTTACAAATGGTCAATAAAAAATTAAGAGTGAAATTTCAGTTATAAAGTAGAATACTTCCAGTGATATTCGGGAGAAATTAATAATTAATGAAATCGTATATTCGAAGGTTATCTAATAATCAATATTGGATAGAAAAAAAATATCAATTTATATGTCCTCGATATTCTATTGGTCTCTAAGCTATAATTATTGCAGACTATGAGTCTCTTTTTTCGCATGAATGTACGAGTGAGTTGAATGTATTGCGTGTCAAGGACGTTTCTAAGTTTCAAAGATCCATTACGAGCATTACAGTTCATACCTGGACGACTTATTTTGCGATGTCAAGTATTTTATTTATTTTGAGGTCGTGTTTCCACTGGATATTTATTTTGTGATTAAATCATCACTCACAAACTAATGGGATAAAAATCCAATGACTTTTTTATTGTTTTTCTCTCTTTTTTCATTCTTACAAGATGCATATGAATAGTTAATGAGAAAATGACATTCTACGCAGAATCTGCAAGGACAATGTCAATTTAAATATTCTACAGAAACTCTTCGAAAGTTGCAAAAACAAATCACAAAGTGTTAAAGAAGTGAGTCAATAGTAAAAAAAAATGAATTTCAATAACTTTTATTAACAATGATTTGAGTCATAAATTTTCTCTGCACTCATTTAATTGTTTATTTACAATTGTCAATAGCAAACAAATGTAAATATTCTTACTCCTTGATTACAAAAAATTATAATTTCGAGCAAAAACAATAACTACAGCCAAAATTTTATCCACTACATTCTTCAAACTTTCATGGAAAATTTTCACATGCATGACATTCTTTTATGAGACTCGTAACAGACTTTTTTAACCATGTTAAGTAAAAAAGTTATCAAGCTTTACAGAACATAATAATTATTATTATGAACTAAATCAATATATAATGTGTTTGACTCTCTTGAGATCAAACAACTAATTAATTCTTTTATTTTACAAACTTCGAATAAGTTTTTCATTGAAAATTTTAAATTATAAACTTGAAGAGTTTCATATGAATAAAATAATACTAAAATTATCTTCCCTCAAAAGAAAACGTTAATAATTTTGGAATGAATTTTGTCTATATTATAATCAAAGTCCAAAAACCTCTGCAATTTATTCAAGAAGCTACTGGCATTAGCATGGATAAATTTTCTTCAAGTTATCTATACATTGGCACTAGCTTTATGTACTTAGTCATTATATCAACAGAGAGTAGTTATGCATGTGCTTCCTTTGAAAGACTTTAGCGTGTTCTGCATCGACGCGTCATTTTCTCATTTAATCTATTGTCGCGTGAAACGTAAATAATTTCTTCGCACAAAATACATTAACATAAAACCTTTGGAAAAATATAAAAAATTTTAGCTCGTTTAGTTAGTTTTATTACACATGGACGCAATGATAATTAGCTTATTGATATTTATCTTTTCTACAATACTCTCATCAACAACAAAAAAAATTTTCATAATACATTAATCTGTTAAATTTAAGAAAATTTTTGACTATTTAGAAAAAGAAAATTAGCTAAAAGCATAATGGATAATAAAATTTTAATATCAATCAACAGTAATCACAAGAATGATGTTAATGAAGTAATTGGTTGACAGATTTTCTTGCTTTTATGCTAATCGATCAATGTTAAGAATTTCATTTAAATTTGATTAGTCTGATGAAAAGAGAATAGACTTTATCAACACTCAACTATTCTAATCGTATTCACAGTTGTCTATCGATTACAAAGGCAAAAAGTGAAAAAAGAAGAAAAACTTTCTCTTTAAATGATAATTTTATGTCTGGATTAAGTAGTTAAAATTTATCACAAACCATTTTTTCAATCTTCTAATGGTTTAGCAATGTTTTTTCGGCTTTCGACTACTCAATAGATGATTGACCTCTTGGAATCTTTCAGACAAAGTAGTCAAACATAACTGTATTGACATGAGGTATAACATACTAAACATGTACTGTATATAATAGTAATGCAAAATGATTAAACTTATAATAACATTCAATTTAAATAATAGTTTTCGGTTATTACAAACTCATGTTAGTCATAAACAATTTTTTCAGAAGACGTTTGAGTCTTAAAGTTAGACAGAATGAAGTAATTTACTGTATTTTATCCAATAAGTTAGTAGACTTACAGCCTTGAAACTGATAAAAAGGAAAAATATCTACATAAAATATAAGCCAAAGTCGAAACAATTTATATAGTTTCAAATAAGTATTTTTTAACGACTATGGATTATATAAAATAACAAAAGAAAGTGATCTATCGTTCAAAATCATCAGTAGAATTTAAAACAAATTTTTTAACCACTTTATTGTTCCCCTTTTCTCATAAAAAAAATAGACGTGTTGTAAGACAATGTGTAGCATGTTATAGCGAACTCAGCTGAGGGTAAAAGAGCTGATATTTTCATCTCTTGATGAACGTCAGTGTGAGATACAATAAAATTTACCTCATAGAAAATCCACGCTGAAAAAATTGTCTGAATAAGATTATAGACAACGAGGATCCTCCGTATATTGAAAGGTTTGCGATTTTCCATCAGTCTCGGTCCCAAGACCTTGCTGAAGTAAGCGTATAATACACATATTACCATCGTTGGAAGAGGACTGCTCATCATCGGCCAATCTTTGACTCGTGGATCTGTAATAAAATGCACCCAAAATGACTGTTACCATTCAAACATTTCTAATTAATATTTAACGTCAACAAATATTATAAATAACCTACATACTTTGCACATAACTCAAAACTTTTATGAAATAATTCATTAATCAGTTTCATAACATAATAAGTTGATAAATAGAGTTTAATATTTATATGTATATACATATATATGTATTCAAATATGTGAACTTCATGACCCATAATAATAGTTGCATGATCGAAATTCGCGAATAGCTCAAGAATCAATTCACCTTCTTTAAGTTCACTTTTTGCAACAGACAGAATGACAGACGTGGAATTTCAATGGTAAATTAAAACATGGCCAAGCGCGATGCGTGCACATGCTTCTTTTAATTTGGCATTCGCCAATCGTGCTCTTTTTCTCTTTCTTCCTTGGTCAAGCGTGCCACTTTCACAAAGCACGATTTCGACCCACGTTTTTTTCCAACGTCATTGATTTTCGTCATTATATGCATCTATATGTTTTAATTTTCAACATTGTTAATTAACAACATTGTTTCCTAAACGTTTTTATTGATTTTTACCCATCTTTTATATTAACCTCGTGGATTAGAAATTGACTAAATTTATCTATGATATGAATTTAATTGCTAGTAATACAATGACCTACATTAAGTTCAACATAGATAACAATCTGACTTCTAATATTAAAGAATAAATAAAATATTTACTATCCTATTTTAGCAGCTGTCTCATAATTCCATGAATTCCATGAATGAATAATACTTTATTAAATCATAATTGGCTTTTATTTCCTATCAATTTTAATGTTTTATTAAAAAGATATATCAAGTAAATAATTGATTCAATAAAAGTTGCATTTCATTAGAATACGGCTATCTAGTAAATTCATTCTTTGATTATTTATTACACTACCACCTATAATTTTCATTATACAATTTATTTTTTCGATAAGGATAAATTTTCCTGATACTTCTATCCAACAAATATTAAATATTTAATTATTCTGAGAGAATTGATGAATAAACATTAAATTTGAAATTAAATTATTTTTATTCAAAAATGATTTTTTCTGTTATTAAGATACATGTTATAATAGATCATTAATAAATTATGAAATTTTGAATAGGCACTTCTATTAAAATGAATTCTTTAAATACTTCATTTCATTAATGAATCATCGTCAGCAATTTAATGACCTATAAAAAGTTCAACGTTTTATTGGAAAAACTGATAAAAATAATCATAATTGTCATAAACGTTAATTTTACGGATTTTGATAAAAATATTCCTAACATTATTTCTTAGGTTTTTTCTTCTATCGACTATTAAGATGCCTTTGATTGAATAATCATTTATTAATTATTACAATTAATGCTGGATTCATTACTGACTCTAACGTAAAAATTTTCTATGAGTCTTAGCCTTGTCTGCTTCATTTGAACAATTAAAAGCTTAATCGAAACTGACTTTTTTTATTTTCCCATGTAATATCAGAGAAACTTTTGTTGTAGGTTTTTTTTCTACGTCATTCAGATGACACTTACCAGATTTATTGTCCATAAGATCCCTATATCCATGTACTATACTTGCAAATGTATTCGTCATGTTGTCTAATTTCTACAACAAAAGATAAAATTTATTTTTAAAATTAGTTTTCTGACTTACTTATTAATTCATCATGTGACTTATCAAATTGGCTGAGAGTTACATATATTAAGTATGATTATGAGATGAAAAAAAATTCTTCACTTTTTTTAGTAATGATAAAAAAAACATCGTAGAGAAGAAAAGTTGTTTGAAATGTAGTTTTTCATTAATATTCTTAGTTTATTAAATTATACTTGCTTCGATTTAATTATAAATAAAAACGCACAAAATAAGAGCAGAACTTGTTAGCCAATTTGATATTATATAATAAAATCTAAATAGCATAAATTTAACATCCATACAGTTTATGTAGAGTATACTAGTTAGTCTAAAACGTTTGTCAAGCAAATCTGATGCAATCTCATGTATAAAAAATTTTTAAATCAATTGTTTAAAAACTTTTTTATTATCTCATCTTTAAAATGATTACTTTCTGTCATATTCATAAAAAAAATATTTTTGTTTACTAGAAATAAAAAAAAAATAGTTTATGAAATGTAGATTTTTAAAAATATTATAATATTGTGGTGTGCATGTTTGAGAATATTTTGGTCAATTAGTGTCGAAGCCAGCAAAATTTAGAGGTATAAAGAAAATGTTGAGGTTTCTATGAAGAGTAATAGAAGCAGCGTTTGAAGTGTATAATGGTTAGTGAATTAAGCACAGGGCGTTGTCATTACGTGCACATTGAAGAGGCTTTCCGTTTTTGTTAGGACAGTTATTCAGTCGGTTATACTCATCGATCCACTCATGTATACTTTATTCATTATAGTCACACACTGTAATAATATCGCCCTGAGCGTAAAGCAACTAAGAGGCGGACATTTAGTAACTTTCTCGCACGCTGTCGCCCAATCCTCTCTTTTTCACTTTTCCTCTTTCTCTCTTTTTCTTTCGTAGTGACTTAAGTCAAGCTTAACTTGCCGAGAGGTCTTTTACGTAAGTTGAGAGTAATCGGTAAGACGGTGTTTGCTGTAAGAGAAATGCTTGACGCCGCGATCATCGTAGTGCGAGTGGAACCGGATTCCGCGCGTTCTTCCTCGTCTCATTCGACTCGGAAGTTATGAAATCGAGCTTAGGCAAAATGAGTTCACGAGAGAGTATCCGAAAAAATTTATAAATGAGAAAAATGATTAAAAAAAAATTTTTTATTTAAAAAACAAATGATTTCGGGAAATATAAATAATTCATCTATTAATTTAACCATGTCTCATTTTGTAATATGATTAAAAATATCCTCGTTAATAAAAAAAACAATGATTTCACATATTTTTTTTTAACTTAAAGTGAAATAATCGACCATGAAAATTTAAAAATAGATAGTAAAATAATAACGAAATCAATGGATATTACGAGGGGTCGTCGACGTACTCCCGCAGTGTTATCTATTCATCCGAAAGATTGAAAGTCTTTCCGTGTTAATTAACTTTGTTACTGATTGCTCAGCAAATTATGTCATTCTGCGATATCTGCTTTATCAAATATTTTCAAAATAATCAAGACTAATGAAACGTATAAAGAAAGAGAAAATTCATTTTAGCCATTATTAACCCTTTGATCTGTCAATGGTTCCGGAAGCGCAGACACCTTTGAAATGTCGCCTCAAACTGGTACTAATTATTCGGGAGAAAGTTATAATCAAATGATGATTCAAGACTGATTATTATTGTATTTAAAATCCTTGGTTGAATGGAAATTAAAAACCATCTCTTTCAAGTTAAAAATAAACTATCCGTTAAGACGATTATTTTTAATATTTTAATTGTTCAATATTTAACTTTTTTTTAATACCTTACATTAAATTGCTAACGTACAGCGGAGATTACAGTCTTCTGTCCGAAACTTCTCATAACTCTGGGACATAAATACATTGAGTAGTACACTCACTCAATTTAAATTCTAACGTATATACATAACCGAATATTTCCAACATCTGTCAATCTAGTAACATTTTCATTCATTAATTTACTCGTTTTAATTTTGTCAACAATTTTTTTTTATATTTATTTTATTCAATTGTATTCTTATTTTTAAAACAATTCCACTATGTCACTAAAAAAATTAAATAATTTATCATTAACAAAAGTGATAAAAGTAATGTGAAGAGATGATCATACTTTATAAAATAAAAATATCTTTTATCTCTAATTCATGATTGTACTGTTAAAGTAATATTATCCCAAAACGATTACAGTGGACATTTTATAATAGTACTGTTTTTAATGACATATCCTTGATTCATTGATAAAAATAATATACTGGATTCACACTCGAATAAATAACTAACAAGAAAAATTAATTGATAGAGCATATTTGCTAAGTTTGTACAGATTTCAATCAAATAGTAATTCTATTATAAAATTATTAAATACACATTACTGCTTTCAAATAATATGTTAATATCTTGATAACAATAAATTATATTTTAGTACTATTTTATTATACCAACCGGCATTCATTATAACATCATTTAATTGTAATTATAATTTTTTAAAGAAATTTTTTTACCATTAAAAAAAATTTTTAATAAATTTAACAATGACCAAAAAATATTTCTCAACGGTTTTAATGAGAGAAAAAAATAATTAAATATAAAGTGATAGGTTAGAATTTGGCTTAATGACATTCAGTAGCACCTGATTGACATAATAAGTTAATAAAATGAACAGAAGATTGAATAAATTAACACTGTATAAATAAATGTGAGCACGTTGAATCTAGTAAAACAGCAGGTCACGGAACTTTATAGGGAATCGATCGTCGACTTCTAGGGACGCCCTAACCTCAATTTCCATGGATATCTTTCTTCCTTGACTGAACGTTGTGATGGTAACTTGTGATGAGGGCGGCGGCAAAAAAACGGGATATATGTAATTGTTGTGTGATTGGCGGCAATTTGATTAGGTGTTTTATGGACCACGACTCACTTAAGCATTATATCACTGAGTACACTATTTTTCAATTACCGAATCTACGAATGAGTCAAAAACTCATTGACGTAATTAATGAAGTTTACTACTCAAACGACTCACCCACCTATTTTCTGATTAATTTCCTTGTTCTGTTTCCTCACTCTAAAACACGCCGGGTGATACCCGCTCTCGATCGTCCCCTCTGAAACGCGTTCTCGCACTGTCACCTGTCCGAACACATAGACAAGAGTCGAGACGGCTGGTGGTAGCGAGTAACGGCGTTGAGGGTGACAGAATAGTAGCAACCACGAGAACAGTTGTCCGAGCACACCAGTACACACGATGTCTCTCAGTCTTTCTGGCTCTTAAGTCTTCAGGGAGAGCCCCGACTACTCCAAATGGCCAATGTAATACAAGCTATCGGCGCGACAACCAACAGCGCTGATGATTACACGAATGGCGCATGAACGCCACTAAAAAAAACCACACTATTTTACTGACCGACCGTTGGCAGTAATCGTTTTTATTCTCTGTTCAACTCGTTTAACTGTTTATTTTTGGTATCAAATAACATGTATTTATTATTACTATTAACGGATATTGTTTACGTTCATACAATTTAAATATACACGAGATACCGCGCTCGCTTTTTCTCTCACTTGATAATTCAGTTTTAATTGTTATCGTCTTTTTAATCACCTTATTGGATTTTTTCCAAGTATCATCGAAGTTATCGTTATTTAATTAAAATGATTAAACAACAAAAAAAAGCACTTTTGATAATAATTGTAAGTTTTGAACGGTTTAGCGATCAACTAGCTCTTTAGAACTTTTAGCACGATCTGATCTCTGATACCGCGCGCTCGGGATTTTCGTATAAGCGGTATGAGCTCCCCTCTTCTGTAGCCTTTACTCTCCCTCTTAATCGCTGACGTCGTTTATTTGACGTCGACTTACAAGTCTCGATGAAAAAGATGCTTTTGTCTTATTCCATCTCCAATGTATTTACAATATTACTTTCATACGTAACCAAAGCTACGCACTTTTGAGAGAGAAAATTGTCTTTAAACTTCGACTCATTCACGTGTGATTTTTGACCAGGATATTTCGTCAGTTGTACTTTACGCGCGACTTCTCATGGGCATGCGCAAATGATTCTGTATCACTTTTAATTTAAAGATGTGAAATCTGTAACAATTTATCCATCAAACTTGTTATGCTCTGATTAATAAACTGATTGATTTACCATCGACATTATTGTTGTGGAAAGCCAGAAAATGCTGGATTTTTAATTTTATTCATTTTACAAATATTCTTACTTAAAGTGACCTCTGGAACTCTCTGTGTTAATGAATATTAGAATTGTAAATTGATATAAGAATGCTCGCAATATATACAATGTGTACTCGATGTCTTCCGTCATTATGTCAATTATGTTTTTGAAGATGAAAAATTAATGAGACTAATATATTTACATAACATAAGAGTCTAACAGATGACATTTCTGTCTATTTTTTTGACTGAACCGAAAGTCTTTTCGTTGAAATATAATCAGCTAATATTTATACTTTATTATGAGTTTTCATAGAAAAAAATTTGCCAAAATTTCGTTTGTTAAGTAAATGAAGTTTTTTAGTAACCATATTGTCTATTTTATTTAATAAAAACAAACGTGGTAATTTATTTGATAAGTTAACGTAACGAGATTTAACATTATCAAAAATTAGGTCAAACAATAACTTACCTAAAACAATAGCTTATCTAATTTTTGTCGATTGCTCAATAAATAAACGTGATTAAATTATGATGATTAATGTTTTTTAAAAGTCACTTGAAATTTAAGTATTTATACTTGTTTTTCAAAAACTACGTAAATTATTGAATTCTCAGAAAGTATTGTATCATAGTTTAATCCTTCACTTATGCATTACCATATTATTACTGATGTATGTTTGGTTGCCAACGAACAATTTAAACTATTCGATACAAGTGTTGATCTATATATTTAATATCTACAGCAATTAAAGGAGTGTAAAAATGAATAATAACTACACGAAAAATTTAACGTGACTGTTTTTTTTATTAAGCTGATATAAAATTCTAAATTTCATTTAATTCATTGACTGATTAAATGATTAGCTTTGTAAATTATTTAATTAATAAATAGATCTCTTCTTAGATATTCCATTCTTAATAGTATCTATTAAAAATAGCTAAAAAAACAACTCATTATATGAAGGACCCAAGATTATGTAACTAAAGAATTTTATTGACCTACTTTTTTTTGTACATAAATCACTTTTTATAAACAAAAAATTTTGTGGGTTGCATATATGGTGAACATTTCACTCAATTATTGTTATCATTGGGTAAGATATTCTAGAAGAATTCAATTTTACTCTGAAATTAACAACATTTGTGAAAATGACTTGTTGAAAATGTTTTTTAATATTTATTTGCAATGAATGAACTTTGTATAACCCAAACAAAGCTTATTCATAATTAATAAATTCTATCTGAAGTTTAATAAAATTATCAATAACAATTAAATTGTATTTTTAATCCAAAAAAAATTAACAGTAACTTAATTTGATTTTCGATAAATGTAAGTATTTTTAAAGATCCTTGAATATTTTGACAAATTCAATTAGTTTGCAAAATGCGATTAGCGTCTATTTATTCAACAATTTTTTCGTACATTGATAATGAATAAAAATCAACACATTATAAAGTACAACAAATTTTTTTACAAATCACGTAATTAATGACTGTTTGTGTTTTTGCGCATTTAGATAACTATGTTTTTATTTAATTAAGCAAATTAAATAGCAATAAAATATTTTTAGATTAAAAACGTTGTTAATAATGAATAAATGTCTCAATAAATCGGTTGTTTTGTTTTTTTCCAATTAATAAATGATTAGATATTTATAATACAAATTGGTTAATTGAATAAGAAGAAAATAAAATGAAAGAAACTTTCAAAAAATTAATTTTCAAAAATAATTACAGTAAAAATTAATAATAGTTTTTATCAAAACATTACATTGCACAATTCATCTCCTAAGTGATCGACAAAATTGTTGCAGTTAATAAATTCGTAATTTATGATAATGTGTTATGTGTTTGATAATAAATGCATGTAAACTCAACTATACACAAAGTGTAGTGTAACAGTGCTAAAAAATTCCATCAAATTAATAATTACAATGCTAAATAAATCGAATACAAAATAATCACAATGTCATGTTACGAATTGAGCGAATTCAATGGAAATTCGGTTGATACTTGAGTTACGTCGACGGGGCAAACTTGCTAATCTAGATTTTTAATATAAATAATAAAATGACACACTTTCAAAATTAGGTGAGAAAAGGAGTTACAGGTATTTCATTTATTAAATGGGAGAGTTGGTGTTCCTATACGATTCTGAAGAAAGATCAGTGGTTTGGTGCGTAACAGTCTTGCGTGAAGGATTATGCAAGTGTGACACATGGAAATCCAACAGCGGTCAGCGAAAGTGACCCCCCTACCTGTTTCAGGTACACGGATGCTGCACGATCTTATTGCCATTTCGTGGAAGGTCCGAGATTCTTATTCCTACCCAATTTGGCCCAAGGAAAAAATATTTTTATCTTCTCCAGTAAATTATCTACTGTGTAATTGAAAAAAAAATTGCTAATTACCTAGAGCCATAAAGATTCTGTATTCCTCCGAGTAAAAATCATCTGAGATGAAGAATTTGTTTGATGAAATTTTTTATCTCATCAAATTGTTGAGTAAGTTTAATCTGTTTTAGTTATTTATAAAAAAATTTCAAGAAGACTGCGCACTTCCTGAAAAATGTGTTTACAGTTCAAATATACAATTCATTCTTGAATAAATTTTTAGAAAGTCTGCCAAACAGATATCCTTATTTATCGTTAGTGTCGTTGATTATCATTTAAATATCATGTTTAAAATTAATTCTGTTTCATTTATTAGTTACATTTCATAGCTTTTGTTGCATTCAAAAAATAAAAATGTTATTTTGCAATTCTAATAAAAAAACAACTTTGTTTTTCTTATATCATGTGTGTAATATATAGATGTATATTTTAATAAAGTAGACAATTATATGTGATTAGATATTTTAAAAAAAAGCTAAATGTTGATATAAGACGTGATCGATGAAATAATCATATCTTTGCGAGATATGGGTATTGAGTTGTAGGTAACGCCTGTTGCAGTCTTTCAATGCTTTACACTTTCACCCTGTGGATTCTCACGGCCACTTTCACTATCAAATGGTATCGACCGACACTATTAGAGATTACATGTCGTTCAAATATAAACAAATAATTTTATTTATTCTATTCTAATCGTTTTTTGTTCATAAAATATTTAAAAAAACAGTAAAAAATTAATTTAAAAGTACGTCAAGTTAATTCTCAATGTGAAATAAAAATATTTATGTGAAAAAACAACAAAAAAAATGTAGGAAAACTTTACAATTACGATTGATAATTTTCGCAATGCAACGTTACATCATTAAGTTCGTAAAATTTTTAAATTAAATAACTCGCTCACAATCTAAACCTCCTTTTTACCGACATTTCTGTTATCATTAGTTTTTCATTTATCGATAATGAAGAAAATTTTCGTGTCAATTTTTTTAAAATTTTTTATTGTTATATTCAGCAATTCAATTGACAAGAGTATTATTTTTTTCATTCATACTTTTATTATAGTTGACTATTCCTTTAAGAAAGCTTCAATTATACAGTATTTTAATAGTACATTGTTAATATATTTCATAATACATAATATAATTACACTCATTAATAAATACATTGTACAAAATATTCTTAATTAATTATTGATCTCTTATATTAATTTTTAAATATTATTACTACTTTTTAGTAGTTATTACAGCATTTCAGTATTTTTGGCTCAGTCGTCAATCATGATGAATTATCACGTTTTCTGATTGAAGACATTGATTATACCTAAACTTCTATTTTTAAATATTTTTATGTTTATTCTTACAAAAATTACCGAAAGAACTGACTTATCAAATTGGCTACTAAATTCTAACTTTTTTATTCTATTTACAATTTTAGTAAAAAAATTCACTAATTTTTCTATACAATGTCATAAAGATTATTGTTTTTTAGATGTTTTTCTAGCTGAAATTTAAAAACGAACAAATAAAATCCAAGTGACTAGTTGATTGAACAAAGTTCAACATTGAACTTTTATAAAAAATATAAAATTTATTAGCCAACCTAATACTAATAAGAATTTAACGTCTTTGGAATTTTGCTTCAGAATGTAAAAGTAATTAATATTAATATTATCATTAATCAACAATCACACATGCATTTAATGAAGCTAAAAAATATTAACTAATGTTGAGAGAGGATGAAGATCGAAGATGTCTATCATTTAAAAATAAATGTAGTTGAGAGATAAATGAACAATAATGAAAAAAATGGACATAAAATGAGCATTACATCAGTATCATCATAATTATTCCCCTACGTGATTGTCAATAAAAGCACGGTTTCTCAGACCATTGTCTGAAATGTAACCGGTAGCCATTTTGTACTGATTAGGATAGAGAACACCTGTTTCTTTCTTAGATTTATCCAAGTTTTGAGCATAATTATCTTCAGTTTTATCAGTCTTTTTGGTGTTCATTTTAAGTGCTGCTGCGTCTCTTGCACGTTTTTTGGTGTAAGATTGAACATAAAAGTCCCTGAAGAGAAAGAAGAAGAGAATTGCATGGCATCCAATCCAGTAGGCGAAGGGTTTGGGAAAATCACATTCAATAAAGAGTAGTTGAAAGGCATGAACCATGACAAGAATGAATTGGACCATTTGAAGAGTTGTGAGGTATTTCTTCCACCAGAGATATGGTTGAATTTGGGGTCCAAGGGCAGCAAGATAATAGTATCCATACATTACGATATGTACAAATGTGTTCAAGAGTCCGAAGAAGGATGCATGACCACCTGAAATGAAATAGATCAACTTGTTATTGAGATTATTACTTTTTAAATAAATACAAATTTGTCTTATTGAAAATTTAGTTAACTTACCAGGGAGGAATTTTACACCAACCCATGTAGACATCGGCATAATTCCATGATGAATAACATGAAGAGTCGTAATTTGATTATTTTTCTTCCGTAAAACGAAGAAAAAAGTATCCCAAAATTCCGTAAACTTGGAAATAAAGTACCACCAAGAACCAGCAGCCATTCTTAATGCTTTTGGCTTGTTAGAGTAATCAACTGGTTGACACCTGAATGAATAGTCATTCCACCAACCACTTGCCAGGGCCTGTAAATTAAAAGAAATTCCACGATTAAATTATTTAATTACAAGGTTTATCAATTAAATTTATTTTTTATCCGTAATGAAAATTCTTTAAGCATGATATGAGTTACAAAAATTGACGATACATATTTGAAATATATCAATAATTCAAAAGTAGATTTAATCAAGTTCAAATAGTCTTATAGTTGATTAATAATAGCAGCAATTAGCCAGACAATGAATCAGCAAAAGAACAAATTTGTTATTGTTTACAAACTATGATAATTTAAATTCAATATCTATTAGTAATCAAAATCAAACAAATCAGTGAAGAATAATTTTAATGATTTCAATGCCAACTGTTTTAAAAAAAAAGTTTAGTCAATCAAAGTTTTACCTCATGAAATAGCCAAGTCGATAATAACACTTGGAAAAAATTATAGACTAGCAGAACTTTTCTAAGAGTGAAAGGTTTTCGATTTTCCATAATCTTTGGTCCAAGCACTTTAACAAAGTAAGCATAAGAAAGGCATATAAAGAGAGTAGGAAATGGACTGCTCATCAAAAACCAATTATTGACTCTTGGGTCACTTTTTTCGTCCATCAGCCAGCGATAATTGTCTGAAATTGATTTCCATAGCCCAGCCATCTGCAATAATGAAATGATTTATTTATAACTGTAGAAATTACATGTTTAGTATCTGAATTAATTAAATGTAAAGCTATAAAAAAATTGTAACTGGTAATTTATTTAGAGGTTAACATTTATTGCATTAGCGGCTAAACCCTTTAAACGTGCTTGGTTCTTTCAACATCTCATAGAAGTTTCTAGATTCAGGGTGACCGTCATTGAAGGTTTATGAACCAGCTCTCTATCGCAATCCACAAGTCCATTCCAAAGCTAGGTCAGCAAGCTTCTATTAAATTTTCCTCTCGATCCTTCTATTCACTAGAAGTTTCATAATGCCGGGAAGCTGAAAGGAAAAGTGGCCCGGGGGAACTTGTTTCTACCACGCAAAAATCCAGTCCTTCACCGCAAAGCTATTTGAGATGCGATCTGGTTGCTCGATGGATCGCGACAACTTGTGTGGTTTCAACTGTAAGACGCTTCGTCTTCCCACAAATATTTTAATTAATCTACAGATTATCATGAAAGAATTACTATCGTTATCCAATTTGATTGGATCTTCATCAATTAACATTCTTTTTTTTTAATCATCTTATTTAATTACAACTAAAACGATTTTTTTGTCGATTCTTGCATTTTCTCTAGTAATTAATTTGTAATTATCTCCACCAACAGAAAATATATCAAGGTTGGTGATTATAGTAATGAATATAATTTTAGTATATATGAACGCGTATTATCAACTCCTATGTAGTATTAGATTTTTTCTGTTTGAAAAAATTTGTGATTACCTTGAATTGATGTTTAAATATATTTAAAGACTATTCTTCAATGTAAAAGACAATTCAATGTGGTTTTGTTTTTGGTTTTATTTTTTTTTCTTTTCAATTAGAAAGGAAAACTTTGAAATTTCGGGTCATTGCACAGGAAGTCCAATGTCAATTATTCAACTCCATAGTTTAGACAATCGAAAGTGATTTGTTCTTTAGCGCCATTTGCGTAATATTGAATAGCTAAGACACATAAAATTATAATTGTCACTTTATAGTAATAGCAGCACTGTTAATAAATTTTGAAACAATGGACCACCCATGTGTTATTATCACCTGCTAAGTCCACAGGTCGTTTGTGTTTACATAAAACAAGTTCGCTGATGCTTCTATATTATCCTATTATCCAACCATGGACATGACAGTAAATTTTTGCAACTCAACCTTGCATAAAGATGACTCTTTTCCAACAACAATAATAAACAACGTCAACAAAAAAAGAATCGTTTGTTTACTTACTTTGATATATTATCTAATCTTTAATCTCAGAAGAAGCAGAGAAAGTCAAAGTATTATATTTTCACTGGATCCTTGAAGCACTTAATAATAATTCGAAAGTAATTAAATTAAATTTAATAAGTAAAATAAAAATAAAAAAAAAATTAATCAACAGCTGTCACTACTAAAAGTTGTAGATAATATTTAATTAACCATAAGTATGTACAGCAGACAGCAATCAACTGACTTTTCGAAGTAGAGACGCTGCCTTATATCTCTTGTGTGTGACACCTATACCGGGGAGTCTAGGCACGTGGTATACCTCCAGTCATCCCCCACCCGCAAGGGAGTTTCCTTCAGTAGACAAAAATGCTTTATTGACAATTAACATTATTACTCAATTTACGATGAATTTTTTACATATTTTATCTCATCAAACAGTGGTAAAAAATATTGAAAAATTTCCTAGAATAATTTACACCGAGTTTAAGTGTGTAGCCTTTTCATAGCGAACATTTGCAAATTTTATGTGTGATATACTTGTAACCGATCTTTCTAGATTCGAACACCCTTCTCCTTCTTAACTTTAAAGTTACTCCAGCTTAATTTCACTCTTGCCATTCTCTTAAGATTTTAAGACTTAAAGCAATGGATTAAATTAGTAGATTTATGGGAATTAAATTGAAAAAAAAGTTATAAAGTAAGAGAAGAATAAATCATTCATTTTTCCTGTAATTTAATTATTTTAATATTAGAAGATGATACAAGTGAAATACTGAGTGGATAGTTCGGATTAATTAGAGAGTAAAATTGCATTTAATAATTTTGTAACCAGGTCAAAATGGTTTGTACATTTTCACACAGTGACGTTCATAGAGTCCGGAAACTACAGCTGCATTCAAGTTATTAGACATCAGTAAACGTTGAATAAAATTTGAATTTTACTAATTATTTGCCTCCATTACTACAGCAAACAATTAATTACTACGATTAATTTATTTCACAGGGCATTTCAATCAATCATTGATGCATAAATGAACTTCATTTCTATTTACTTATAATGGAAAAAAATTTTTTTTTGCTTAATTAAAATAAGATTATTTTCAACTTGGTACTATTTAATGATTTTTTTAATTAAGTGAAGCTGTAGAGAAATTCGTCTGTAAATGAATGGCATAAAAGAAATTATGTTTTATCAGATATTGCAAGAATATTAATTACTATGATAATATAGTTCAGCTAAATCTAACGCGTGCCATTATTTGCATTTAATTCTTTCATTTTTTACAAGTCAAATGTCGATTGTTGCTGATTGCATTTCTATTTTTCCAATAAATTAAATTTATAATATATATTTTCCTTTTTTATTCCGTATTTTATAAACAATCGAATTACTAATAAATAGTTACTAGAATATTCCAAAAACTATAATTATCGAGTAATTACTCTCATATTATTTACCATAATTTAAAATTAGCAATAGATAATTACGATTTTTTTATTATTCATTATATTTTGATTTACGAAAAATGTTATGAATTATTGATCTATATTGATTAACCATTCAGTATTGATTTTTTAAATAAACAATTGAAAAATAATGTTAAATACGATTTACTAATAAGTTTTAATCATTTATTTATTCAATAAAAGAAGGAAAAAGTAATTCTCATTTAAACTTTGTCTACTGTTGAAGTTTATTGCCCACAAAAACCACAAAATCTAAACTTTATTCTCTACTTCATTAATTTTTTTCATTATTTTTATATAATTTATTTTATAACCTACCATTTTTGTATATTTGGACACCTTTGGACCAGAAAAAAAAATTACTACGATAATAATAGAAACATGAATAATACTTAGTATTAATCAATTGACTTCCAAAGACTTAGTATAAATCATCATAACAAAAACACTATGTAATTACTACCACTCATTAACGTCTCTCTAATAATTATCAATGAAAGATTGCAATCATAATTGCTACTTCTGAGATAAATAAAAACCCCAGCAACAATGACGTAGATTTGTGATGAATTACTGTCAAGGTTATTGGAGATAAAATTTCTCGTAAGAATCCTGCTAGTTTGTCGACACTACAAGAGTTACTTAAGACTTAGAAATCAGTTAATGAGTGTGAATGCGATACGAATAAAATTAAAAGGAGAAAAAGAATACTAAATCGTACTTTGTACCGAAACACATCAAGTTTCTATCTTCTGTCCAGACGAACCTTCTAGACGTTCAAGACAGAAGACGTATGTTACAAGTATTTACTCTCGCGTAATTACCCAATTAAATAAGTAGGTAATACACTTTTCTTCGGATGTTAACTGCATAAATAGTACGTTATTAATTATTACATCATTATTTTCTCGACCAACTATTAAACAATTTTTACATTCATTAACATACATTTTTTGGATTATGCATTACATGCATTCGATGCACAATTTTTATGCTAATTTATAAAGCATTGTGTGTAACAGGTCTTCATGATATTCAAATATGTCATCCGCTCTGACATTTACTAGAATACAGAATCATGCTGATTTTCATTAAAATGCATATAAGATTTCAGAATTTACATATCAAAAAATTTTTAGTTAATTTAAAATATTATTTAACAAATCTCTCTTAACAAAAGAATATCCTTGAATAAAGCCAGGATTCACAATTTTATGTACCATTTAAATCAACGACTAAGATGTTTAATCGTCAATAAAAAATAACTTTAATTCGAAAATATTTTTCATTGAAAAAACCCCATTTATTACCTCTAATGATGGTAATCGATTCATTATTATCGTTAATATTAAATAAATCATGATGGAAAAAAGTAGACGAGGAAGTTTACATTTTTTATGTGTTTAATTAATACAAACAATCCATGAGATAATGTTTGTTTCATTATAGATAGACTTTGTCATTGACAATAATCATGAAATTATCCATATATTATTAACAATATCGACAATCGAGAATTTCAATTAGCATAAGTTCAATGAAAAATACGTAGATTGATGTAAACAAGTGTTAATTTTTTTTTGCAGCTTCTTAATACGTCATCAAAATCATCAATATTTTTTTGTTTACAGGGTTCATAGTACTTTATAACATTTACGCATTACTAAATTTTATTTTTGGATATTCTTAATGACATTCTGGTGATAGGATAACTTTTCATCGGTCAAAGAGCAACGGAAACGAATTAATAATTGAATGTTTGACGTATTTTGCAAATTTTTGATTTATAGAAATGATCGTTTTTTAAAAAAAAAATAGTTTTTTGGTGAAAAAAGTGGTGGATCATACTACTACTACATCATAATACTATTGAATGTGTTAAAAAAACTCATGAATAAAATAGTAGAAAAATTTTTAGTTAATTTTATGATGATTCGGTGCATTTCATTTTATCATTACGTTCACTAAAATTGCTTCATAAATAACAATGAATATGGATAGCTTATTGTTCTAAAATTATCGAATCAATAAAACTTGAACAAAAAATCTTTTAATCATGAAAATTTACTGGATATCAATAATTTTTTATTTTTTCCTTTATTTTCACTTTTAAAAATAAGGAATTGAACATATATTCTTGAACTTGAATATTTAAGTACCGAAAAAATAAAAGGAGTTTAATACCAACCAATTTGTATCTATTCATCTCAAATGTAATGACTGGAATATTCTAGGTAACTTAAAACATCCATATATTTGCGAAAAAGTAGAATAAATATTCAATGTTTTCATGAATATTCCAAAGTTTTTTTTTTCATCATACATAAGTAACGGTTGCATATTACCGTTATTGTATGTATTTGTAATGAACATGTCATATTTTAGATGTTCTTCCCTTCAGAAAAATTTTAAAAAGCTTACGCAAAAAAATTTAGGTCAGGATTATTCTATACATTCGTTAAAATATCAATAAAACCTTGAAATACTATTGACCATGACTTTATGAAAGCCTTCGGATTTCAATAATTACCCATCACAGCGCAATTTCCACCAATAATACTAATACTTCGCATAATTTTCTTGACCTTTGATCTGTCCATTGGATATCCTGAAAATTTATTCAAAGATTTCATTTGTTTATATTATTTCGTAAACTGATAATTTTTGCTAATTCATTGCCATATAGAGTTGTGATTTATGTAACGTTACATTTTATTGTTTCGATACAATTCTCGAATGATCGTTTGAAGAAAATATTTTCAAATAGTTATTCAGGGTGGACTTTGTTTCAACAAATATCCACATGTCCATATGTCAATCTTTGTCTACCGTTGATTGGTTATTCTCAGTAGTAGTAGATCAATAGGCCTATATTTAAAGTATTTCTTTTCACTGTTGAAGAAATAATTATGATTTGTGGTTGACAAGTATGAATGATGATTAAGTAAACGAATTAACTTTTTTTTATCAATTATTGTTCAAAATATTGTTAACTGAATGCAAAAATTTTTCTTATTCACATATATGATTAAATCACTTGATTGAGTACCATTTTTGTTTCGTTATTGTGAAATGTCAGAAGGATAGCGTTTGGCACTAGTAATAATTTTGTTCTAGTCACGAGACTATTTTTTATAAGGTGTTATAATCTAGGAAGAAGTTAAAAGATCAATGTTTATTGATAAATGATTATCATTGAATAATAATAGCTGTAACATTAATACATTTTTGTTGTTGTCAATGTTTTATTTTTATTCAAAATTTAGCGCATTTATTGAAACTATTGTGTTATCATAAAAAAATGTTACCATATGTTAAAAAACTAGTAATAAAATACAAACAGTCGGTAACAAATACCGACAGATTTTCTTAAGTTCTTTGAAACTCGCCAGATAGCATACAAAATTTTACGAAGTGGTTTCATGTAAAGAGCATTGCTGTATATTGTTTGTAACCATAATAAACTTTATAAATAATTTTTACAGTATTTTACTAGTTAAATAGTACTTGATATTCAATAAAAATGGTCAAACTTACTCCCGAGCTTATACAACAATCAATGCAATATATCAATCCTGTGAGAGATCGAGAGTTGGACCTCAGAGGTTAGAAAAACACAGCACACTCCAAAACTAAAGCATAAACAATTTGTTATTTGTTCTTTATGTTTTAGGATACAAAATACCTACAATTGAAAATCTTGGAGCAACTTTAGTAAGTGTATAAGATTTTTTTTTTTCAATTCAACTATTTATCTACTACTATAGATAGTTGGAACTAAATTGATATACTCTTATTTTATATTGATGTTAAATGAAATGTTCTTTTTCAAATAGGATCAATTTGATACGATCGATTTTTCCGACAATGATATTCGAAAGTTGGATGGATTTCCATTTCTCAAACGAATAAAAACGCTCTTTTTCAATAATAATCGTATTATTAGAATTGCTGAAGGTTTAGAACATTGTATTCCGAATTTGGAAACTCTCATGCTAACAGGAAATATGATTCAAGAATTAGGTGACTTGGATCCATTAATTCCGCTTAAAAATCTTCAAAGCCTATGCCTTCTACAGAATCCTGTGTCGGCTAAATCACAGTATAGACAATATGTTATCTATCGACTACCTCAATTGAGATTATTAGATTTCCGCAAAATAAAGCAAAAAGAACGTGAAGAAGCTATTGAATACTTTAGAAGCAAAAGAGGCAAGGAAATGGCTCGAGAAATTGCCAAAAAAGCTAAACTTCAAGCTGCCATGGGCATTTCAGACAAACAAGTTATGAATTCTGAAGAAAAAAATAAAATTAGAGATGCTATTTCTCAAGCATCGTCACTCGATGAAATTCGGAGACTTGGAAAATTACTTCAATCTGGGCATATTCCTGGAGAAGACCAAAATCAGAATGGTTAATAATAAAATAACATATTTTTGACAAATTTAGTCACTATACGAAAAACATTATTAATGTGATTGGTATTTCAGGAGCTAATGGAATGGAAGCCATGGAAGAAGATGATGATTGAGGAACTAACTCAAATCATTTATTATAAATTAAATGTAATTATTATCGAAGTAAGTATGGTCGTAATGGGAGTTTACTAAAATTTAGTATAAGTTTTGTATTAAAATTTATTAAGTTAATAAGAAAACATTACTACACTTATGGTATTAAACTACTTAAGAACATAGAAAAATTGATGATAATACCGATATAAAGTATCGAAATTGCTTTAACTATGTACGATAGATTGGTTTATAAAATAGTTGATTTTCCATTTCAAAATGCCATGAAGCGATACAATGTTTAGATATATTTATGATGTATTATATCTACTTATTTCAGAGTCTAAGTAATTGATATAACCATCTATTCAAAATCAAGGAACTGTCAGGTCCATTACTTCATCCTACTGTTTTATTTCATATTGAAATTTAATAAAAGATTTTTTTCATGAACAAATTACTTTTATACTATTTATTACCATTGTGTTTAGAAATAGAAATGTAAACATTACATAATTGACTATAGTGATATAAGATCAGTCGACAGATGGCACTAGTCCATCAGTCATCAAATCCCTTTTAATGTTAGTAGTTTTGTTTAGATTATTGAAATATATTATTATTAAAAATTAAAATGGGTAGTACCGCATCTTACGTTTTACATCCTGACGTAACTCCCATGGGAGATGCTGTTCCATCGTTTGATCCAAATTATGGATTTCCAAATGGACGAAAGGAAAGAGGTATAACCTCAATGTTTGGATTTTATTCATAATAATTTTAGCAAATTTGATTATAAATAAGTTAAAAATATTTATCGAATTAAATAATTTAACTATGTTGATGCTTTTAATTAACGACTTTGTTTAATAAGAAGTAATGTAATTAATTAACATATTATTGACATCATCATTTGCATTTTTTAAGGATGTAATCTAAATTTTTTTTTTATTATTTCAGTAATGATTGCCACTGAAAAAGAATTAATGGCTGGAAGAGTTGAACCAGAATTTCGAGATTATTGTGCACATTTATTCTTAGAATATGATCAGTGCAGATATAACAATTTTCCATGGGTAGTTAAGTGTGGTCGTGAAGTACACAAGTGGAATACTTGTTCATTCGAAGAGTAAGTAAATGTATTTTTTTACTATTTCAAATGGTTATTTAATATATAATCAAATTTAATAATAAATAACTCAAACGACATTAGCTAAAAAATCTTCATTTAAAAATTCATTTTATTTGGTGATTCTTTAAGTGTTATTATGATCAGTTAGTAGTAGGTGATAATTTATGCTTAATTTTATGAATATAAAAAAAGTTTAACACTACTGTTAAATAATGAAAATGAAGATTTCTTTTAAATATGTTGTCAGAGTTTGACTTAAGAATTACCAAATTTAGCTTCTTAATAGATTATTATTTTGGTGAAAATTCGTTCCAGTTATGTTTTGCGGATGAAAGAATATGAACGTGAAAGACGACTACTTGAAAGACAAAAGAGAAAGCGAGAAAAAGAAGCTGCAGCTGCTTGAAAGTCGATTTTTCTTGTCGACATTGGCTCATTGATATTTTTATCTGTCGTTAATATTAGCAAAATACTATTTAATCCAACAATTTATTCTAATAGTGTAAATATTTGAGATATATAAATAAAAGAGATGGTCAGATTACAACCTTAGTTTAATTATATTGAAAATTCCCGCAGAAATATTCTAATAGAAAAGGTCAGGACAACATAGTCTTAGGCAATTGAATTACAATTAAATGTCAAGTATTTAATTTTATCTCAAGTAATTAATTTTTAGGCACTAACGTAGAAGTAATTACTTATTAACCCACATTCTACAGTTGAATTTATGCAATTAATTTACAACATCGTTAACATTCCGTCAAAATGAGTGTCACTGGACTACTCCCCAATTCGCGATAATCGATACTCGACTACAACGTTCTAAGTGCAGCTTCTTGTGTGTCGTGACGCGCGATTTTTACCTGAAATCGCCGGGTTATTTTTTATTTTATTTATTTATCAATTAGACATGCTTTAGTGATTCACGAAGAACTACAACTATATTCCCGTATCATTAACTAATTATTATATGATTAATTAATAGCTAATTACTCCATTTTCCAGTTAGTGTGATATGAAAAATAACACGATAAATATGGAAAGTCAAGGTAAGTGAATAATAATATTTTTATTCTTATATATGTCATAATGCTTTATTGTCATTGTTTATTAGTTATTCAGCTTTATAGCTGATAGGACCACATTGATTTTATAGTACCATTTTATTCACTAAAATGCAATATTTTTTCTTTTCTGCGCAATGCAATTACTGCACTGCTGTGATTTGAAAGCATTAAATTCTTACAGAAATTTCTTATTTATTAAACTTAATTGAATATTTTTTCAATATACATTTATATCAATATTTTTTTACTGCATTTGATCAGTAATATACAAAAATTCAAAATTATATTACTCTTACATATTTACAATCGTACCTATCGCTTAAATTTTCTTATAAAATATCTATATACTTACAAACATTTCAAATCTTCTTAAAAAAGTTGTCATCGTAATTTTTAATTATATTTTTAAGTTTTTCATTATTCATTCATTTAATAAAGAGATATAATCTTAATTATATTAAATATAATTATTTATATTATTTTTAAGCATATCTCTATTCATTGCAGCTTATTTCAATGAATTTTATGCATCTTGTACGAATAAGAAACAACAAAATTGATGGTGAAAAATAAATTTTTAAAATTATACAATATATTATAATATCTTGGCAAGTTCTATCATGTTGTTGCTATCACTTTAATTTTTACATTATATTTTTAAATTATTTCTGTTTTTTATTCTCGTTTAGAACTATTTCCTTTACTCGCTTTTGATTTCTTTTTGTTTGGCTAGTCTGGCAGTTTCTCTGCGATAGGCACGACGATAGAAATCGTAGAATAAGACGAAAAATATTGTGGAATGAAGGAGAAGTAGAGCAGCAACAAGTTTGGGATATCCGCAATCAAATACAAGAGCTTGTGCACTGTGAACAAATACCAGGAAGAATTGAACCTGTAAAAAAAAGCGAGACTTTATAAGGTATTGGTAGCAACTATGGTCTACCTATAATGAAGCCTAGCTAATTATTGTAAATACCTACAGCAGTACTAATTAATTATTGCTTTCAAATAATGTAAACATTGGAAATCAAGTTGGTATTTTATTTTCTACCTAAATAATTGGAGAACAGTTGTTATTTCGATTAGTAAAATGACTTCATCAGTCGATATTACTTTTCATTTCCCATTTTATTATACATAAGTTGATTTAGCACTATTACTAGGCTCCTTTGATCAATTTATTCATTGGAAACACGTTTGAAATAATTTTTTTATTCTATCATCAAGTCTCTTTAATAACATCTGACGTTGATTGAGAATAAAATATATAAAAGTATTGAACATAATTATTAAACAAGTATAAATTATCTATCTTACTAAATAGACAATTCATTTACAGTAATCTCTTTTTCTGAACTTTGCTTTGTTAATTATAGAAAATAGTCAATCATTAACATTAATAATAGGCTCACTTAAAAGATTAATTGTTTATAAATGATTGAATTCTCTCCAATACTTATAATTTTTATTTCAACCTATTATTCGACAATTATCAGTAAATGATTGATTTACTCAAAATTTTTTAAAAATTTTTATTAAATGAGTTTAGAGTAAGAAGAGCGTTATTTGCCTCCAATATCTTCTACTCACTGTTCTTAATTGCAGTGCGTACGCTAGAGCATCAATCAAATGGAAAGGTTAGTTTGTTATTGGTATCTTGTTGAAGAGTTTCAATACCTTTCTCGTCTTAGTGACGCGAGCAGGGGGATGTACCAAGTGCAAGCGCAGAATAGTTGACTTTATAGGTGAGGTTCTCGAAGGCACGCGGCCTGTCCGCGACTCAATAGTGGTCCCGTGGTCTATCGGAATGCCAAATTATTGCGCCATCCTACAATTCTCCAGTCCAGCAAAGCAACTCAGTCAGAATTGCCCAACGTAGATAGGTACCTACTTTTCACTTTCCCTCCCCTTCCAGTGTAAGATTTTGCTGTTTCTCGACACGGCTCAGAATTCAGTTTACTAATCCAATCCTATCTCTGTCAAACTACTTCAGGGTGATACCATATCGGAATGTCCTACATACGATTCAATTTACGTTAGGGTTTCACTGTAGCTATTTATGTTTACTATGTCGATATTTCATATGTATTTTTCTTCACACGGGTATCTGATCTGTTTATGAGGATTTCAATTATATGTATTTTGTTAGCTACTATTTTTTGCAAAGATTTAACTATAGTTTACATATTTACATTCTTTCGTAATAGATTTTTATTATAAAAATATTGAAAGAATTTAACCAATAGTGTGCTAATTTAAAAATTATCAAAAACAATGTTTAAAACACATCGAAATAACTTTTATTTTAGTTTCAAAAAATTGAAAGAAAAGAAAATAAAATTAATAAATTTTTTATAATGAAATTAATTTACAAATTTTTCAAATAGAATTTTGCAAAATAAAAGTAATGAAATTAATAATATATAGACAATTTTAAATTTTCATACTATTGGGTAGAGATGAAATAATTTTTTTTTAAATAAAAAACCGGTTTATCTTTAAACTAATTAACGAAACAATTTCTATCGCAATATAAATTAATGTTATTTATCAACACCATATATATTAAATTAACTTTATTGACTAAAAAAAGAACAAAGAAAAATATATTTATTCCTGGCTAAACTTGAAAAAAATTAACTTGATTCTTTCTATTATTTTTTATAAACAATTTTCTCTCGAAGGATCTATTATTTCCCAACCGAGCCTGGAACAATGGAGGGGTTGATTCATCTATCGCTTCATATAAACTAATTGCAGAAAAGTGCTTCATTCTAGCAAAGAAGTAGTAAACACTTGGTTTTATCTCGAGCATTTATCATCAGGAGTCATGTGCGCCCTTTTGCAGAGTCTCCGAGTGGCCCGACTGTCACGGCGCAATGCACCTGGCTTACCGTTCACTTTCATTTGGCAAGAATTATCTAGTAAGGTACACTAGTACTTTCGCAATATTTGACAATTATTATGAATGAAACTATTGGGCCTGAGATAATTGATCGAGGTCGTGCTTTCGCCCTCTCGAGCCTTCGTTTTCTTTCGCGCATTCAACCATATATGTACTGCTAGTTTAGAATTACCGGTTCTCCAAGAGGACCAATCTATTTTTACTTGTCCAGAATGTTTTTACTTTCGTGTACCTAAGATATTTTGTCGTGATACTGACAAATAGAGTGTGTTGAAAAATCTTTACTTACCAATTGCACGGTGGTCAAGTGTTTTTTCCACCATAAATATTTTTGGTACTCAGGTCCCATGGCAGATAGCATGTAATAAGCGTACATAACTACGTGTACTGCATTGTTAATGAGATTGCCAAGGGTGCCGTGGCCACCAGCAATAAATTTGACGCAAATCCACGTCTCTAGCGGGGTCAGCGAGTGATGATATAGATGTAGGAATGTCACTTGACTGTCTTTCTTGCGCAGCACGAAGAAAATCTGAATATATAAATTAATCTTGTTTACAACCCTGTAAAGGAAGATTATATTGTTCGATGCGACTTTACTTATTATTCATATTTATGTCTCAGGGATTTTTACCGGAAAATTGAATTAATTGTTGTTATTTAATTATGCTTAAGGAAGAATGGAAAACAAGCCGTTAATTATCATTTTTTAAATAAATATCTTCTTTAAAATAGATTAATTATTTTAATAAAACAAATTTTTGTGTTTCAGAGAATATGTTTATATTAATAAATTACTAGAAATTAGCGCGTACGAAGTGCGCACCGTGGATGTACAGTGCAAATTATTAATTTGTTAAATTTCCCGCATAAATAAAATAACCAATAAAAACAATATTTTGATTAGTTAATTTAAAAAATTTTTTTTTATCATAATAGTTTATATTTGTTCTTAAAAAAATGTTGGAATATTTAAATGATTAGAAATTGAAGTAATTGTGATTGATACAAAGTAAAAGTATAAGACCTCTACTTTGAACGATTATAATTCATTGCAAAAGCCTGCGTAAATTAATATACCAATATACCTGACATTATCTACTAATCTTTTTGACTTTTATTCAGCTTCTATTATTAATGAGCATTTTGTCATAATTATAGTGAATAATAATAGTCATATATCCATCGGAATTACAAAAAAAAATATGTTAATGGAATTTAACTAAAATTAAATTTGATTGAAAAAAAAATTGAAAAATACAATATTTCAATGAGGCTATTAACTAGCATTGCTTAATATAATATATAGTAAATGGTATAAAACTTCAATTATTTCTACACAATTTATCAGAAAAAAACTTCATACTACTATCAATCAAAATATTTAAAATTTTATATATTATTTCTACATTTTCTTGTTCTCCATTCCAATACTTCTCTAATATACTTGAATGAACGAAAGGCTTATATCCTTTCTCGAGAGTCATTTTCCTGCATAAAAAAATGAATTAACCAATATTGCACATAATGGAGCAATAAATATGTCGAAAAACGTGAAAGGGTTAAAATATTTAAGCATATGACTTTATTAAATGTGCTATTTTCTATCTTGACTAAAATTAATGACTGAAACCATAATGCAATAACTGGGAAATTTTTCTAATGCTGCAACAAATTAATTGAAAATGACCCCAAGTATTTATTGAAATCTGTCGAACTTCTTCGTAGAAAAATTTACGTTCAATTCGTTACATTACCGTAGTGAGAGTTGCCTATAAAAATGACATCGCGTGCGAGAAGTAAATGATGTTTAACTTGTTTAGATAAATTGGATCCTCTGTCATATTTAATTTCATGTCCTGCAGAACATTATTGATGCATAAAACTGATTATGATCGTAATAAAATTTTGATATCTATACCAGTAAAAGTACTATTGACTTAAATATTTCACGAACACAATGGTCCAGTTTGTCTGGTCATATGTATTAAATAAATACGGATAGAATATTATAAAAATATTGCGAAACTTACCGTGTCAGCGAATTCCGTGAATTTACTGATAAAGTACCACCAACATAAATTGGCCATCCGCATGGCAGTAGGATTGTGTGAGTAGTCGACTGGTTGGCATTTGTAACTATAGTCTAATAACCAACCAGACATAAGGTGCTGTGTAAAATAACAAAAAGTTGAGTGTAAATGTTATAAATAAAGAAATAGGATAAATTGCTTTGGTAATATGAATAAAGTATTACTGCATTTATGTATGCATTAATTTCTTATACTTTGTAGCAAAGTTTGCTCAATAGTAAGTTTCAGTGGTAGATACTTTTTAGCTAAGGTACTATATTTCTTCGATCTCTATGTGCAGTTTCCATCATAAGTCACAGAGACGCGATTGCTATCATTCCATAAAATGTTTCATTTGGCTTATGGAAAGTAGTTGGAGAAAAATTGCTGGGAAAAAGGGAAACGAAAAAGAGATAGAGAGAAAAAGAAGAAAATGTAAAAAACAGATCGTTGCACAAACGTTCGAAAACAGGATGTTTCGTCTTAAAGAACAGCAACGTGTGCAAAACCCTTGTGTAATCTCCACCAAACGTGTCTTCTTCTGATACTTTAGCTCTTCAATATCTTTGATGGCTTTAAAAAAGTCTATCAATTTATTAGTATTACTTAAACGATCATGTTACAGGGATTTCGGACTGTTGTGTTAGTCTTCTTCGGAAATTTTTATGTTCCATTCAGGAGATTGTGAAAGAGAAATGTTAATAAATTGAGATACAGTTGGTTTATTCCATAAGAGAGGCCAGAGACAGATATTCGGATTGGGTGTGTTTTCCACCTGCGGACATTGGGCTGCTGATGATGATGGTAGTGGGTCAAGGTAAACATTGAGGCTTGTATAAAGCCAGTTAGAGAATTTGGGTGAACATGAACGACCTTCTTAGAGTTAATAATTGTGAGATTATTTTATGTATGTTGTTGGAGGCTTTAGATTAATTCAATGGATTTTTATTTTAATATTCTTGCTTTTAAAAATCATTTTATTCTGTCTCAGTCAAATATCCATCAACAAGTTGCGTAAAGTCAGTTAAAATCTATGACTAAAAAGGATCTTATCCTTAACTAAGATTTCTGAAAAAAAACTAAACTTATTTTATTTTAATTTTTATGTTTTGACTGAACTTCATCAAATAAAATTTTAATTTTTAATTTGGTATTAAGATTAGTTAAGTGGATAAAATCTGAAAAAAAATGTTGATTAAATCGAAAAAGAGCAAAAAGTGGTTTAAACATATTAGCAACATTTGGCCTACATAGAAAATTGTCATTTAAGTATGATTAAACTAGTTTTTTCTTTCAAATCATATACTAAATACTTTTCAATCATGCAATATCTATCTAATCTCTTGGCAAGTAAAATAATTAACCATAACTTACTTCATAAAGCATTCCTAACGAAAAAATGACTTGAAAAGCATTGTAGACAACAAGAACATTCCTAAGACGAAAGGGCTTTTTATTTAACATCAGCCTTGGTCCAAGAATGACTACTCCATAAAGATACATCAAGACAATGAGGAAGGTCGGAACAGGTGAATCCATCAAAGGCCAGTCATTGACCCGAGGATCTGACGCAGTTTGCAGGATCTCTGTGTATTGGTCCAAGGCCATTCTAACAAGGCTTTCTGCCCCCACAAAGGTTCTGTTTACATCCTGCAACTCCATCAATGGCTCCTTTTCACGCTCGGCCACTAACTCTGCTGCTGCTGACGCCATTCCTTCTGAAAAAGTTTTGTTAAAAAATTTTATTCACTTCATTTAAATGCATTTAAGTCCAAAGAGATCCGGATTTTTGTTTAAAGAATAAATGTAAACATTCCATGAATAAAAGAACTTTAAGGTGGCACATAATTATGTTGGATAAAAAAACTTTATCTCTTTAAAATAATTGATCGAAAGTAACTTGTTTTGGGTTTTTACCGCATCGAATTGGTTGTATTAAAGCAGAAGAAGGTGAACAAGTAATTTTATGAAATTAAGTGTTGATGTTTACTCTACAACAAGTCATCAAATGTGCATTAACGTAGAGGGATGTATCGACGTAAATATTAATAGATACATGATGTTACATAAATGACGTAACCGAAGGAAGTAGCAAATTACGAAGTTAAGGCTTACGAAAGCTTTTTATTGATCATCATTGTTGTGCTCTTAAAGTCATAGCTCTGACAATACTGCATTCAAGTAAATACACATAATTTTATTCTCCTGCATTAAATCTTTATTGTTATGAAATCATCGTTGACAATATAAGAAGTTGCTTTCACTTATAGTCCTAATGACTTGGACTGTCGCATCTTTTTTTTTATATTTTCTCTATTTACTCTCTGTTGATTAATCATCAACAGCATGTACAGAATTCCTGGATTTTATAAAATTAGGTGCAATCTGCTGAATCACTGTTACCAGGTGTTATCAGTTAGATAAAGTGTTATGAAACAATGATTACAAGTCATCCCGGAAATCAGTGAAATGTTCTGAAATATCTTTTTTGAATGAGGTTCATAGTTTTCCTTTTAAATCCTAGGATTGGTAAATGCTGTATAAATTTGATTCGAAAGTTGTAAGATAGGTCAAGATAATACGGAATAACTGGCCTCGTCTGCATATTTTTCTTATAAATTAATACACAATGAGTCTAAAGATGCACTGAAGGAGGAAATTATTGGAAATTAACTAATAACCATTAAATTAAATAATGCAGTTGAAGAAAGAAATTTTGTTGTTTATTTATTTCTTTAAATGGGTGAAAAGTGAAAAAAAAGTTTTCGTAATAGAATGTTTTGGGCTTATTTTAATGCATCCTTGACGTAATATGTTTTTTAAAAAGTCTTAAAGAATATATAAATATATAAAAATTTCTATCTCAACAATATAAAAGTTTTAACGTTCAGTAAAACATTTCTATGTGGTATCGAGGAAAATGTTTTAATCAATAATGATAAAAAATTTTTAATTCATTTGAAATTATTTCTAGGTAGTATTGAATATCATCAAATATCCATATAATTCAGATAATCAACCTTTATCATTAGTATATTCTCATCCTAAATGTTAATAAAATAGATTTCCTTAATTAAGCTATCATAATATGCTCTGAAATTAATTGAATCAGCAAATTTAACACACATATTAAGTAAAAACTTGCAATTCTAAAAAACTAAAATGGAAAATAGGAAGAGCGGAAAGTATTTAATCCAAAAAGTAGCACGAGAAGCAAGCGAAAGGCGTGTAATCACTTTAAAATTAATTGACAGTCGAAGAAGTTTAACCTTGAAAAATAGAAGGACACTCATGAAGTTAAAGATTGGTAACTTATTAATAAAGCAATTCAAAGTACCATCAACTTTTCATCATTACAAAAAATTGATCAATAAAAATTATGCGAAACTCTATACAGTCATTATCATCGATCTGAATGAAAAAAAAAACATATTATGTCTACTACGTCAGTTTCCAGTCTACTTGTAGGTTCGTCAAGCGTAAATATATAACAAGACGACACATTGACCGTGGTATTGATTTGCTGATATGTAGGAAATCTTCAAATGCCTTTAAGCATCTTTTATCAGACTAAATTGAAGCGATATATAATTCTACAATCGAGTTTCCACCACGTGGTTAGCAGATCTCAGCCAAACGGTACTTGTTACAGAGAAAGTTTCCTCATGTTCAGGAATGAAGGAAAGAGTGAGAGCGAGTGAGTCCCATTGGTTGAGACGAAGAAGATGAGGCATAGTCAGGAGATGCCGTTGCCCATGGAGCACTCCGTTAGTGGGTAAGTGGGCCGAGTGTTCAGTTAATTGTAAATCGTTTATATATATATACATATAAGTATTAACTTAAATCGACACTTTATTTCCAATCGTATTTACTTGAGCCTTTTTACTTATCACCTATGCTAATGAAAATCGCTCGAGTTGAATCATTCAGTATTTTCTCTACATTTTACTTTCGAAATCTTTGGTATATACCATTGACACTCTTGCAAATTAAAGATCAATTTTAAGGTCTAGGAGTTTCCATATTTTCCAACTGGTTTTTTTTGTTGAATAATTATTCCACCGAGTTTATTTAGCATTTATTTATTATTAACACTCATGAACTCATGTTCTGTCGTTCTGGATGGTGCTAAAGTATGCCAACGTGAGATTTTCCTGGATAGAAACAAGCTATTAGAAGTGATAATAAATAATTGCAAGAAAAAGAGCTATTCAATCTTTCAGAAGAATCTTTTGAACGTTGAAATCCTTAGAATTTTGAGTTGATAAAAAATGGCATACAAAGTGATAGGATAGTTAATAATAATGCACTTTTACCAGCAATTTTCGAACTCTGTTTCAGAGTAAACGAACTAGATACTTTGTTGTAACGTTCAACCTACTTGTTTCTCGAGCCATATGTTAGATCAATATTTAAATGTCGTTGACTTTGGATAAAATTTTTAAATTCCAGCTTTGAATTGCCTATTAATGGCTTATTTTCAATTATAATAAATTCGTTTTGGGATCATTTACATATTTATAAGATTTCATGGATTCACATTTTTATTTCTTATGAATAATATGCCTGTCAGAATCGACCTCAACGCGGAAGTGGATCACTCATTATTATTGGTATGATCCCCGCTGGTCCGAGGAGAATGGGTGACGTTAAAAGTGGTCGAGACAAGATTTTACCAAATCGAAGGATGGGTAAAAGTAAATGAGAATCTCTTTTGGATTTCACACACCCATTACCCATTTCTCTTTACTTTCCTGTCATCATCTGTGACCGCTTTGACTTTTGAACGGTACATGATTCTCCATCTCGTAAGCTCTACTGTACGATTGGCACGACCCCGATTACTTCAAGTAGGATAATGTACCTAATTCTTTGAATAAAGAACCACCACAACTTATTTGACTTGTGACCTTATCAATTAAATATTTATTAATAAAAAATCATTTTCAATTTTCCAGAAGCTGCTTGCGGGTGTCAGAAAATGTAAAAACTTGTATGAAGATTTATTAATCGAAATTAGAAAGCGATAATGACGTAGAGTAACTAGATATTATTATAATTATAAAAAGTAAATAATTTCAGTATTTAGAGATTGTTTAAAAAATACTTAAGAAATAAATGATTCACTTTTTTTTTAAAAAGAGTTCATTGTTTTTATTAGAAATTTTTTGTTCTAATATTGTGTTAAGAGAATTTTCTATGTAATTTTCATCACAAAGCTTAAGAGAGTTTCATTTTAAAGACATTAATCATGTCATAAAGATACCTTTAAATAAAAAACAATTATTATTAAATTCAGTAGTTGAAAAAAAAATTTTGTTTTTTTCAATCGAATTTTTTATTCTAGAATTCATTCTTAAATTTGCCGAAGTGACTGATCTAGAATCCATAAAAAAATGAATATTTCGTGAACAGACCAATGACCTTGTACCAAATAAACACATAAGTAATACTTTTTAACTGATGGAGTGATGATTTCGAAATTTTTTGTAAATTTTTAATTAACGTCCATCTAAGCTAAGTAAGTAGGTAAATAAAACCGTACCTAACACGTCCATCATTCACCTATCTCTTTAGCGACCGCCACAATTAAAAAAAAAAAAGTAAAAAAAGTAAAGTCGATAATTATAATCAGTCATTAGTGCAAGCTTATTAATGCTATCCAGAACGATATATATATAATGATTACAAAAATCTGCATTTCCAGCAATTATGATAAATTATAGTTTTTAAAAATCCAAAATGATGAAAAGATGACAAAAAATTTATAATGACTCTAATTACCAAAGCATCAAGGTTAGTGTAAGTGAGCATGTAACCATAAAGTAAGCAAATACTCAAACATTGGTAAATCGCGATAATCGGCCATTCTTTCAGTTGGTTGCACGATTTGATTACAGTATGAAGTAAAGTTAAATGTGATTTTGCTGTTCATTTTGGTCAACTTATAATTTCCAGCTACAAAGTTAAATTAAGTTCGTAGTCGTGAAATAAAACATGTGCGGCACAAAATAAAACAGGGTAAACTGATGAAATAAGACATGTCGCAAAGCCTGAACCCTTCACTATTGAAATTCCATCGTAATTCGTTACATTAAACACCATTGCAACAATTTTGAATTAATTAGAAAAATTGGCAATCATTTTTACCAACAATTTCTTCACAACTAGTACATGATTCTTACCTTAATAATTAATGCTGCAATATGGGAAAAATGTCACAGCACGTCACACAAACGATAAGATAACAAGATTAATAAATTGATTGTTTTTTAATTAATTTTTTATCACTTGATTGCTCCATGAATTAATATTACCTAATTACCGGTAATAATTGACAAATATTTGCTTTTTTTTTTCAATAAAGGCAAAAAATAAAAAATCACGATTGTTATCACAAGATATAGAAAACAGAGTTATAGACTTGAGGTGACAAAAGAGCTATTGATGTATAAATCCTGTTAGTCTTGATGTAAAATCAACGTCACCTTTCTCTTAAAGTTCTACTTTGAAAGACTTCATCGTCAATCGTATATGATGATGAACAGCGATCACTTCTTTTACTCCCTCTTCTGTAACTTCCGACTCCTCCTCTGTTTCACAAAATAAAAGCAATTCTCTTCCTGCTATGTGCACTCATAAATCAATAGCGAAATTCCAGTATTTATCTAGGCACGTAGTAGGTAACTGTCAAATGAATTTTCCGTAATATTTTTTAAATGAGGAGTGTAATTACAGTTGAACACTCGATGGGTCTATACAATGTACAAAATGGCACAATTTTACAGACACATTGGACCACTAACGATTGCTGCAGCAAGAATAGTCGGAGGCGCCGCAAACTCTTGGCTTTAAGTATCAGTATCTAAGTGGGGCCCCTGTCCTGGTACCAGACATCTAGAGTGGGAGTACTCTTTTCCTTCTTATCCCTAAGACATCCGGACCACGCGTATAACCTTCGTCTTCAGGAGTCAAGGTCCCTCCATTTAGTCACTCGAGTCCTCGTGGCTCTTTGTTTTATTGTCAAATGACTTAACTACTCGTTACAATAATTGCTTTTTTGACCTTCTATCCATGTAGATTTTCTCAAAGAAAGTCACCATAAATTACAAATCATATCGAACGTGATACTTCATCTGAAGACTTTCCCGCAGTAGATCGAGACCGCGCTAAGTCGGACTCAATGCGTGCTTTGCTGAGTGCTCTTTATTTTACAATTTTCTCTGCCTCCGCAGATTCCTGTTCAAGTTTTTGATCTTTATGTCATTTCACTCAGTGAAATACAAATAAATAATCTTTTCTATTTCTTTTAATGCTACTTTCGTATAGTTTTTTGTTTAATAAAAAATTTTCGTTATTTTCCTCTAAATATTGTAACTTAAGTATTAATTATTCTTTTAAATTTATATGCTCTATCCATATGGAATGTTTTATTTCTGATAAGAATAATAATAAATTTAAAACATTTTTTTATCAAATGAAAAAATTGCAAACATTTCTTTGTTTCAAATAAAAAACTGTTTGTTACTTGCACTTGAAAAAGTGATTGATAAGGTTATTATTATACTTTTTTCACCGTCTAAAGTATTCTTAAACATGATTAATACTGTCAAGCAATATATTTTTTTGCAATTAAAAAGATTGATTGTTCTTTCTAGACAAATAATTGATTTTTTTCATTAATCGTAATGATCATCGTTGTTAGGATTATTCAAGAAAAATATATAATTTGGGTATGACGTTCGGCATTCAAGGATTCAGGAAATCATTTTATGAAGATAAATCTTGGTGAGCACTAGAATTATAATGAACATGATTATTTTTGATGATAATTCACATTGCAAAGATACTTGAAAAATATTTACGATAATAGTATTGATATAAACCTGTTAAAAAAGATAAAAATTCCCGAATACATTGTGTCATCGTTTCGTAATTTGGAAAAAAAAATCCACATATTTTTTTGAGACTTGAATCCATTGATCTAGACGAAGCTATGGTCTTTTTTCAAACAGGTTTTATAGCGTGTGTGAAGGTTTACGCACTATAACTATTCTACAATTCTACGATATTGACTACAAAATAAATCATGAGAAATTAAGCAAATGAATAAAATTTTTTCATTGAATAAAAAATCGGCTTCTATTTTTTCCTCATTAATGATTGCTTATTTCGTAATTTAAAGAAATTCTTTCAAGTGGTACACACGTTGTATTGGGGTTATACGGAATTTCTATGACTAAAGAAAAACCGGTTTAAGTGTAAGTGTTCGAAATTTTTTCCGTACTAGTGGAAAAAAAATTTGGCATAAAATGGAATGTTTTACATTACCAAAAAAAAGTCATCAGGGATTTATGAACTTTTCTTATTAATGAAAGTCATGTTTATATTAGTGACAAGGTAATAATAAAAGAAATCATTGAAAAAGAACATAAATCAAAATCATTCCGAGTATTAGATAAAATTTTCGAATATCATGGTGATGATCGCATGGTGTGAAAGGTTGCAATAAAGTAGTTTTTGTATTTTAAACAATCAAATTTCATTACGTAAATAATCGATATTTTTTTACTTAATGAAGATTTTGCGTCAATGTTTACCAAAGTTCTTGGACATTTTCATGATTAAATTCATTTATGTTAATTTTGTAATTTTAAATTATACGCTAAAACATATCTTTTTATTTATCATGTACGTCATCGTATTCGCGAATAATACGCAGGGTCATTAAAACGATTTTTCTGGGAATATAAGGTACACGTCATTTAAATAAATTGACATGTAAAGTACAATAATCCGGTTTTTTACCAGAGCTAGATATATATTTAGCATACATGTGGGAATTTTTTCTTGATAATTTTACTACATTAAAAAAAAGTATTGTTTTGAAGGAAAATGTTCCAAGAAAATTTTTTTAAAACTCTTTTTCAGTGTTGTTATTGCTCAATAAAATCTCTGGATCCGTCATAAAAAATTCTCATGAATCTTATAGTGATAAATATAAAAATTTAATTCTCTTAACGAATAAGTTACATTGAATAATTATTTTCAATTAATTAATAAGTTAACTGTTTGCCGTTCTACATTTGAATGTCCTTATTGTCGAAATAAGGAAGAGTTCTATCACCAATTGCATTCTGATATATTTATTTACATTGTTGTCTTGAAACAATATTTCACCAGTGATGAATTGTCAACGCGATCTTGTCTGCATATTTTTTTTTATTGTTGATAAAAATCTACTACGTGACAAGAATAAATAAATAAAGCACATAATTTCTTATATTTATTTTTCAAATGCAATCTTATTTATTATTCACAAATTATATTGAGCTCAATATATTACTCTACCATAAAAATTCTTTTGTAACAGCATGAATCGATGGATCAATTCCAACCAAAAACATTAAGAAATCGAAAAAAATTTTAATCAAATTTGACATTGGCATGTTACATCATTGGTATTGGAATATTAATATATTTTTTAATCAAAATATATCTAATTCTGATACAGTAAAGTCATATGTCGTAAGAAAGAATATTCAAAAACTTTTTGAAACACTATATTAATTCAATTCACACATATTTCAAAATTATTTTCTTCTTTTATTCCTCTCTTAGGCTTTATGATTATTCAAAGATGTGAATTCATCGAAATGTATAATAAACTAAGATAAATTGAGATAAATTTCGATGTCATAATTGTTTGCTTAGCACTTTTTGCAGTTGTATGCAACCCAAGATAAAAGAAAAAAACATCTTGTGGCTTAAAGAAAAGTTCTGAAACACCAAGGACAACGCATCTTGGGTATATATCTACTGAGAGTCTCGGTCCATTCTATCATAGAGAGACTCTCTTCGGTCATCTCTACGATGTTGTGAAAGAGTGTCGATGAGCGAATACTTGGTTATTGCTAAATATTTCTATTACTTTCTCACTTGCTCGCTAACATTCAGTGCTCTCTAGATTCATTTTCTTCTCTAATCCACTCCACTAGTTTAAACTTTATACGTTCTCTTAGTTGTAAAACTCTTGGTTATGGTCCCAATATACAGTTGCAACATGCAGCGATCAAACATCAACTTAGAAACTTAGTGCGTAACTATATTTACTAACGCTCAATTATATATAGTTTTACGACAAGTAAATACTTTGATGTTTGTTACATTTACTTTATTCGAACCACAATTTGAAAGTAAAAATTAGTGTTGATTTTTTTCATTGAATATTTATGGGAAATGTATGAAACCATTTAAGATTGTAATAATGATCAACAATATCCAACGCGAGTTAAAAACTTTTTTGTTCTAATTTTAATTGCAGTCATTTTTCTTCAATTTATTATAGTAATTTTTTTTCTAATAATCTTAAACTTTAACAAATAATTACTTAGTTAATCATCAGTCAAAATAATAAAATAGAAATATAATAAAGAATAATTTCTCATTTTATTATAAGAGGAGAAGATAGGATTATAGATCATTAGTTTTAGTTATCATATTGTACACGAGTCGAAATTTTCATAATAAATTTTTAGTGAGTATATTGTATTTTCAGTATAATCAGTAAAAATTAAGTGAATACAAGTTTATGAGTTAACTCTTATTAGAAAATTTTCTAATGAAATTTATCCTGAATTTATACTGAAGAACCATAGATATCTCCGTTTTCAACTTTACCAGTATAGATCCAGTATGAAAAATCATTTTTTTAATACTGAATCTATACTGACGTTTCTGAATTCCAAAATTCGCGATAAAAAAATTCCAAAATGCTGGAAAAAACTATCTGTAACAGATTTACGGTTTGTCGCTGTTACAGATTTTCTTTCTGTAACCTTAACAGAAAAAATTTGTAGGTCTTACAACTTTAGTCTGTAATTACAACAAAAAAAAAGCTGATGCAAATATAAATACAATCATGAGCAGAATTAATATATACGAAATTATTTTCCATGTTTACTATCAAATTAGGCTGATTAATTAATTTTTCATTATCTTGAACATCTTATGTATGCTATTTTGATTTAATAATGAATATTATAATAATTAGAGTATTGTAAAAACAATACTATTCATGAAATTACAGAATTAATGATTTCGTTAATAATATGTTATTCTTATCAATAATATTGAATAGTTTTCTCCAAATTTAACAACATTCATAACGATTCCGAATATAATTTTTGACGATATGTTTAAAATATTTAAACCGACTATTATTTATATTTGAGAAAAAAACATCATAAATTTATTCCTCAATTAAAATTCATTAGCAACTTTGTTTCAGATTGAAATATCACAAATTTATTGCTACTAAGCTTTAGAATTGGTCACTTTAAACTTAACTAATTATTTATTAATCATGATTCGAACAAGGATAGCAATTATGATCACATATATCTTCACACGAAATTTCTGTGACGTACTTCTATTTTCCGTTGAAGAATTACGTTTAGACCGGTCGATCGATCAACAGTTACTTAAGGATATCACTAGCTATATTTTCAATATAAAAAAAGAATGATTTCAAAATTTTTATTTTAAAAACTGATTATGTTGATTCCATATTGGAAATATTGATATCAGAATCAACAATATAAAATCAATACAATTAAAACGCTGTCAGTATTTTCAATTTAAAGTAAATATAATTTTAGAAATTTTAACAAAATTTGGAGGATAATTTCACAATAAAATTTTCAGCTTTTTAGAAAATTAAAAAAGTATTTTTTTTAGAAATTTTTTAAAAGATTTGCAAAAATTTGTAGGTATTTTTTGATCGGTTATGGAACATTTTTGTTCCTAACGAATTTTTATCAAACTTCATAGTTAGTTACCATAGAAAAAATTGCTACAATCAAATATACAATTTATCCTGTCAGACGTCATATTGTTAAAACAATGGAATTCAAATAACAAGTAAATGGAATGATTTTCAGTTAAAAGGTCATGGATGTGACTGCATAAAAAAGAATCTGAAAATTTTCCATAAAAGTGCTTTATACAAGCGCTTGTAATGTTCTAGAACAATATTTTTGATTGAATAAAATCTAGTTAATGTACTATAAAATAACGATTAAATTAAAAACATATTAGCTCATTTATTTTTAAGCTTGATGATTTGTTTATCAATTCATTATTTAGGTAATAAAAAACATTTTTCCCACTGTATTTTTTTTTTAGACATTTTATGCTAAATATTTGTAGAAAATTTTAAGTTAAAAGAAAGCTGCATCAACGTCTCAACAATGCACTAGAAATTCCAATAAATAACTGCATCCCAATTATTAATAATAAAAAAAAAGAAAGTAGACCACCGTTTGTAAAATTTTATCATACGAAGCCAATTAGCCAGAAGGCTAAGTTATAAAAAAATGAGCAAAAGCATCCAATCTTGTTTTGGAAACCTTGATAGCTAAATGATTCTCAGGAGTGTAAAAATTATCTCTATATTCTAATTCACCTGCTTTTGACATAATTATTTAAATTAATTTGATAAGAGCTTGATTATTTAACTGATAATCTTAATATTGCCTTCCATTGTATTTTTTCTGACATGAATCTCTAAAATCCTACTAAAACATCAATATAGAAGTGTTAATTAAAATTTTATTAACTACAGTATAATTTGATTCAATTAGCATTTAATGGTACATTTAAAGTACCCTACGCAAGTACGTGGACATTTCAACTTAATAACTATTGTGAGATAATTATTTTTATTTAAATCTTTTAATTACACCCAATCACTATTTCAAACAGAATTACAATCAAGCATGCTAATTATCTATACTAGTTTGTAATAGAAAATTTTTATCAATAAACCTACTTCAAATTCTTTAATAAATTCAGAGCCGAAAATTTTTATTGAGCAAAATTAAACAGATATAAAATTTTTGCAAATTCCAGAATAAATAATTCCGTTTTTTTATTCGTCGTTTATCTTCAATGACTTTTTGGTCGATAAATATTTATTATTATTCAATAACATAAAATACTTAGTAAGGAAAAAGAATACATATATTCTATACCTCGAGTGAAATTTCCATTAATAATCAATCTTATTTCTCTTTTTGTGTTAAATAATCGAAGATTAGCTTGAATGTGTAGAATAAATCAGATAATTTTCTATTGAGAGAAGAGTAATTGTAACAAGCTGACTGATTGAAAGAGATCGACCAAGGAGCAATCATTATACAACTTTCTTGAGTATGACGTAAGTGTAAGTAGAGTCAGTGATCGGTAGAGAAACGTAAAGCTGGACCTAGGTAGGCACAGCTATTCACGGTGGGGCCTAACTTGTCTGACCGAGAATCAGTAGTGAAGCTCTCCCACTTTGCTTGTCAGCCCCAACCCGTGCGTTGAATTGCAAGGCCCCACTTTTTGCAAATATTGGAAGGCAAAGACAGCCAGAGCATGATATCTCCAGTTTGCGATTAACACCGGGACCCGCGACACCGGTAAAATCGCCGTCGTTACACCCTCATTTAACTTAACACTTAAATTTCTGCCTGAAGCTCATCAATCTAAAAATCTTTTGCAACACAATCCTTTCAAAATTTTGTGTCTAAAACTCCTATTAAAATATTTTCTCTTTAAATGTGCAGCTGATTAATGCAATAAAAACTTTTTTTCATTTTTTTTTGGGAGTAATTTTGTATTATTTTTAATAAGAATTTTGCAATTTTTGGTGAGAGAAATTTCAACATCGTGACGACGGTGGTTTTGAGGATGGACAATTAAAGCATATGTCATTGACCTAGTGGCAAAAATATCATTTTGTAAGTGTACTGAATATTTATTATAAGTATTGGAAATATTTTTTTCACATTTTCACTGAATTTTCAAGAAATAAAAAAATTAAGAATAAACGCCACTGTATGAACATTAAATTGATTGATAGACGTAGCTGTGTAACGGACAGTTGCACGCATGGGCAATCACGCAATATACTAGTCCGAAGCAATTCTTATCTTTTTTTCAGTTTCATTAAAATAAAAACGTTGTAAAACGTTACGATAAAAAATAAAGTAATGAATGAATAAGATGAATATCGTATCACATCGCAGATGTCAGTGTCAATTTTTTTTGAAAAGAATATAGTGCTAGACTTAAGTAATAGATCAACACTTGTGTTTTTTACACTTCAAGAGAAGTGAACAATTAATGCTAGTTCACGTAATGAACTTGCAGTAGCATTAGTCGAGAAAACTCCTTTTTTATCAATCATTACTATAACGTGTTCACATTCTGCAATTTGACATAATATCCGTTCAAAGGGTTACCATTCACATAACTTCCGTTACTCCTGGGGAAAGTTTTCTCACAAAATGCTATTACATTCTTTCTCCAATCTCTTCAAGTCGTTCTGTTTCACTTCATCTTTACGAGAATGTCAATCTTTAGTCTGACCAGTTGAATTATCTTTAAATGCTATAGTGAAAGTTGAGCTACAAAATTCATTGATTTTAAACATTTATGGCATATTGCATATTATCTTATTAAATATTTGTTACAACAAGTGTATTTATATATGATCTTCATAAATTACTCATGTGTGATAACTAACGGCACGCGTTCTCAGTCGTATCCAGGCCAATGATACATTTATATCTGCACGAGGAAGTCGGCATTATATTTCTTACCACGAGGATTCTACTCATTCGATGGTCGAATGATTTAATGTTTTTATTCTACATTGAAGTAAAAACAAAGCTGGATGTCTTTTATTTGCTGCTCTGAATAATTTTTTTGTCCTTTAGAAAAATTCATTGTTAATTTATCATCATCTTAATATCATTTTTAAACATCATTTAAGCAAACTTTTTTTCATCATCATACATAATACATTTCTGGTATCTTTTTTGACTAGGAACAAATTCAAGGCCTCATTTAGAATTTCAAAAAACTACTAAAACTGAGGTTAACATAAATTAAAAAATTATCATTCGATTAATAAATTAATTCGTTGATGATTTTGATAACATGTTGTACATGAGTAAATCATTAATTATCTATATAATGGTCTACCAAATTTATATAAATAAGAAAATGTTATGGGAATATTTAAATATTAAAGAATGTTTTTTAGCAATAATATTATCTTCTTTGCTTTTAAAACAGAAAAAGACATCGCATTATTTCCCTTCTGGGAATTTCATGCTCATAACTATTAATTAGCTTAATATTTCTACATTTTCTCGATCTGTAACGCTCAATCGTCTAGCTATTATTACGTCCATTTAAATTTATTAAATTATCGTTTACAAGTAAAAGTAGCATTTATTGCACTATTTAAACTTGTAAATGAGGAAAAGTAAAACGTAACATCTTCATAATTCTAAACGTCACGACAACCGAATATTAATTATGTATTAATGGACATATATACGTAACTGATTAGCTCTTACATTATTAAAGTTCTATCAATCATTTTTTATTATTTATTTCAACAGTCTTATATCGGTAAAAATGGATTTTATATCTATTTGCAATAAGTGAATATTATTAATTAAGAAAAATATTTTCAATAAAGAAATAAAACTTTTTTGTCACATAGTTTATTGATAAATTTTATTTACATACATTTCTAAACAATAAAGAAACTCTTTGCGCAGTATATGTAATATTTAATAACAAAATTATAAAAAAGAAAATGTTTTTACATAACAACAATTTAGTAATTTTTTTAGAGTAGAACTACCGTTAAAATCCACTATTTATTTTATTCAAGAGTTTAATGATACTAAACAAATGTCAATGCTTTAAATTCAAATTTATAAACAATACGATAATTCTTTTTAATATACGCGACAACGTAAAAAAATATTGTCACATAAAGAAAAGTGTCTTAATAATTTTCTATTCCCCAACATCATTGAAGAATTCCTACCATTTTCGTATCGACTAGAAATCCGTGCAATAATAATGATTTGAACTCGCCCTCGAAGCAAATTATGAAACAATTGATGCGTGACATAATCCTCAATTCCATCACTCCTTACAAACCAATGCATCAAACTATACACGTAAACATTACATCAGATGAGATCATAACGATAAACTACCCATAGAAAATTGATAGAAAGCTTTCATCTCGAGGGTGTGTTAACAACACCTGTTCAATGTTTGTAGTATACACTCAACAAACAGCACCTATCAATCTCCATGCATATTAAACTGTTATATAAGAAACCGATCGAGAAGAATCTTCATTGTAACTTAGAAGTAGTTGTTACGTCACGATACAACATGAACAATTCACTTATATGTGATTAATTTTATAAAAACGGGCACGAAATTCAGTATTGGATGTATTTACACCTCATTCGGTCAGTTCTTGTTGTAAATGTTCGTCAATAAACTCTTCCACATGTTACGTGTCCAAATTAGAGACTTTAACGTCGTGTAGTTTTGCACGTCGACTTGCAATAATCCGCACTCACGTAATCCAGATGCCCCTCTCAGCATAAGGAAGTAATCATGCAGATGACGGTTGTTTTGCTTCATTCTCTTTTTCATAGTTCATATAATGGTCTTAAGTCATTTTAATAGCAGTTAGAAAAAATAAAGAGACAAATATTGGCTCACATCATTTTTCATGTTTCCCTATCATCAATTCGTATGTTGATGATTAATTCGCTTCTAAAGACTATTTGATTTTATTTATCAACTCAGGTACGTACGTGACCATTCGACCAAGTATATGTGATCTTATACGTTTCAAGAACATGCATTGGATGTGTTTACTACTGCACTCCATTGCTCTGATCGTCAGAGAAATGCCAGGAAGAAAGCGTGGCGGGAAACCAATAACACACTGTTACATCGTCTTGGCCAACTTTAGTCGCCCCAGGTCGCGTGATCGTAAACTTTACTTACCTTCATGACTCAATGTTTCGTTCTTTGCATCACAAGCTCCTGGTCACATTAAGGCCACTAAATTTTTACTTATTATATAATCCTTTCAAAAAATTTAATTGCTTCTTTTAAGAAGACTACATATTTTTGCAATCTATCAATTTCCTGTTTAATTTTACTTAGTTTAATAATATCTACACTGAGAAAAAATTTACTGTAAACAAGTAACACTTTTTTAACTAATAAAACCAAAGTTTTCAATATAACATTTTGTGAAGATGACATAGTAACATTTTTACAGATTCAATTCTAATAGTTACTTAAAATAATTTATTAAAAAAATACATTTTTTTTTCTATAACGAAAATTTTTCTCTCAGTGTACGACTGCATGAGGTTTCATTCAAAGAATGCTATCATGAAGACCTGTCATGTAAGGAAGAGTCTTTTGTTATAAAAAGCTATTAAACTAAAAATCCTTCTAAAGCTATTAAACTTTAAAGTTTCAGTTCAAGAAGTTTCTTTTTTAGCTTGTTGTTAAAAAGAATTTTTATCAGAGTTAGAGTTTAGTTATAAGGCTGATAAAAAAGATTATTTGTATTTCCTCTTGATTGTGTGTCCAATCCTATTTCATGAAATACAAATGATTATATAGAGCTGTAAATAGATCATCAGCATATGAAAGTATGGGAATATCATTTAAAAAAAACATTATAGTCATTTTTTATCATTTAATTGAATGAATTGAGTTGATATTAATATTTTTTTAATTAATACCCGTTATTTCGGGTTAGTTTAGTAATCATTATTATATATCGAACACTAATTACTATTATTAGTATATATTCACTGAAAAAATAATTTATTTATAGTTAACATATTATTCTCATAGTTAAAATTCTATATTAACTATTAGTAAATCTTACTTTACTGAAACATGATTTTTTCAGTGTTTGTATAGCTGGAGAGAAAATGAAAAGTTGGCATAAATATAAAAAACACAATTGGAAGGATTTGCATTTATTTTCATATATGAATAAAAAATTTGGAACGATGAGAGTTACAATTGGATGTTACATCTAATGACAACAGACATTTGTAATAGTTCTAATTTTTTGTTGTATTGTTAACGATCTTTGAGCTTCTGATGCATTTATACTATTTATAAAATTTTTTACATGCATACAGTTTTTCCACGTTCCATAGAAGTGTGTTACTTTATCAAATGAAATGATAAAAAGTCTGTTAATGAGATTCGAGGTAATGTTTGCATTAATAACGACATCAATTAAAAATTTATAATCAGATAATACTTATAAAAATTGTTTATTCGATCATTTCTTGAAGTTATTCACAGAAAAGCTACGTATGTGTATTTTTTAAAATTCAACATAAAGTAATATTTATTGTGGAACGATAATGAAAGTAAAAACAAATTTGGCCTTGTTTTAAATACAGAAAATAATCAACAATCGATTAAATCTTTTTTTTCTGTACATTTATGATCGATTTACTATGCACCAACGTAATAAAACAATAATAAATTTTTAATGAGCGTTATGGCACAGTTAACACTTACTTTCAGGATAGTTTTCATCAGATTGTGGACATAATTTATTATCCAATATAATTCTATTATCATTTCATAATGCATTTTTTGTTTATTTGTCCTTCAATAAAATCCATTTACAAGTTGCATTGACGCATCCTTTTTTTCTGGCGAATATTCTAATATTTATAACATAAGTCGTCCTTCATAGCGATCATCTCGATCATCATTTTTTCTCTAACAAATTAAAATAAAAATACGATTAAAATATTTGATAAATCTTCAGATTTTCTCCCCAATCGTCACCACTATTTCTTTTAAGTTTGTCTTTAGAAGAAGCAAGTTCTTGTAATCAGGATATTTTTACTGTTTGATAAACGGTATTAAATATCAGAAAAATTCTTTAAATTGCAATATTGCATATATTATGGGGAGATTTGTTTTACATATTTACCAAAAATTTAACAATAAAATTAGTTATTGTTAAAAATATTTTTCAATAATGAATGAACTATTAAACTTATTATTCAACATTTCTTGGCTTTGCACGTTTTTATTGCAAATTATATAATCACGAAGCTAAAAATATTTTATCAATCATTGAGGTGCGGTTGATGACTTAGAAATTGAACACTCGTATGGTAATACATATTTTTTTTATTATATAATAGCATTTAGGACCTACAAATTTATCTAAATTATTCATAGCTTTCAAAATAGACATTACTAAAACCGGCGACAAATCAAACTTCGGTCTCGTAAAATTTATGCAATCTAAAATATTCATAGAATCATTTGAATTTTTTATTTATACATTTCAAAAATACTTTGATAAAAAATAATCGTTTGGATTTATTACTTTGAAATTTTAATGAACCTTTCACTTACTTAATAAGTTATCATATTTATAGCAATAGTTTTTTTACAAAAATTCATACGCATTTGTTATTCTCTTGCATCTCTTACTAAAAAATTATGAGCTATACTCGACAAGTATTATCTTCAACCGCAAACGTCATTTTATTGTTTAACGTAAAAGTTACATATAATTTATTATTGTTAGATAAATGAATAAAAAAAATGGACTTACGTTATGTATATTTATTGTTAAAGGACAATTTAAATAAATAAATAGTAATTCGAAATATCTCCATTCAAATTATAACTTAATAATAGACAACAACGTTCGAGAATAACACATGAACTTTTATCTATGAGTTCAACTTATCTTTGACGTAAATTCAATCGAGGAAGGGTTCGTTTTTAAATGAACAATATGTTTTATAAAGTTTTTTAATTATGGAAACGACTAGAAATAACGATAAACGATTTGAATATGATAAATCATTGTATTGAGCTGTTGGGGAAATTCCATTTAGATCAGTCTCAATCAATATTTATGAATCAATTAATTCAATTACATCTTACAAATAAACAATTTTTTCTGTCAAATGTAATTTTATATTTAATATCAATTGATTAATTTATAAAAAGACTATTAACAGTAAACGATTGAATGATATAATTGATTACAGAATATCAGGCTTTTTTTCAAGCATATAAAAAAAGAACTATTTTAAATTTTTATTCAAGTTTATTGTTAAAGCTAAACAAGTTTTATTGCATTATATTATGCATAATATTTTTTTTCAGATGATTTAAAAATGAATTTCAGTGGAAGTCTAGCAACTAGTGAAATGTCAAATATTTACAACAACTCTGTGGTGCGTTTCTGGCATCATGTATTCCATGAGCTAGCAGGTAAATTATTATTTTAATAAAAATGACATTTCAATAATTTTTTAAATAGCAAAATAAGAACTAAAAAAATCTTTTCCGGCAGATCCAAGAACAAGAGATTGGTTTTTAATGTCTTCTCCTGTTCCTGGAGCCAGTATTATGTTTGGTTACTTATATTTTGTTCTTTCTTGGGGTCCTCGACACATGGAACATCGCAAGCCTTATAAATTAAAAAACATCCTTGTTTTTTATAACTTTCTACAAGTTATGCTCAGTATATGGCTTTTTTGGGAAGGCCTTGATGCTGCTTGGTTAAGAAAATACAGCTGGAGGTGTGAACCTGTTGATTACTCAAATTCTCCTGAAGCATTGAGGGTAAATATTAACTACCTTTACTTATTAAATTCATTTTTTCTAAATTGATTTATGATGTGTTGGAATTTTTTCAGGTTGCAAGAGGAGTCTACATGTATTTTCTAGCGAAAATTTCTGAACTTCTTGATACAGTTTTCTTTGTATTAAGGAAGAAAGAGAAACAAGTAACTTTCCTACATATGTATCATCATACAGTGATGCCATTAATATCGTGGGGAGCTACCAAGTATTATCCTGGAGGGCATGGAACATTTATTGGTAATTTTTCTCTTTACAATCCATATTTTAACAAGGATGTTTTTTTTTATAACCCCTTTTCTATTTTAGGAGTAATCAACAGTTTTGTACACATCATCATGTATACTTACTATTTGCTGGCTGCAGTATTTCCTGATTACCAACAATACTTCTGGTGGAAGAGATATATTACTACTTTACAAATGGTAAAATATACATCTTTTTTTTTAAACTTGAAACAAGAGAAACTCGAGAAAAATTTTCCAAAAGCAGTTTGTCTCATGATGCACTAATAAGTTTAGAAAAAAATTCATTAATAATCATCGAACTTGATCCTACAAGATCTTAAAATATGTCCTTGCTATTAAGATTCATTAATTTTTTCACGAATGTTTCCAAAACAATGTAAATATGATTATCTCTTCTCATTATGTGTTGAATATTAATAAATACATTTCTTTGGCAGGGTCAATTTTGCTTAGCTTTCCTGCACAGCTTCCAGTTACTTTTCTACGACTGTGCTTATCCTCGATGGTCTTTAATTCTTATTCTACCTAATGCCATGTTCTTCTATTTCCTCTTTGCTGATTTTTACAAAAAGGCTTATGTGCCAGATATAGCAAAGACAAAGAAGAATGATGACCTGCAAATAAATGGCAATGGAAATGTGATGAAGTACAACAAGAATAATGATAAATCTTGCTCAGAAAAAGTTACCAATGGTAACATATATAATAGTAAAGTTAAACGAGCGTGATAATTCTAGGAAATTGAAGTGAAGGAATTAACTCATTATGCGTCGATGTAAAATAGTTACATGCTAACGATTCTCTTTATTTTTTGGTTAATAAATAGAAAATATAATAAATAAATAAAGACAATTGAAGAATAGAAGAAATAAAGTAATATACACAGTTAGAAATGATTATAATAATTATATATTTAATCAAAAAAAAAGAATATTAATAAAACTAAATAATAAAATGGCGTATATAACAAAAAAATTGTAACTAAAATAAACATCGACAAAATTTTAAATACGGACACGAATATAGAGACGTGCCAAACTTTTGCTCAGTAAAGTCTGTTGACTAACAATCATATTGCTTCCACGTGTCCGTTCAATCGGATGACTTTAGAAATAGTTACCATAGTTTAATAATTTAAGCCTTAGTTAGATATGATATGGATCAAATAAAATTGGCTTCAAAATAAAATAAGGAACTAATTAATAATCAAATAACTAATAGAAACGGAAATTAATATGTCTAAAGCAAAAAATATACCACTAACTAATAATTTTCAATCATTCATCTGCACTAGATGATTTAGTTGCCCACACTTGATGTGCAAGGGCCCAAAGATCATGGCTTTAAGCTCGGCGAGGATTAACATATTCTAATTCTTGTCGAATTATGAATGAGATATGACATACAAGTAATTTTTCACAATAAAAATCCTCCAAAAATGATAGTACTTTTTCAAGCCTCCCAGCCGTAATAATAGATTACTATTATGATATTGTTAATAATAACCATTACTATACACTTATTATATAGAGTTGATTTAAGTAATAGAAGAAAATGTGTTCTGTAATGTTAAAAATCGCCAATATATTTTTTATTTGGCGTAAAAATTTTTTTTACAATTTTCATCTTTTTTTTTTAAATTACATTATTATACACATAAACAATTTTGAAATATATAGTCATTTTGTGCATAATAATCATTCCAATATCGCCGTGACAATTTTATTTTGTACCATACTAATAATTATTAATATTAATCGTTCGATAAAAAATATATTCTTAGTTAATATATATATATATATAATATGCACATACATAGGAATTTACATGATTTATGAATAAATAAGTAATCATAATTGTACAAAATGAACGCAATGATATATGTGCAGTAACAAGTATTTATATCATTTCATTAATTCTGTACTAATTCTATGATATTGGATATAGTCCAATAAAATTTTTAAAAAATATATAGATTTATTTATTTAATAAATTTTATATAAATTTTTTCATGATGACTGCAACATCATTAATGAGGTAACTTTTTTTTAGAATTTAATCATTTTTTTATAAAATAGTTTCGTCGTTGAAACAATTTTTGATTTTGATCGCCCTAATTCATGGCTTTCTCATTATTTATCGTCAGAGTAAAAGAAAAATAAAACAGGTCATTTTACTCTGACGTATTTATCATAAAACATTTGCTTTTGCATTCAAATTATATCAGTTCATTTAAAAACAAAACAAATTCACAAACACTGTATGACAGCATTTGTTTTTAAAAACATCACATATTTCAAAAAATTCAAGTGATTGCTGTTACTTAAACTTTTTTCTTTGTGTTGTAAGTTTTGCGATAGAAATCACTGAAGAGATAAATGAAGATAACTACATTCGTGACGAAGAAATATGTAAGAGCTTTAGGCATGGCACAATCCATTGCAAGAATCGATACTAAGTAGACAAGCATGAGACCAAATTGAATCTGAAATTTAAAATGACTCATTAATTACTCAATTCATTAAAATATTTTTTATTTTATTGAAGAACAAAAAATTTATTTTATTGCATAAAGTTCATTATTACGATTCAATTTGAAATTGAGCAGATAATAGTTATCAAAAAATAGATTTTTAAACGATTGAGAGAATTAATTTTTTTCTTTGAAACAAAATAGGATAATTAGCAGTAAAAAAAACAAAAGAGGTTGAACATACTAATTGCATCCCGGTCATATATTTCTTCCACCACAAGTACTTCCTATATTGGGGTCCAAGAGCCGCAATCAGATAATAAGAATACATAACGACATGTACGAGTGAGTTCAAGAAACCAATAAGAAGTCCTTGTTCACCTGGCAAGAGTTTTAAGTAACACCACGAGAATAGTGCTGTGATTGTATGATGATAAACATGTAAGAAAGTGACTTGATTTTGTTTCTTTCTTAAAACGAAGAATACCTAGAAAATAGATCAAACACCAAATAATTAATAGTGCATTTTGATAAAATAATGGTATAGTGAATAATAAATAAGTAAAAGAATTTTAATTAAGTAGAATAATTATCACTGTTGTAATAGTTATAGACTCCCACGACTATTAAAATTTATTACATTAACTAAAAAGATCAAAGATCAAAATTAATAGTCAAATTGTGCTGTGCGTATTTGCTCACTGTTTGATGCTGATGACTTTGTGAACTACTAGAAATGAACTCATTGAAATTTTAATGAGTAACTTGACGTAGACATTTATGCACATTAAGTTAATAGTGTACTTTCCACCTTTAACACACGCCTAATAATTTATAAAGATAAAGGATTTGTGACAAACATATTGAAAATGTTTCTCATACTGACAACTACATAATTTTGAATATATTTTTGAGGAATAATTAATTCTACTGAAACATGACGTGCTTTTATACAATCACTCACTACACATCCAAGTGTTTAGAAACTAAACATTCAAAGTGTTTACGATATCAAACACCATAAATAAACTATAGTAATTTTGTAGACAAATTTTAAACGCTTCTCGCCGTTTACCATAATGCTATAGTTTTTTATGGTGTTCAAAATTGTAAAGACTTAAGTGTTTAATTATTAAACTGTTAAATTTTCCTAGATTTGCAGTGACATTGTTACAAAGTGTATTTTAAAAAAACCGTAATTTTAATTTGATATTACTGAATTTTTTCAACAGTAAATACCACTATTGCCCAAGTAAATAACATAAACAAGGAATTGTAAATGTCTAATACTTGATAAAATAATTTACTTATTAAAATAATCGACTCAAGTTACTTTCTTCTTCAAATATAAATGAATATTTTGAAACTGAACTTGGAATATAAAATATAAAAATAGAAATGAGTCTTACCGTGTCCAAAAGTTCAATGATTTTAGCAAAGAAGTACCACCAACCTCCTGCAGAAATCTAGAAGGAGGAGATGGTTATTTAGATGATATAATAGTGATGAAGGTAAAAATTGAAAGTGTTGTTTGTTAATTATTACCATATATTGGAATTCTTTACTCGTAGGTTTGTTGTAATCTCTACAACTGTTGTTTGGAAGAATTGAGTTAAAGAAATTAACATTCGATACCTGCGCAAGAGCAAATAGAAAAACTTGTTAATGTTTTCATTTTAAAAGAAGCATTAAAGAAGTCATGTTGGCGTACAAACTTACCAAGGATACAAGCCAGATACTGAACAAGACTTGAAAACCGTTGTATAATATAAGAACAGTTTTGAGCTGGAATGGTGGCCTTGATTCCATTAACTTTGGTCCAACTTTTAAGACAAACAGGAGATAACCAGCAAGAATTGTTAGAACTGGTCCTGGTGAACTCATTAGAAACCAAGAATCTACCATTGGGTCTAAATAAAATAATTTATTTAATTTTAATAATTACCCATTATTATACGGAGAGAATTATATTATTAACCACAAGTAAAAATGACAAGTACAACTTTTGAACTCTAGAAGTTCAAAAATTCTATTCATTAGAGAATTTTAAGTTTTTGTAAGTTATTATTGACTTATCGTAAGTAATAAAGTTTATTAATGAAAAATCAAAATTGATTGCTGAAAAGCAATATTTCTATTTGTAAATTTCGAAACGCGCACTTACGGTCCGTGAAAAAAGTCTCTGCATATAGTAGTAATTTTTATAAATAATCAATTTATCTAAAAATACCAAGAGTTTTCAATGAATTTTTATTACAGAAAAATTATAAAAAGTTAAGTAATATTGAAATTCGAAAAAAAATTAACATAAAGACCAATAAGAGATTAATATCTAAAATATTTCAGATTTAATTCTTTGAATATGGCAGTTTTTTCATCTTCAGTAAATTTTCCCATTTTTCAGCTTATGAATATTCAACAGCGATTCAGTCAAGTTGAATAGTAAACTACTAAATAGTACTTCAGTATTTTTAAATATTTTCAAATCTACAGTAAAACATAGAAAACGGTACAGTTTTATACATAAAACTTTAACCGAATAAAAAAGTAAACTGCTTCATCGTATCTAAAAAATAAATTATCTAGCATCCATAGCCATAAATGAGTACTCGTTTATATAGAAAAATTTTTAACTGTCCATAAATCTTCTTTCTCAGTAATCTTCAACAGTTATACAAGAAAATTTTTATAAAATTAAAATGGGTCATTGATGGTTTGACAGACAAATAAGTCCATCGTGTTACTACAAACACTGGAGTTGCAAGATTATCACAGTGTTCAATTACATTATGTGAATAGGTGGGAATAATACATCCGGTTAGTGAAAAAAATGTCGTACTTGCTCTTTTTGTACTATAAATCTTTTATTTATCGCGTATTTCGACCTGAACACGTGACGTCTAATTTATGTTTTTACCTTTAAAATTAATATAAATCTAACGATGTTTTACTTAAAATTTCATTTAACAATGTATAAAAAATTTTACTGTCCAATAAACATTGACAATGATATATTTTTGACCTTTGACAAAAATCAAATAAAAATTTGTAAACTTCACTAGTAAATTATTTCTCTTCTTACTAAAAAATTCCAATAAATTTGAAACGTGACGGGACCTCTAATCCTTATTTTTTTACTAATAAGAATAAATTTTTTTACTTTTTTCAATTATTAATACTAAAACTAATAATAACTCAACAGTATAAATACCTCTGTGACTCTCCATAAGTTCATTATAATTATTGACAACCAATTTCATGATGCTCGCCATGATGATAAGATGAAATAATAAATGTTCTAAAAAATAAAAAATAAAATTTAATCCTTGAGCTGTTGAACTTGATGAAGAACAGTAGTAGATAAACACTTGGTAACAAAAAAAATGAATGAAAGCTCACAGCTTTGATAAAAAATGACACGTACTTGAAATAAAAAATCAGATGGTAAAAAAATTCTAAAAACGTTAAACCTTCGAGGTCCTCACTGTGATGGTCTCAGAGGACAAGTCTTAAAGTGCTTACAGAGCCCGAACCAAAAACTGACATTCAACGGAGTCGCGTGGTGGGCAAGTCGACACTATTGGGTGATACCCCTCCCTGTAACACTTCTCTTCCGCCTTTCAAGTATACGATGAGCACAAAGTAGCAATTACAGGGCTAAGTACGACCGCAAAAGCACCAAGAAACTTCGTTGAGACGTGCAGAAGCTATGTGTACCCTCTTATATATACTTGTTGAAGCTTTTTAATGAGTTGCTAATTAGTTGAACAATTTCAAATGCATTTCGAAATCACATCAGTTTATAATGCCATGACAATCCATTTGTGGAAATACCTCCCCAATCTACACATTTAATTTTTTTACAATTAATTGATTAAACATTTACACATTTTAATTATTCAAACAATTCAATGACTTTATTCTACGATATTTACCGGAAGTTTATTTGTTAAAAAAAAGAATTATCCATCGGTAAGATTTAATTTATTTTAAGTGTAAAATACTTAAAATAAAGTAATTTAATTTTTTTTATTTACTTAGTAATATTATAAATGTTTAGTCGTTTTTACCGATTAAACAAAAAATCCGTCTTGTTAAAAGTTTAAATATATAAATATGCATATTTGCGAAGGACGTCAGTGTTTTATTTGTCAGGAATAAATTTGTATGATTGCATAGTTTCACTAAAGGAAGTAGATATATCCAGTAATTTCATAATGTCTTACCACCGTTGTTTTTTACTATCACTACTCTGTGAATCTATTTCTCTAGAGTAGTCCACTGAATATGAACTATATAAAATAACGATTAACATTCAATAATTTTTAATTAAAACATAATTCTTCACTTATTAATTTTTTACTCCTCTTAAACTTGTTTGCGACTTAAAATTAAAAGTTTAATTAAAATGACTATAATGTTTTAATAATTAATTTTGTCGAGGAACTTAATTAATTTTCAACAAATAAATTGTTGATTAAACTTTTGTTTATGATAATAAAAAAAATTTGAATCGATTATGTATAGATGCGTTGGAGATGATTTTCTAACATATACCATTTTATCTCAAACATACGAAATCAAGGGATATTAAATTTCGTGTATGTGATCAGTCAAGCATATTATTAATTGTTGGGAATTTCGGAGCTCTACTGAAGTCAATCCTATCAGAGAAGTAGGGAATTAGTGAGACCGTTAGAAAAAAAGGTAAGCCCACGAAATAACTTTTTATTTTCTTACTCGACGAATTCCACGTGACTTAATACTCGCAGAACAGGATAGTAAATGAAAAAAAATTAATAATTGTATTCAATTCAATTGAATTTTATTAGTTGTTTTATTTTAATTACAAAATTATAATGGTTTACAATAATTATTTATTTCTATTAATAAATAATTATTAAAAAATAAAAAACAATAAGGAAGTAACTGAATATGAAAGATAAAAAAAGGTAGTTTGCTAATTTATTAAGAGACGATTCATCAATAATTACCGTCGATTGAAAAAAAAGAAGAGTAATCTCATTGTGTAAAGAAAATCAGGGTCAATGACTCGATAATTTTAAGTCAAATTTTCTTAGTCTACAATTCAAATCCGGAAGAAATAAAACACGTTACAATGACTATGCATTTAATCGATATTGATTTATATTGATAAAAAATGATGGCTCATTCAGCTTGTTGGTGATATGATATTTAAATTAAAATTGAAAAACAAAAAAAAAACTAATTATTTTTAATAATAATTACATTAATCATAGTAATAAAAAAATAATTATAATTGTTTTTGTAATAGTTGCAGAAATGGAAAAAGAAATGTTGAATACGTGAGTATTATTAAAGCCCAATGATAATGGCTCAATAAGGAAATAGTGGTTGATCTGGTGATTGGCCAGGCAGCCTTTGGCGATTGGGACGCTTCAAATACATAACGGCATCTTTGGCCTCTATAATACAGTAAAAGTTTGGTATGTGCTACGAACATGTTACACATATCTTTTGACTCTGGTAAAATCTTAAAAAAAGTAGGACAATGTTTCCTCTCACAATCGTCAGTTTTCTTAATTGTGTCACCTTGGATTGGATCATTATTTTCTTTGTTATACAAATTAGTAAAAAGAAGAAGACATGACTATTGGGGGAAGGTCATTCAAAGTTCCGCCATTCATAGATCCACTGAATAATTTATTTTTCTATGGAAAGTATACTTGATCATGTTTTCTTAGCTAATTTGTCTGATTGATGATATTTACATTGGTGGTTATTACTAGAATTAAATTCATTTTTAGAATCAAAGGCAAGTTTTTAAAAATGTATGTAAAATAGACTTTGATTTGGACATCAAAATTCTTTTAACTTTCCCATCAGGTCTAATGCATTAGTCAGAATTATCGACATCACATAACCCACTTCTTGCAGCATTTTTCAAGACCTTTCCTTTCAATTGATTATTGTATGTCTTACAATTCATTTATTGAACATTCCATGTCGGTTTTTAAAAAACAAAAATGAGTCAGTATAATTTAAATACTATGTTTTTTAAGTTTAACAAAACAACTTCCCATTCTGCAATTACATAATTATTTAAAATCATTACATCATTACGGTAAAATTTTTAAGACTTTTAGTCGTCAATTTTGAAGCATCATCATTTCATTCATTAATAAAATAATTAACAGTTTTATTCTAAGTGTGATATTAATTTTTTACAATTGAATCGAAATTTTTTCTCTAGGTAACACTGTTTCAATTCAAAGGTATTTTAATTGATAAAAGCAAAAATATGTTAATGTAAAATATAAATTTTTTTATTTAAATATGTTGTGAATAAATTTTAATGAAAATTAGAGAAAGAACTTAATCTGAGATTTTTGTAGAACATTTCTTTATTACTTTTGCTTTCTAGAAATTAATTGATTGGGAAGGTAGTGAAGATGGATATAAGAAGTAAATGATAAAGTAAGTGTGAATTGAATATCAAATTAAACATTTCTATAACAGTTGTAAGATATACGTTCTATTACACAGAGTATTTATTGAGTGATGATTCAAATGTTTTAAAACTAATATTTTGTAATTTTATCAACATGAAAAAATCTTCAAATTCATTGTGGAAATGTAAACGATATTTAATAAGCTTTATTTTCAGATTTAAATTGCTGAAAAAACTTTCAAGATACTGATGGTTTATTTTAAATATTACTAGATTTTAATTAACATTAAAGGAACATACATTAAAGCGTTTAAGTTAAAAGAAAACAGTAGAGATAAGCTAGAAATATTTTCTAATTATTTTTTTCCATTAAATAAAATTATTCAATAAATTTTAACAAGCTTAGTTATTGATCTTTAGAACTTTCTTCAACATTATTTTTAGAGACACCATTCTGTTCAGTTTTTTTAGGCTTCTGTAGATAGGTTTTATAATAAAAATCAGCAAATAGAATTGTCATAAACAAATTTTGTGGAATAAATATTGCTGCTGGCCATGTAGGAAAACCACAATTTTTTGTCCAGAGCAATTGTGAAAAGTGGATCAGAAGTAAGAAAAATTGTAAAAGCTGCAGTTGTGTAATATACTTTTTCCACCAAGGTCGGCTTATTTTGAAGGATGTTACAAGGTAATGAGAATACATTATTACGTGGACAAATGAATTAATTAGACCTAGATAAAAAACAGTAGACCATCAATACATGAATAAATAAAAATTATAGTAAATTAATTTTTTAAATTTTTTTATTCGAATGAAAGTTAACGATTTATTACCCAAAAATGTGACATGACCACCAGCAAGATATTTCACACCTCCCCACGCTCCTAAAACCATTCCTGTATGGTGATAGACATGGAGAAACGATACTTGATTCTGCTTTTTTCTGAGCACAAAAAAGACTGTATCTAGTAAGTCGATTAATTTAACTATAAAATATACCCATACTGTGCGAGCAATCTAGACGAACAAAAGAAAAACAAAAAAAATTCAATTTTTAATAAAAATAAATACTTGTAAATTATAAAAAAGTGTAGTACTTGCCTGAATAGCACGAGGATTGTTGGAATAATCAACAGGTTCGCATATAAAGCTGTAGTTTCCAAGCCACGCAAGATGCAGAGCCTAAAATAAGAAGCTAAATTTACAACCAGCCTTTAATATTTATCTTTCTTAGCTTATCTTTATTTATTTAAAAAAATATTGCAGTGATTATTGAACAATAGACTTACTTGATATACGAGATAACCACTTAAAATAATTTGTATGACATTATAAATTTGCAATATCCTATCTAAATTAAATGGCTGTCTGTTGGCCATAAGTCTTGGACCTAGCGTGTAGATAAAATATAAATAAAATCCAACGATTGCCAGTCCTGGCCATGGGGTGGCCATTAGGAACCAGTCTTTGCATCTTGGATCTTAATAGAGAAAAAAAATGAGACAATTGATGATCACATGTACTAACAGTCAGGTTCTTAATATGAAGAAAAATGAATCAATGCCAAAAAATTAGTTAATTTTATTGGAAAAAAAACTTTGACTTACCTGCTGCTTCATAATTTAAATAATGATAAAATTTGTAAAGAGATTTGATGAGAGTTGCCATCTTTCAGTGATCAGAGTGATGATGAATTTAAAATTCACGGTCACGACACTAATGAATGTCATGCGTTTAAATAAACGCACGCGGTTATGATAGTAATTTTCTAAGCATGAATAGAAACTTGAAAATATTGAACAATAATTGATGATAAGATGAGTGAACTTAATAAGTTTAGAAACGTCTTTACTGTTTTCAACTGCTGTACAACAATGTAGTATGTTTTAGTCAATTAACGATCGACAATAGAAGTTTCTTTCGAATTATATCAAGTGGAGGATAAAACGTATGTTCAACGTTTGAAGACAGAAAGATGATCAACGTCTAACTCACCCAACTACTAAGGTGTAACGAAATAAACTGAAAGCTGTTAATTCTTTTATTAAACTTAATCATTGTATTTTAATTGCAACATTGTTAAAGAATTGCTTGTGTATGTATTTCACGACAGTTTAATTTGATTGTTTTTAAATCACTCTTGTATAAATAGTAATTCACTAATTTCCGGTGCAGAAGAAGCTTTGAAAACCTTGCTATCACTTTGATGTCTAAGCGAGAATGATTTTCAGAAAGAGAATGTAGGTCAAGTGTTTTAGGAAATATTGTGGTTCACTGCAAAATTGTTGTTTATCACTCATTTATTGGATTGATTATGACAATGTATTATGTATTTATGACAAAGTATAGATCGGTGCAGAAAGAAAGGTAAGAAAAGAAATATATAGCTAATTAGAATAGCCGGAAGTGATGGCAACTCAGGTCCCACAGTCCTGACCTTACGACGATCGACCACGACAGTGAATATGCGACGAACCATGATTCGGTAAATTCATCGTTTGAATTTACATATTTATTCATAAATTGTTTTTTAGATATTAAATCTTTATAATAAAATATCAAAATATTTTAGATAATTGTTGTTTTAGAGTTCTGTTATACTTGGTGTCACATTTAATTATTTAAATAAATATTGTGAATTTGATTGACCAATCAAATAATGGATAATGAGTGGATAAAATATCTGTAAGATTGTTGATTATAAATATTTATTTTTAATTATTATTCAAGTTTATTGTGCTTATAATAGAAGAAATAATTTTTTGCGAATTGTATGGGATAAGTAGTATGTTTATACAGCAAATAAATGACGTTAGAAGCATAAGTTCAGTTTTTTCAATATCCAATACACTTTTATTATTCTCAAAGGAGGTCAAAACCTGGAAAATTCTTTGAAAATAGTTTCTAGTTCTTTGAAAGTTTGTGTACAAAATAGTAAATAATCAATTACGAACCAAATTTATTACTTTATTAGTTAAAGTATAGTTAATAGAATAGTTATAAGATTTTACAATTTAACAATTTTTGTTTATTTTAATTGATAATGCCATTCTCAACCATTTTTACAATTTTTATGATTGATAAAAAATATTTTAGCCATTCAAGCCAATGATACAAAAATACTGCTTTTTTATACATGATAAATTAATCCAAAAATAATTTCTTATTTAACTTAAGACTATTTTCTAAAATAACATAAGTCAAATCAATTTGATTAATCAATTAGTAATCTAAGTTTCTTTTTTTTTTAAAAAAAACATTCTATCAATTTATTATAATTCGTACAACCTTTTCAGCAAACTATTGGGTTTTTTCAAAACATTCTATATTCCGAAAAAAATACACAATAGATATTTAGTATGACATAAAAACAAATAATGTAAAAAATAAAGATGATGATCAATAATTGAGCTTTGGACAATTTTTAACAATTACTAATCGATTGATCTTCACCTCTTAAAATTATGTATTTTATAATTGATAAAAAGTCGACAAATGATTACTCAATAATTATTGTGAACACTAAGAAAATTGCTAATAAATTTTTTATGAAGTTTTTTCATCTAACTGTACCTTTATCACAATTATTTATAAAAGCATTGATTGATAAATTCTGCTCTATGTCCTATGATAATTATCTAGAAGAATATACTCAATAATCCACTACAATGACAATAAACCTATTATATAATTTTGTTATTATTCTAATGAACATATCAGAAGAATTTAGAAAAATGCTTACGCATTAGTATAAAATTTACTTAGTTATTTACTCTTCGGGTATTTAATACAGAGCACTTCTATCGGTAAGCCATCGACCGAGAAAGCTCTGATAAAGAGAAATATAGGCACATGATCGGCATTGACTATTTGACGTCGATCGAATGTAAATCAAATGTAGGACGGAACTCATGAGTTCACTGGATCAGTCGGTTTTGTTGTCAATACTATTAACAGTCGATGGTTGAATTGTTTGTAATGCTTCTTTGCTCTTTGTTGGCCTCAAGTAATTTTTAACATAAAATGAACCAAACAAGTAGATAAAGAACCCTGAATTTGCACATAATAAAACTGTAAGTGCTCTTGGGAAGTTGCAGCCAAGCCAGAAATGTTGAACATTGTGAATAAAGATGATACCGAACTGAATAAGCTGTAGCCTGGTGAGGTATTTCTTCCACCAAAGATATTTTTCCATGTGTGGACCAAATGCTGAGAGCATGTAGTAGCTATACATAATGATGTGAATAAAAGAGTTTATAAGACCCAGAAGAGTTACATGACCACCTGGAAAGAATCGTACTCCAATCCAGGCTGTAGCAATCATCAAGGAATGATGCCAGACGTGAAGGAAAGAGATTTGTCGTTGTTTTTTCCTCAAGACGAAGAAAACTGTATCTGAAAGTTCTATTATTTTGCAGACATAGTATAACCATACTGCTCGAGCCATCTGAAATAAAATCAAAAATTAAAATCAACTATAATTTTTTTTTTCAAATAATAACGATGATTGCTATCTGATTAATTCATATTTCAATCTGAATGTTTAACAAAAAAATATGGAACTTTTTATCCTAATCATTAAAACTCATTTAGTTTGGCTCTGTATATAAAACCCCATAATTCTAAGTAATAATAATTTTTTTTTTGCTACTGGTTACAGTAATAAAAAAAAATTAAAAATTGTAACTCAGTGCATTTAAAACCTTGAAATAATGAGAGTGAAGGTATTGTGGTTCAGAATAAATGGATATTCAATAACTTTATTTACCCTCAAAGCTTTAGGACTCATGGATTTATCAACAGCTTGGCAGCCGAACCCATAATCATTCCACCAGCCACCCGCCAATCCTTCGTGAACAATGATAATGCTTAAAACCACTTGAATGAAATTATAGATAATTAAAACATTTTTTAGAGAATATGGTTTTTTATCTCTCATATATTTTGGGCCTGCATAGGTACTAAAGTAAATATATGTCACAATAATCATTAATAAAGGTCCCGGTCCAACCACAAGAAACCAATCACTGGTCCTTGGATCTGAAAAAACCATAATGAAATATAATAACCCACAGAAAAACTTTACTACTTTTCTTTCAGCTTTTCGAAATACTTACCAACTTTGTTTTGCATTATATCTTTATACCAGTCCACAATGCCCGGCATTTTGACACTCTTTTTCGTCACTTCTCAGTAAAATTAAAAAATCTGTAATAAAAAAAGAGGAATTGATTAGAAAATTTGAATCCATTAGAATTGTTAATGATAAATTATTTTCTTCATTAATATTTCTATGAATGTCAACTAGAAAAGAAAAGATTCTCTTCTAGAATATTATTGCATAAATTATTTTTAATAACATCAATTACATCACGAATTACAGTAGTAATTTGGATTCTTGCTTCCTTCATGCATTCATACGAAAAGTTTCTTTCTTTTCTTAGATATTTTATTTCACTTTTATAAATCTATGGATGCAATTAAGTATTATTCTAATACTACGACACAAGAGAATATTATTTAATTGTTAATAACACAGAATAATAATAACAGCAGCAGAAACTGGAATCATAATAACACCAATCAAGAAATCCAAGTGGCAAAGAAAAATTCAAGGGTAGATTTATTCAAGTATATTTTTTCTTTCCTCAAATTATAATAGCTTTGTTCTTAGAAACATCTAGGGGTCTAAAGCCAACGAAGGATATAAGACTACTAAGAGTAATCAAAAATCAAGGTGAACAAGATTGCATTGGTGCATTTTTTTGTGTAGCTTATTTTTTTACACTTAAGACTTCTTTTTGGTGGGTCACTCGTAAAAATCCCGTACGAGGAAATTTTAAACTCACTATCGCTTTCCATTTTATTTTACGCATTTCTGAGCAAGCTTTCTATCTTTATATCACCGCTTGATCAATCATCGCTTGAGAAATCGGTCGTTATCCATTGTTTTGATTTCCTATTGATCAAATTGTAGAGGACAACCCTCATAACAATTGATCAGTTTTCTTGATAGCTACCAGGCTGAAAATATCAGCATCAACATCAGAGTAACTTTATGGTTAAGGGAAATAAATAGAGCTCTGAAGTAGATCAGAAAAATGTTGAGCAAGAAAATGTATTCTCCGAAAAACCTTCCAGTTCTTGATGACATAAAGTACCTCTCAATACAAATATCAATCCCACTTTGGAATTTAATATTGATAAGTTTATGTTTATTGCTTTTTGATGGCTAACAACTTATTGCAAATTACTAGAACTACAATTATACTGTTGCCATTAATTATAATATATGTTAGTATGATTATTACAAGTGCATTTTAATATTTGTGATCATTTCGAACGCCCTTCACTCCGTCAGTTACAACTGCTCCACCTTGAATTCCTGACAATGTCTAGTAGCTGACTTTCATCAACTTGATAAAGTCTCCATATAAATTCAGCACTTGCGTTAACTACGTCGCGTTTTTACATCACTGGTCAAAATACGCTTTATTGACGGTCCATTTAAATAGTAAAAAAATAATTGTTTAATATCAAAACTGATAAATTTCACTTGAAAGAGTTGTTAATTTATTAACCTTTTAACATGTCAGTAAATAAATTGATATCATTAATACGAGAATAAAGTGTTCAATAACTCGCTGAGTAATACCAGGTACTTACAGAAATTAAGTGGAAAATTGACTGTGGGATTTTTTATTTTTTTATAAAAGATAATCGACCAAGAAACGATTCCGAAGACGCGGAAGGATATTGCAAAATCTCGATGAGACACCAATAAGGTATATAGCAATTATTGAAATTGAAATAGCAGAACTACGTGTTTATTTATAATAAACCTGAGATTAGTAACGGAATATGGTTGTCGTCGATCATCATGTGTGGAAGGTAAAAAAAACACGTGGAAGTTAGTTTATTATATATTTGAATATTGAACTTTGATATTTAGGAAAAAAGCAAGTTGTCGAAATGTATAACTTTGCAGTTAATCATTTTAAAATTAAATTACATACAAAGTTAATTTTTTTTTGAATTCGTAATAAATTTATTTCCGTTTATTACTACAAAGCAGTGCATATTTTATGATTGAACATGGCATCTTATTGAGACATCAATTATACATAAGTGGGGTTTGTAAGTTGGATATCAACAAGTCCTTCGAAATAATAAACTGCTATTTATTTAATAATTTTTAAGGATAGATGTCCATTTTTTACTCGAAGGATTGAGCTTCTTTTTCTTCGTTGACTATAATGGAAATTTTCTATCAACATGATTATATCATGAATCGAGAATTTTATTGAACGATAAGATTTTCATTATAATTTATAAATACTTAATATAGTCAACTGAAGACTTATTAATTGCATCAGGCGCAATTTCCGTAAATACTAGTGTAAATAAACACAAATAATAAACGGAACATGAGTGAATTCATGGTGTTGTTAATATATACATTTTTTTTTCATAATAAATTAGTTAATGAGAGAGTCGATATTTTTTTTTTATTAAATCAATAAATTAATAGACATTCAAACTATCAGGTGCTCATTATTAATTGTCAATTACGCATGCTTTTATGTCATTATTTTCCAAGCAATTATCCAACTTTGATCAATCACAAGAATTGACTAATGATCAACTTACAACATGAATCAGCTAAAAGTTTAATAAATTGTATTTTTCCAATAAAATATACACAATTTAGTAAATATCTCATATAAAAACCAAAAAAATCGGAACAAAAAAACACATGAGAAATGGATCTTATTTTAAAGCGTGCAAGTTATGAAATAGTAAGTGGCCAAGTTAATCAACTCTTCCCCACCAAAAACTGGTAAAACTATACGTGAATTTTTTAGAAAATTATATTTAAAGTTCAGACAAATATCAAGGTTTACTGACCTTGTAAAATAGGATTCAAAAAAACCAGTTGTAGATTCGGACGATGAAGAACTTGAACGAAAAGTAAATCGTAAGTAAAGTAAAAGGGCTGCTACGACTTGAAAACCGTAGTGATCACTTGAATGTTTCAAACTTGACTCTTAGTCGAAGACTGGACCACTAACTGACAGAATCGTAAGCCAGTTCACGGCTATAGACTCAGCTACCTGGGGGTATCCTTGTGGGTACCACTGTCGAAGAGAACCTTGCTAAATGCAAGCTGTTGAGGCGATGATCTTTCGTTTGAACGCCCCCACCCCTTTGGTGAATTTCCCTGAGTATGTTTTATCGTGGTGGCACCTTCAATAGTAGATTCGAGCATTCCTACTCCAACGCATCCAACACCAATGAGTATTGGTTGTTGTTTTTGAACGTGTATTGATGTGCAAGCTGACGCATTCATGATTTTCTATCAAATTCTAGAACTCGTCTATTATTTTATGCAACGGATTTATTACGGCAACATTATATTACATGAACTTGTATTTGAAATGTTAATTCAACTATTAATCAGTTTTTTTTAACCCATTAATTCTTTTCCTGAGAATTATAGACGATGTGAAATTTTTCTAATAGCTAAAAATATCTCGTTAATTATTTTAATACTTCATTATTCATATTTGGTAGAGAAAGTGGAGAGATCATCTAGTATTCTATAATTACAAATAATACTTAATTTTACTAAGTTAATAAGATCCATGAAATATTTCATAAACATTCAGGGCCACTAGCATAGATTAAACTTTTATGTTTTAGATATTGCACAATGAATTTAGTGGAAGAAAATAGGATTTTTCGCACATCGAAAATTCCTGTCTGTGATCTGTCTATATTTCTTCATTTCAATTCATGTTTCTCGAAAATTTCACTTTTGTCCGTGACACTATTTTAAAAACACTATAAATATATATAAAAATAATCATAACAGATCGCTCCTACTCAAATTCTCTCGCCTAGTTGCCACCAATTTTTTTCATCAGATTTCATTCAATATTCGACATAATTATGTAATAAAGGAAAACTTTTTTCCCATATTAACAAAGCAATTTTTTCAGTGTTTTAATCAATTTTTTTTTTATAACTAAAAAAAAATTTTTTTTTCCTATTATTAAAACATATTCATTAATTTCATTAATTAAAATAGTAGATTTGTAAAAAAAACTATTTTATACATTTACTAACAATAAATCGTAAGAAATTTTCTCCAACATGAAAATAAATTCATTAAAAACAAATGAATTCTATTTTCAATAAATTATTCTTTTTTTTTATTAATAAATCAATTTTGTTGTAACTAAATAAAATCCTCTAATATATTTCTAAGAAAAAGAGAGAAAAGAACATGTTTCTTATGCGTCACATTATTATCAAGTTTAAATAATTACCACGGATAATTTCTAAACTATCTTATTTAAATTCAAATATTCCTTTCATAAAATCCAGTATTCAGAAATGTCTAGCTGCATCTCCATTAAAACCTCCGAACTTTGGATGTGGATAAAAAATTTAATTACTTGACCAAAGTTTTTAACGAGAATATTATCGAAAAACAATAGTGTAAGCGATATAAATATAAACATTAAATAAAAAAAAGCAATATTTATTATGCAAATAGGTCATAAAAGGGTAGCAAGTACGTAGAATTTAACGCTGCATTACAAAGTAATATTCAATAATTCCCGTGAGCAAAATTATGGAAATAATGACCTTAGTGTATAATCAGAGGTCACTTGACGAAAATTGGCTAAATTATTCGTTAATTATTTTATTATTCGTGTATATAAAATCAGTAAGCCTCGAAATGTAATTAAAAATGTCTCACTAATAAATGAATTGCAACATCGACCTTGATCGACATCGATTGTAATTAAGAAGTTAATCACCAACGCACAATTGATAAATGAACGTGACGTATCATTGTGTTTTCTTTATTATTTTAAGTCAAGATTCAAATTGAAAAACCAACTTAATCATCATTATGGTAAACGATAGAGCACGGCCTTCGACTTTAGAACATATCAGGAAGCTCATTTAACTTGATTATCCAAAAAACCAATGAGAAAAAATCCACGATAAAATTCTAGTTTTACAAAAGTACTGGAATGTAAAAAACTCTAACTTATGAATGTGAATCACAACGGTTAGTACTGGGCTTCCCAGACGAAAAATATTCTAATTCAAAGCTTCTTCTTATTCATCTCCAACTATTAAACTCAGAGGTGAATGAATCATTCTTAGAAGTGATTTATAGAGAGTAAAAGACATCTCTTGATCTTACCGCTAGATCGTACAAGTGGTTCCATCTGACAAGTAATGGAGAAATTTACATTACGAGCAAGCGCACCTCAGTACTCTCCTTTTTCCTATTCCTTTCCATACAATGTATAGTTATACAGTGTATTCCTGACCAACATTCTTGTGAAGAACATCTCTGTGATCAGAACTAGAGCAGATGATTTGAAAATTCTGCTAGAAAAACATCTAAAATTTTTTTTTACTGTAAACAAAATTGCTCAGAAAATTGTGTAATTGTGAAACTGATTGTGCGCATCATCAATAAATCGTTTGGTTTGATCTTTTTGTTTAAATTGTTATTATCATATTTCCTATCACTCTTTTCTTTCTCTATACTACAATCACAAAAACAGGCTTTATTTCCTTAACCCAATCATGTGTGCGCTCAATTCTAGTGGCGCGTAAAATAAACGTAATCAGTTGGCAATGCAATCAGCTGGCTTAGATTACGTTAAATATCAATTAAACGTTTTGAAGAATAAAACGTATTAATCGAACAATAAATACGATTAAAATAATATTATGTCTCTTCTTGCTTATTGTTTTTCACGTTTAACTGAATCAAAAAATAAACATAAGGTAATCTATTTGAAATTCTTTAGTTCTTCATGTCAACATTGAATTCCAATTTATGATACCATTTTTTCATGCAGCTCAAAGGATTTAAAGTGACAGATGTTAATCGAACGCGAAAATTCGGTGTGGCCTGCCGTAGCCTTCAAGAACTTAAGAGAAAAGCCTGTGGTAAATTAAATGTGAGTATTTTTAATGAACAAAAATTATTTTGTTATTCATTTAGAAGAGAGTAGAATCAAAGAGTATTAATACTAGAGAATAAAATTATTTTTTAACACAATAACAGCTAAGATAAAAGACTCATTAGATTTATTAGAAAAAAGTTTGTAACTTGACAGCTTTGAATTGTGTAATCAAAGTGGAAGTGTAAATTAGGTTGCAGTACGACCTTCAAAGTAGATTCGCTTTGCAACGTTGCTTTATCGAACCATTGCAGACTGGGGCCATTCTACCTCTCAGTGTCACGGTCTCCTCAGCTTTTATTGGGTCAAGGCTTAGATTGGGATTTTGCCTATAACGCCTCATGTTTTATCGATTTTCAATATATGTTACGTTGCTTTATGAATACCCCAACAACACACTAATTAAATTTCTCCCAATTCAACAATTATTAACTTAAACGCTGAATTCGCGTATAATTATTTCAGAAAATTGCTTACAATTTAAAGGCTCTGCTGCTTAATTTTTTTTAAGATTTTTACAATGACAAAAGACCTCAGTTGTCGTGAAAAATTTTTTTTTAATTATGAATAAAATGTAGAAATTAAATATGAAAATTCAGAAATTAAAATTCTTTTTTTATTTTTTTTTAGATTACTAATGATTTAGCTGAAATCAACATGTACCTCTTAGATGGCTCTCTAATTGACGAGGAATTTTTTCATACATTAGATAATCAAACAGCTGTGGTACTTCAAAGGCCTGGAGAAAAATTATTGTCAGGTAAAAATAATTAAATATAAATAAATAGAACTTGGATGAAAAAGATTCTTTAAGTATTAAAAAAAGTGCACGGTAGATTAATTAACATCTCGTGGATATTGATGATAATATCGGTTTACATGTAATTTCCTTAGATATTTTCATACGGCCTTCGATTTTGAATTACGCAAGCACTTTTCCTTCTTAATCGATTCACTTGACGTAACTTTATTAAATTATAATAATTAACTTGAATCCTGGATTTGGTTACAGATGCAGATTTACTGTATGAAACCCTTAAGCAAGTAAACATTGATTATCTTACGGCAGGCGAACAAGCGTCTAAGTTCCTCTCTGATAATTTGAAGAGAAAGATTGCTATTCTGCATAGTGTGCTCAATCGCGATGATTCTAAAACAACACTCAGCAGAAGAGAAGATCATCCTGAATGGTTCAGAGGTTTAGAGACCAACATTACAACCAAAGTTTGTTTTTATTTTTATTCTAAAAAGTTCTTACAAATTCTATAGATTTTTAAAAAACTGATTGCACAAAGGTGAAAGTATCTAAACTCCAATGTCCAAAAAAATTAAAATAATGTAACAACTCAATTTATAACTATTATTAATGAGCTATTTTAAAACTTTAATTATTGTTGAAAGTAAAATAACTTCATTAGTTATTTGAGCTCTGATTAATTGACTGCTGGAATATTTATTTTTCAATATTAAAGTGAAACGATCGTTTGCAATAATTTAGATCAAAATTTCAAAATTTTAATGTAACTCACAAGGACGTCTCTAGCAGTCAATAACTTTTACCATTCACTTTTCAGGAATTTGTAAGAAATTTTTTGACAAAGACAAGGTTAATAAAAATATTTTGATTTCTCTAATGGTGAAATCCATTTCTTTCAGGAGGCGTATATGCATCGTAGATGTCAAGACAGAATACGTAGTTATCTGTACAAAACAATTGAACAAATCAAAGCTTCAGAGACCTGGGCAAATAATCAACAAGCAAGACTGCATTTACATCGTATTATAGAATATTTTAAACTTCAGCTCAAAGAAGATCATTATTTTGGTTATTATTTCGATCGAAGTCGAAGTTTTAGCGATGAATCAAAACAATGTAGTGATCAAGTAGATGGTGCCAATGATAATTGCTATGATCATTGCCCATGTAAATTAAATAAAATAGAAATAACTGAGGAATTTTCGGATGATATTATCCACTCTAAAGATGAGATTGATGCCAAGAGAATATCAACTGCAGATTCGCGTCATTCCAAACGGTTAGCAGTCGATGAAAGCGAAATCTCACCCTATGTAGTGTTTTCCAGAGAAAAAGAAGAACAATATGCACTCTGTGATGCCATGGGAGAATTCAGATGTGAAGGAATTTGGCATGCTAAATCTTGTGCTTATGGAGACCGCCACAGAATTAATCCTTACAGATCACGTGAAGAGTTAATTCTATTTTCTACGTGGAATTTGGATCACAAGTAAGTAAGTTATTGATTGGGTGCAAGTTCTATCAAAAGTTTTTTTTAAACAAGGAAATAATTAAATTAAGTGACTTTCGATTCTGTAATTTGATTTTTTATATGCAAGTCTTTAAGCATGTTCATTTTTTAAAGTTGAAATAAAAATTGATTATTAAAATTGAAAAAGCATTGCTAACAAAATCAATATTAAAATGTTATCAAAAAATTTTTGTCACTTCATCAAGTTGGTCTAAAAAACAGAAGAAAAGAAAGGATAAAAAATTTTTTATTATGTGATGAAAGGTTTTTTAGTAAAAATTAATCAAGACTTTCAGTCTTATATAAATGTTAATGTATTCAAATGAATATTATTTTGTCACTGAACAAATTATAAAATTTGTTAAGTCTTTGTAATGCAACTCATTAGAGCTTCTATTATGGCAAAGGTGACTACCAGAATTCAAATTAGTTTCTGTTTGAGGTCTTTCTAGTGACCTCTCTATTGCAATTTTTTGTATCATTGCATATTAGTAAACTATTTTGTAAAATTTCTTGAATGTTGTCCTCGTTAATTATTAATTAAAATAATTATGAGATATGATGCTTTAACACATTTTTTATTAATTACTCGTAATATATTTTTATGATGAAAAATAGTTTACTAGTTGGATGACACATTAAAGTAATTACTATCTTTTTTAAAATTGAATTTAGGTGAATTTGAAATTCAGATTATTTTACCATTGAACAATGACGTAAGAATGTGATATAAATCATTGGTTTCAGTCCAATCTACATTTTATTGCATCGTATATTATTTCAAATTAGTTTCTGATTTGATTTTAAAAAAATCGAGGTCATAGCAATAATTGGGCAAATTTATAATTGATTTAGCTAATGACCAAAAATAATTTTCACATAAAAGTCAAAAGAATTTACTTAATAATTATATAATTGATTGATTAACTAAAGTAAAAAAAACTACATAAAAAAATTTGAACTTCTTTGTATTATTGACATTAAATGAACATTTAACTTCTGCAATCTTCTTAAATGATCAATGTTAACATTTCCTACTTCAAAACAAAAGAAAAGCTATAAAAGAGCGAGATAATGACGAAGTTGACAAAGAAACGTTAGGAATATAAAAGAAGCCATTTTTTGTTACGTTTGCAAAGTTTCGCAGTTAAATAATGCACTTTTCATTACTCATAGATGATTTTTTTTCGTACCAAATTTATATTCAAGTTATCTGGCTTACAATCGATATGAGCTGGTCATATCAAAATATTTCCCAATAATTTAATTAAATGAGTAAATTATTTTTGAACTGCAATTAATTGGATATTATCAAGAGTACTATCTTAAAATAATTTTTTTTTATTTTCAGGATCGAGAGGTCACGTTCTCTAGTACCACAGCTACTGAAATACTCAGAGGAAAATATTGTTGATAAAAATATAGTGTTTGGATTGTACGACAACTTATTTACTGTCAAGAATTTACGACTTGTGCACATCATATGTCATGATAAAGGATCTCATAACTAGATGCAATTCCCTGAATATTGATACAAATAATAGGCTGTTGTTAGAAGATAAAAGAATCTATGTATCGTTAATATATAATACTTAATAGTTTATTAGGGCGTTGCGTAACGGTGCCAAAGAAAAAAGATAGATTATAAAACTTAGTATTTTATCAGCAACGTCAAATGAAATCAAAATTGACGCGAATATTACAAGTTTAAAAAAATATCGAATTACAGATAAATTACTATTTTTTGTTTAATTCTTAATTTTTGAGTATTTGAAAGAATATTCATAGTTATGTGTATAAAAAATATATTCATATATAAAAGTAAAAAAGACATCAAGCACTGACTATCAAGGAGGAATGTAAAAAATTAACAAATTTAAGTTAAATGTGGAGGATAGAAAAAAACTTAAAATTATGAACAGGAAAATATAAATAATATTTTTTTGTAATGTTTACAAAAATTTTATTAATTTAGTTGCATTTATTGATCAGGAATAATAATATTACTTAATCTATAAAGAAAAAAACAGGGTGAATAAGTAATTAAGTCTTTATCTGTATCTGTTAAGTTTATATATGATTTTCTTGTAAGAAATTTTTCGTGTAAATATTTTTAGAGGATTTATCTTGAGAGTTATTTAAATAATTAATTATGCAAATAGCTACATTGTTTATCAATTTTTTTATGACAATCGATGGAATAATTTTAGAGGAAGATGATCATTGCTATTTTATTCCTTTAATAAGGATCAAAATTTGAAGAATTTTTTAATTTAAAATTATTCTAAATGACTGTATTTGTGATTACTTTTTTACGATTTAATTATACACTATTGTTAAAGTTTGACTGTGATCTTAAATTCTGATTTGTTAAGGTGATCGTTAAAGAATGATAAAAATATTGAAAAATTTATGAATTATTCTTTTGAATTATATTATGACCAAAAAATTAGGTTATACTTAATTAATTCTATCATATTATAAGATAAATATTTTATGTAATCTAAAAGTAGATCTGAAATTTTTTAACGATTATATGTCAAATTTTTCAATATCTTTCTCAATGTAATTACTCATTTATATAAGATTATAGTCGCTATGATCTTCCGGAATAGTTTAATTCTCCTAGATAATCTCAAAGCACGATACATGTGCGATAAAATATGTTGGAGGAATGTAAAGAGTCAATAGAAGTAATAATGGTCTTGAAAGACGCTCGAGAAAAACGTCTTTCTTTTCGAAGTAAATATAGAGAATGGCTCAATGAATACTCGTGCAATTGACTCGATTCAAATTGGAAGTACACTCTTTGTGTTGAATCTTTAGAGTGGCAGTCGTGAATGTGGCAGATGAGTGAGCGAATTAATGGACAAGTTAACGTTAACAGACGGACCAATTACTAATCAGTGTCGCTTCATTCCTCGCTTTTTTAAGCACTCGGACAATGATGTGTCACGTTTTATTTTTGCACTCGCAGCTGTTATTTTTTTCTCCAAACCTCCAACACAATTGAAAATAGGACGAGAGATAATTATTTGGTATTCAATATTATCTATCTTCTGTGACATCTATTTTTCAAAGGATTCCTCGAATAAAAAATATCATAAGAGTATAAAAATAAAAAATGATATAAAACTGTTTTAATGCTCATTTTTAGACGATATATTAATATTTTTTCAATTTATAGTTGATGTATTCACTACAGATGAATGTACTTTATTTAGTTACAAGTCAGACTGTCATTCAATCTCTTTCTATATTTCCATAAATTTAAATATTCTCAAACACGTTTTTTTTTTTTTTTATTTCTGAATAACATAAATGAATAAGAGAAGCTGAACGATCGTTACTCGCGTGTTTTTTTATCCAATAGTCTGGAATATTCAAACTCACTTCTGACATTACATCTGATGAGCAAATCAAAAATAACTCACCATTATCACTAACATATTAACTTGTAGTAATTATAAAGTTATCATGCTGATCTAATCTTTTATTCAAAATTTAATCCATAATTTTCCATCTCTCCATATGAATGAATAATAATATTTATGAGGGTTCATCTTGTACATAATATAAATTACTCTCCAACATGTTACCAATTGCTTGAGCAAAGTCAAAAATCGATGCTAATAAAAGTAAGTACTCGAGCGGGATAAATAGAGATTTACTGCTCATAAAGCAATAATAATAGAACCAATTTCCAACCCATGATCATTTACAATACATGTCAATGTACTTGCATTAACTTTCAATTTAGTAAAGTACACAATAATCCACACTTAATGCGATTTTAGAGTCAGAAGTGGAATTAATATACAAAGACCGGGATTGAGAAAAATAGTATTTCTCCTTTAAATTGCTGAATAAAATATATTTTACATTTTTCTCAACAATAGCTAATAATAAAAACAGTTTATTTCGTTCATAAATCTCTACTTTAGAAAACGAATATGTTTTTTCCACATTTGGTCGATCAATAATGAAAGCTTTAGTTTCACTCTAAACTACTTATATAAAATGATAAATTTTAGTCATTTTTATTAGAACTTATCAATAATTATGCTCAAGTAATACTATTTATCCTTGTAAAAAATTTAAATAAATATTTTTATTGAATAGTCAAGAATGGTTAATCCTTTCGAACAGTCATTTAGAAACAATTTAAAAATGAGTTGTCTAACTAGGAATTTTCTTGACTGCCGTTATTGTAAAAGCTCGAAATTGAAGGAAAAGGATGTAAAATATATCATAAGTCTGAATGTAGAAATTTATTCAACTCAATTGTTAATTTGAAAAAGTTCTTATCACTGATGAAACTATGCTCAAGGAAATTATTAGACGATTTATTTTGTAAAAAGAGATGAAAAACAGAAAAAAATTAACTAAACTTGTATATTTTATTTTATTTTATGAAATAAAAAAATCTGTAGACTGCCATTGTTGTTCAAAGGTTAAATTTAATAAATATGTTTCAATAAAAGTGGGTAATTCTTTATTAAACTAATTAAATCAATTTTTTAGTTTTCTATTGACAGTATTATTTCACGTTAATTTATTACAGACATTAATCAATATATGTATTCTACCCTCTGGTATATTTTTTTTTCGAAAATGACTCTTTCTCTCATACACTTGATTTCCCTTTGATGATATTCTTCCGTTACGGAATGATTCAAGTGAGTATTTCCCGTTGACTGATCGCGATCATTTCGCTGGAATCAAGTGTGTGTTGTAACGTGCACGTACTTACACTAGAGTGTATAGAGATTCTCGAGGGATTGGTGGGCCACATGACGGCAGGTAGTGCATGACGAGAGGGTGATTGCCACATCATACATATATCCCAACAGTGGAATTATACGACGATACGTCTGGCATGATCGAACGTAGATTCCCTCGAACGGACATTATCCCTAGCGAAACGACAGAAATTTATTCTCCACGCGACCCGAATGGGATTACAACAGTCCCTTAGTGCTGCGCTTAGACCACAAGAGACGTGGAAGGATGATGAGCAAATACTCCCGTGCGTTTGTGTTGGCTCGTTTCTCCCTAGTTCTCTAGAAGTTCATGCCTATAGTGCTGCGATATCATCCCAAGCAGGCGGGAGGGTTAGAATCGCTATCCAGACAGATACAAGGAGGTTACAATAGAAAATAATATATGAGCTATTTTTTAATAAAGAGCATATTCGTTCTATGGTGAATGTCATAATTCTTAAGCTTGAAGATAAATCTTGCATACCAGCTCTCACCAACTGAGAAAAAACTTGTACCAACAAGTTGCTTGTTTTTTGTTTATTTATTTTAAGTATGAAAAGATGTCTTAAATTACTCAGCTAACATTTATTTTGCTGCTTGTTTTTTATTCTTTGGCATGAGATATTCTCCTAGCAAAAATGAACTCAATAATGATATTAAAATATTTGAAGTTACTTTTAAATTTTGTGATCGGTATACTAGATTATTAGGTTTATTGTGTTTGTTCATTTGGCATAAATTAAATACAAATAAATATACAATTTATTAACTAAAACTATTTCAAATTTGAATGAGACATTATATCAAGAATTTTGGAATAATGGAAAAAATATTTAATTATTAATTGCTTTTAATGGAACGATTTTTTGTAAAACTGATAATTTAAAGTTTTTTTATTTAACTATTTTACAAAATTTAACATCATTAACTCCATATCTTTTAATTTAATCATTCATATTGTAACATAATTCTCGAAATACTTTTTATTTCCCGTTAACAGTAAATTACGATTTTAAATTGAGTGAGTATTTAGTAAAAATTAATACATTTAAATCCATTACATGTCTCTGTATATATGCAGAGTCAAAAAGGCTATACAAATAATTAAACAATAAACGTCTAATTACTATTCCGAAAATGTTTACGGAGAAAAGCAAATATTGAGATTACGTCCGATTTATGCAGACGAGGAATTACTAGGTTGCTTTGCTCAATATTCTGTAATATTTTGTATAGTAAGTTTCAATTTTGATGGTCGAGTGAACTATTTACTGTAATACTATATCGAGATAAATTCGAAATGCTGAAACTCAAAGCTACAATATGTAGTTTTGGCATTCTACCACGGTATTGTTGGGTATTGTTCCTGAAAAGATAATAATTGATTTGTCTACTATCAGTTTACTATGGTTGGAATTCACGTTATAATAGAATTACATTCTTTTATTATTTATTTACAATATGTATATTATAATTTACGAGATAAATAATAAGTGGTTGAATTCATATGATTTTTTCCAGTTGTGACAGAGATAGAGGGACTCTTATATTAAGTCCATTCAAAAGGGATGGAATATATATTTCACTACGTGTCACAGTGATTCATAAACCTAGCCTATCTCTTATGACGGGACAGCTAATCCATACAGCAACACTGCGATTGCCGTAGGCTGACATAGCAACTTTATTCGTAAGTATTTCAGGAATAGTCGCTCAATTTACAATTAATTTCAATAATTTATCTTCTATGGGACAATGAATTTTTTATGTGCACCACAGAATTTCATTTACATTAAATCATATTTAAAGAGTTTATCTTAATATCCATACTTTTCACATTTATGTATTTTTCATGACATTTTATCTCAGAATATTTTTCATTGTTCAATTCCAATTTTTATTGTAAGCTCTCATGGGAGATTTTTTTTCAACCCACATTGTTGATTGAATAAAAATTCATTTTTATTGAATAAAACTTTTTTTTTAGCAATTTTTAATGATATTTAAAATTTTTAATACCAATAACATTTATTTATAAATATTCTTGATCATTTGAATTACTACTGTTTTATATGATTTAAATGAAAAAATATTATTTTCTCTATCCAACTAGAGTGACCCACATTTACTATTTTAAATAAAAATTTATTTTTATGAAAAAAAACTCTGTGAATAAATTTTTTTTTTTCAAATGTTGAATAGTAACATGGTTTGTATTAATAGTGACTCAGTTAAAATGAAGCAAAATTTTTCACATTTTTGCAAGCAAAATCGATAAAAGCTGACATGTTAAAAAAAAACATTCATTTAAAAAAACTAATAACATAAATATCTAACAATAAGCTAATTTGTTTCAACATCTTCAATTCATCC